TGGAAGTAAACAATAGATATCTCATTAGGTCCTTTTGTTCATCTACCAGCATTTAAATTTGACCCGCACACGTCAACGGTGAGTGACAAATGAGCCTAGGTCTTCCCAGGGAAGACTTCCTTATATAGCACGCCTTCGTGTTTAAGGTAATTGTACTGTACAAGAAGCTCCTTGCTTTGAAATAGAAAAGTTGTTACCATACTCTGATTGCAATGAAAAAAAAAAAGAGAGAAAACAGATGATGCGCTATCAATTACTTTTTATTTAATTTTACTTCAATTCAGAACAACCTTGCATATGTCAAGGAAGGAATTTTCTCTCTCAAAATAATTAGCAGAAACTTTTTCACTTGAAATCATTAATTTAATATATAGTCTTGCACTGATTCTTGGGAAAGAATCGTTTAGTACTTGTAGGTTGGAGAGTTTTATGTTGAAGTTATAGAAGTAAGAAAGTGCATGAAATATAAAAATTTTTTTGCAATAAAACTGTGCATGTTAATTGGTGCTGAAGCAGCATTAACATTATGTTCCAGTTCATATAAATTTTTATAAAGTTACACAAAAAATGTTGAGGTTACAGTTTAGCTCTGTTAAAGGGAGGAACGGCACATTTATTTATCTTTGCAAAGTACATGCGACCTAACCTGACCCCAAAGTGATAGTCTGTAGGTAATTTAGGGAGAAATTAAAGATTGATAAATATTTAAAGAGACAAAGTGTCTTAGAGTTTTGCAATTACACCTACTGTTGAAAGTTAAAGGAAATCAATTCATTTGATACATTGGGTTTTACCTTCAAACTCATTTGAGATACTTCTTTTTGTTTCATTTTAAATATGACATTTATCCAGCAGCTTCACATGCTTAAAAAGATTGCCACTGATATGAGTGAAGTAGTTCTTGTGCGAACTAAACACTTTACATTCCCTTTTGCATGTCCTATTTGTGACATAAAATCAACTACTATTAATACACTGTACATCTTCATTATCTGTTGCCATGCCTAAACACCAGTTGTCTCAAACATGCTTTTAATTTAAACTGATAGATACATCAAGAAATGTTTGAGACAGTATTGTTTAGTTCACTTGCTAAAACTAAAGTTTGATGAAAAACTCTATACGTTGCCTATAGTTGTTGTAGCATTTTTACTTTTCTGTGTTGTGTCAAATTTATTTTCCAAGACACAATCAATTCTAAAAGAAATAGACAATGTGATCTGTATTTAACTTGCACAAATGTGATATATTTATAGTGTGCCATAGCTGTGTGCTACTATGGTTGATGCAGTTGAACTTACAAACTAATTTATGATTAGCCTTTTCCACAGACTTTTCTTACATATTTACTGAAGATCAGAAAACATAATCAAACAGTATGCCTGTGATTAAGTTTTAGAAATATCCTTTTTCTTCTATGATGCAAAGTTGATTGAACCCTTTAAACTGCAACATCAGTGTGCATATTCTCCATACTGTTCTCTATACATTTCTTAGGGTGCTGACAAGGAGAATTTGTATAAAAATCAAGAGCTTCTTCAATTGGTGATCATTTCCTTTATTCTCATGACCTTGATGTGTGATGGGGGGGGGGGTGATATTGTAAGGAGAAATTGGATGCAAATCACTCTGACCTGACAGAAATTATCCAAATTTTTTCATTTTTTACAAGATAATTGTTAATGAAAGTTGAAAACAGTACTTAACAATTGTAATTAGTTCTGAGGTGCCCTTCAGTTTGTTGACAAGAGAGCTAAAATTTCTGCATTTTCATAAGTGACAGATGAAGGTGTGTTTTGGGAATCACCACTCTTTTTGCTTCTCACATAGTTCTCTGCATCTATTACCAAGGCTTTGGCAACTGTTGCCACAGGTATGGAAGTCATCACCAGTTCTAACAACAGATGAAAAACAATCATTGTTTAGGATAAAAGACAAAATCAGGGTCAAATTTTTTAATCTTTCACTGCCAAAATGTGATTGTTAATTCTCAACATTAGCTGTTAGACACATTTCCTTGTAAATTAGATGCAAAAATTTAGTTTTAGATTAAGGTAACAACTTCTACCTGATAAGTTCAAGTATTCTCAATACCTGTGTACTGGATAATGTATGGATATAACAAGGAGAAGTTAAATATTAATCACTTCTGGGAGTTAAAGGGTTAAGAGTACAAAGGACAAGTTACACTTAGTCTAGAAAGAGGCCTAAGTTGGCTGATGAGCCTAGTGACCCATGGAGCCACAGCATGTCTTGCCCTCATAAATTGAGATGATTAGGAGTACTTCTGTGGCCCCACTCTCCCCAAAGAATGGAAACAACAGTGATGATGATGATGAAGAGTATTGCTTGTCCTTGCATGGGATGCAACTGTGTGTCACCTGACAGGTTACCCCCACAGTTTCATCAGGTGTTGCTCACTGTATAGCTGCACTCATTTAATCTATTGCAGGATGGAGAGAGGTACTGAGAAAGTAAACTTCCCTGTCCTAAGGACACAATATCAGATCTCCCAACCTGGAGTCCTGCCTGTACATCAAGAGGCACCTGTGTCTCTAATGCACAAGAGCTTTGCTCGAACTAAAAATTAAACCAGGATAGTTTAAACTAGCTACTGGAGCACTGCAACTTAAAGGAAATATTTACCTAAGAGGATTGACAAGGCAAACAGGTAGTACAGATGAAAACAATCCAAGTAGAATACAACCTGCTTAACTTACTTGCCATCTTCTCCACAAATCTCTGTTTGCTCCCTCGGTCAAGAAAACCAGGTCTAAAAATGCTTGTGTGTGGAAATTGCATGTCCTTCAATGCATTCTCCACCTGAAAACAGTTTCAAAGAATAGTTACCACTCTGGCACAAATGTTACTGTCATTGTACAGATTGAGAAGGGAAGCTTGTAGTGCTTGGTTGGTTCCAATTCAAGTTTTCTCCTCATTTCTGTTTTTGCATGCATGACAGGGTAAGGTGGAGAGGTGAATATCACACAAGAAAACAAGAGCTAGTCAGAAGAGTACCTCGCCTTTTGTCTTAAGGTAGAGAAAAAAACTTGATGTTGATGCGCCTTGAGAAGTTACTAGTGACACCTGGGGGACATCTGCCTCTTTGGCAACTTTTGCACAGTTAACCACATAGTCAAAGTCCACATGTTTAAAGGCAGCCTAGAAATAAAATTGAAGAAAAGAAGGCCTTTTCATAAAGTTATTCAACATACATGTACTTTTAAGTAATTAAAATTAATAAAATAATTGGCCAGGACTTCCAATGACCATATTCTGTAGAATAGGACTGTTGGTGCATGTGGGCACAACTTCACCCCTCCAACTGATGGTCCAAGTTTGAAAACTTTCTGAAATTTCTGTGTATTGAATGACAAGTTCATTTTGTGTTTTCTCTCTGTTAAATGCACTTAATATATCCCTCAGTTAGTAAGTGAACAGTAATTGTCATATTCACTTTCAAAATTTTGTTCAAATAGTAGTCTTCCTCTTTCTTTCTAAACCCAGGGATCACAAACATCTTACTGACCTAATTTTCTTGTTCCATACCATAAATTATGCAACCTGTTTTTTTCTGCAGGCAATAAAGGTCTCCGCACTTCATGCATGGGCCATACATCTGAGTGAGTGGAAAAACTTGTTTTGTAACTTACAGTACAGACCTGGAACTCAGTAAGAGGTATATTTCATCCTCTTGATTTAAGATTATAACCCAGTAGACTTACAGCAGATCCTGCAGCTCGTCGAGTTGTACCCAGAGTACAAAACAAGACATCTTTGTCCTTGAAATGTTCACCAACTGTTTCAGTGCTTAATTTCTCAAAGTCTGAAGTTAAAGAGAGAAAATTTGTTTTGGATTGGTATGCTATGTAAAAAATTACAATCTTTGAGAACAATCCAATAACAACAGAGTTTGCATTTCCAGCATAGAAAAATATTAAAGTGTGTGATAATCATGTCAGGGTTCAGAATATACTTTACCTATGACATGTTGCTCCAATCTTCCAGATTCCTCTTCAGCTTTTTGATCCACAGAATATTCTGCAAGAACCGTAGCATTTCTTCGACCCAAAGAAACAACTTTGGATATGTTCTAAAATTGTTTGACATCAAAAAATTTTTCAAATACAAAATATACAGGGTTTTTAATCTATCACAAAATTATCCTTACCTATTGTTGTCAGCTCATTGCAAACGTTGCCTATCAATCAAATCAAACTCTCCCAGAGGAATTAGAAAAACGTTTTTACTGACAACTTGCCGAGTTCACGAAATAAATTAATATTTATATCTCCATTCAACAAGGAGCCCAAAAAATAAAAAGAGAAATGACAAAAATTATAAAATGATTCTGAAGTACTTCGAAAATATTCTGAAATCATATTTATATATTTAAAAATTGAGATATCAAGGATTATTTCATCTTTTAGAAATCTTTCACTTCAAATTTTTAACTAAATGGAAAAATTAGTTTATGGGTCTGGGAGCTCAAAGATTAGATAAAAGCAAAATAAAACTGTTAAACAAACAGCAACAACAGAAATTTTAAGCTTATAAATATTTGTGGAGGAACACTTGCTGAAAATATGTTATTGTTCTAACTGTTATCACATAAATCCTCTGCATAAATGGTCACGCCATTATCAAATACTGAAAATATCGCGATGTAGTATCGTTTGATACGAATCATTCTCGCAGTGGCGCACCTTAGAGCTCAAAAGTTCTCCCAACAAACACTGTCCAATAGCTCCGGTGGCACCGATTATTACAGCCCTCATACCCAGCGGCTCAGCAGCAGAATTCGAACCTCCTTCGGCCATGTTTCTCTAATACCCCAGGTATCCTTGCGTGCTTTGCCCGGGATATGCAAGAGGAGGACTGGGAGCAAGCCCGCTTTGGAAGCCCGACCGCCATTATATCAGAGGGTTATACTCCTCAATTAATATAGAGACTGATTTAATTAAAGCCATCTGTTCAGCTGATATGTCAACGTGGGAAATAATAGTCTCTTAATATAGATTGGAGACAAGAGACTACAAAGGTGCAGCGCAGCATGCGATATGTCTTTATCAATCCGTAACTAATGTAGGTTCGGGTAGTTTGCACGCAGCGGTTGAATCGAAGTGGATACAAATTGATCGCGGACTACTTTAATAGCAAGGCATTTCCTAAAAGAACAGTATATCAGCTTTCTTGTAGCTTTGCCATCATTCAACTTTTTTATTGTTCACTTTAATTAACAAACTGTAGAATTCTTGATAAGCGGGTCTGTTTTATCTGTAGATATTCCATTGCACCACTTCAGAAAATTCCCGACAGGTTAATTTAATCATCTCTTGTTTATCTTGACCCTTCATGGGACTTTTTCCCACGGGGGGGAGGTAGGCGCTCTCCACTCAAGTTTCCTTACTGATAAGTACAAAACAGGCAAGGGCGACGCGAGAGTTGGGGGGGGGGAGAAAGTGGATTTGACCACCTCATTTGCCATGGACAAAATGGTAATTTGTACTCGTGAGAAGTTTAAGACAACCTGATATACTCACAAATGGAAATAATCCTTTACTTTGTAAATTGCACCCCCTCCCTCCTCCCCTAGGATCCTATCTAAGCACCTGACAAGAGTTTGGAGGCAAAGGTTAACAGCCGGCGCGTCTGCTGGTTTAGATTCCAAACAATGATTCTTTCAAATTGATCACAGGATTATGAAAAGCACATACTATTGTACAATTCTAGCTCGACAAAACCTTTGTTTCTTCCAAAAATAAGAAGTTTCTCATATTTACAGGATTTTTCTCGTAAATCTCTTTTTAACTCTTAATACTGTATATTTTGGCCCTCTGCCATTATCCCCAAGAAAATATCAAGTAAAAGAGAATATTCCCACTAAAAGTTCAGTTTGATTTTAAGAATTACACGTTATGATGATTCGATGAGTTTAAGATTCGTAATAAAGAAATCTGACTTCATTTTCACGTTTTCCTATAAAAAAGGCTTTAAAAACGTCTCTCTTGACATTCTCCTTCGAAGAAACTTATCTCAAAATTGTATAGTGATCATCCGAATGAATTTAATTACTTAACCTTTCCTTCTCTTCAGATTTTGCTAGATTAAGAAAAACTAAGATGATTGTTGCCAGCGATATATCGAAATTTTCTGGAAGCTCTAAACAGAGAATATTTCTTCAATGATAAATATGGCGTCTTGCTGTCAGCTTAAATTCAAGCCGAGCTAATATTAAGAGGTTTCACTAGGGATATTACATAGTCTAATGTACCATTGTACAAATTACCATCACATCTTCAACCGAAAAACAGCAGAGGCACTCGCGAGGCATTTTCAAAGAGTTACTCGAATTTATTTGATCTGTCCTGCATGTTAGAAGACGAAATTTGACCCCGTGTGGTATCATGGGATATCTTAATGGCCGCCTTATCGCGGATATGCCCTCTCCTAGCTTACGTAACATAAATGAATACAATTGTTCTCATGAGCTTTTAAAATTATTTTTAGCGTATGTTCAGAAAATATATCACCAATAAAATCTCATTTGTAACAAAATACTGAAAAACCATCATAGTTTCTTTTTGACCCAGACGACTGTTCCCTTGAAGACCCTTGAACTTGTTCATCACAAAAGAAAATTGACAACCATGAACATCGGAGCAAATTAACGATATCATATCTTTTATCCGAAGGGAAACTTCCTAGAAATCCAAATCGTTTGACATATGCGACAAACACGTGCAACAGAAGAATCAAGGTTGTCGGTGTGTTGAGAACAGAAAGGTTTGAATCTCCTAATTATCTTTTTTAAATGTTCATGAACTAGTGGCAGTTGTTTCGACGTAACTCACCAGCAAATATCCAACACCGATTGTGTCATAGTCTAAGAACTGTTTATGCCGTATCAAAGTTTAGCCGAATCGTACAACGACTGGAGTAAATTGGATTAAACTTCACGTAAATCGAAGCACTAGTAATTTCAACTTAGACATGCATGGCGCGAAGCGCGGAGACGAAACCACAATTGTTATGATAACTCAATGAAAAATTGAAAACAGGTAAAACCGCACTAAGCAGACTAACAACTGGATTAACGAGTGGCCAGGTGTCTAGTTTCGGAGAACGAAAATGATCTCTCGCCCGACGATATTTCTTGTGAAGGGTCTCTTGCATGTGGAAAGAAAGGTAATTCAATCTCGTATCTCCCGTGGGATCCAGCATCGAGGACATGAAAATATTCACTAATTTGTCAAGCAAAAAGACTTCAAATGCTGATTAAAAGCGTAGAAGCTTTCAATTTAGCGAAAATACTTTGAAGAGTGGCAGAATTCTTACCATAAATGAAACATCAAAGCGGCAGAAAGTTTCCTGAAGGAAAATGTTATGACGTAACATGAACTAAATGAATTGGGTTAAGTTCGGCCTCTCGATGCTCTTGCCTTTACTGAAGTATTTTTGTAGAAGCTTGTCGTTATTATATTTCTCTGCAGGTATTCATGCTCTCGTGTTACAAGAATTCGCTCCACTCGATCCGTTCTGATTGCACTTTTTCAATGTCTCAATGGCCATGTTAATTGCTATTTGACTGAATAAATCTGTTCCGCAGTTTCGCCATTTTCCAGCTGAACTGGAACCTACTCAGTTTATAATAGCAATTCAGTCAAAATTCTCAGTTGCCTCTGCAGTTGTTTTGTTCATGTTGAAATTAAGAATAAAGGAAAATGAATCCATTCGACTTTCCTGTCATGATTGCGATTATACTGAGAATAGCTAAAGATTTCTTACTTTGAAGGTCTCTAGCGCCCCATCGAGCATGCATGTCATGTTTAACTAAGTATATTGTAACAGCAATAAGAGAAGTGATCAAAGTAAGCTAACGGAGGCATGTGAAGCAGTTGGAAGAATATTGATAAGAAATTCATACAAACACAATGACTAAAGTGAGCCGAAGAAAAATATATTGTGAATCCTAATACTGCTGCCTCATTTCTGCAATGAAAAACGCTGTTGATGTAGCTTACTCATACCATCATTTAACTTGTTGTCTTTGATGGGGATCTTTAGATGGTACAGAAGAAATTTGTTGTACATGAAATGAATTTAAAGCAGGGCGCGATTTCAGAGAGCTAAGGCTTTCTATTTCAAAAAAATTTAGTCTTTGACCAACGTAAACCAAATAAAAGAAACACATGTGTACTCTGATTCCCTTGCAGTGCAGATTGCTCATCAAGTCACCACAAGCCCTTCTGATAAACAATCGATTGACCCTACAAAAAATTTGTTTTGGTGCTATTCAATTTAAACAAGATGATAACAAATTAATCGAATGTTTTTCTTTCGAATCAGCGAACCTTATGATTCCAAAACCTTTGACACAGAACAGGAAGTTTGTAAAGCATGATCTTAGTCTTGCTAAAAGATTTGTGACGAAGCTACAGACAGTCTTCTGCCAAGTAAAATTTAACAATTTAAAGTTTCAGTTACATTATTTTCCAGCATTGTAAAAAAATTGGCCAAGGGCTTTAGGTCTTAACTGTTTGTTGTTGCATAAATAGGCAACATATGTCATCAGAAAGTGAACAACGTAGAACACTCGGATCAAGAGAACACATGTTCACATCAAAGTTTCAAGCTTTACCTAAACAACTCCTTGTTCAATACCTATTTTTTCTGCTAATCAAATTTGTACAGTTATTCCAGGCAAAAAGCTAGTAGAGGATGTTTAAAAGGTAGAAAAGTTATAGCCTGGGATATCAAGCCACAGAGCAAACACTCTTGCTATTTACCTTTATGATGTTTTCAGAAAAGACTGAGGTTGACATATTTTTTTTTGGGGGGGGGGGAGCTTTCTTTTCAAGCCTGAACCTTGTTAAACAAAATAAAAACTGAATAACATCCACAAAAGTTAAGATTATATGAGCAAAGTTGATAACGCAAACAACTTTATAATAGCTGCTTTTATCTCAACTAAAACTCTCTCATGAAATGACATTATGAGACTGTTTTCTTAAAGATGCTCTCGATAGAAAAATGGCGGACAAATTGACCGTAGATAGCTTCGTCGACTCCTTCCAGGTCTTGAATATTCCTGAAGGATATTCTTTAAGTGAACATCGGAACTAAAAATGTGTTTTACACAAAGCATTACTGAGCGAAGAAGAGCTTTGCAGTCGAGTGATATTGGGTGACTTCTGTAAAGAGTATTACATGTTAACCATGCATGCTGTAACTCTATGGTGATGTTGTTTTAGTGTCTAAAGGTAAATAGGCTAAGAGCACGCAAAAACAAGTATAAAATATTTGTGGAACAGAATTGTATAGGGACTAACAACGTTGAATGGGGTAGTATGCATGTGAACCGTTGCTAGCAGAACATTTCAAGTGGTGAGCATAACTTTCATGTCGCACTGTTTACAGTTATAGCTGAGTCCCATCAGGTGTGCTATCCTTCATTGATTTAAAGAGCAGAGTTCTATGCTTGATCACTTTCATGAGAACGGGAAGCTTTTTTTCCAGAGAAATATACTATCGTGTATGGTAAATGCCATGCAAATGGTACCCGTGGCTTTGGTAGAAAATAAAGCCTAGTGCATGCATAAGAAAATTAATAAAGTGCTTTATCTCTTTAGGGAGTAGACCAGAGTTCAAAGTTAATCTTAAGGGCTAGCGCTGATCAGGGCCCGATTGAAAATGACTCCTCCGATATGGAAACTTTTGTTTCGTGTCATCATTATCAAGTTAGTTGCATTTTCAAACACACACGAAGTAAAAAAACGTATTCATCTCAAGCGTGACCACTCAAACAAAGCTATGCGGCAAATGGTAATATTTTATTTTCCAAACTTTGACAGATTCATCGTTTTTTGCCCAGCTCTAGCTAGTTCCAGCACTTAATTACTATATCCAGTGATAAGAAATACTTCGTCTATGTGAACAATATTTGAGAGGTTTTGGAGAGCAGAACTATATTAATGACCTGACCGTCTGTTGCCTTTACTTGTCCGACGCAACTTTTGTTTATAATCCATATCCTACTAATTATTTTCAATTTATGAGCCGCAATTGCCTTTTCACTCGACATACTTATTTCAATATATTCGCTATGTTTCTTTGTTGCAATAAAACGTTAATCTTGAGGAGGTTGGAAACGGCACTTTCTTGGGTCCACTGACTAGCCCTCGGTAACACTGAAGTCTTTGTTAAAGCTTAGATCAAATGCTCAAGGCTATACTTGACTGATTCCTTTGTCCTAAAACAAAAACGATGATTTATCACTGTGCCATATTTTGGTTTTCAGAAATCAATCTCAATGACCCTCCGTGTTACTATAAATGAACGGTAATTTGCTATTTTCGTTCCAAATGTTTTCAGTAATATTGGTTCGTTTTATATTGTAGGGCTTTGAATGTATTTGATATTTTCCGATTTACGACTTAACAGAAACATTCTTATTGAAAATGCTTCCTCTATTTCGAATCATCCCTATTCGAAGATTCCCGAAATTTTTAATTAATCTCCGATTAGGAAAGAGTGAGACAAATTATAGACAAAGTTCATTAAAGTTTTTGTTTTAGCAACGAACGTCTCATGCTGTGCGGCGCAGTGCAGTAAAATATCATTTGATACCATGTTTACGATAGCCCTTGAAGAGAAACGAATGGAAAAATATGCGCAACCCATATTAGGAACAAAAATGCCAAACATTTGAGCATATATCTTAATTCCGTGACGAATTAACCCACTGCGGCTCAAGTGATCGATACATCATTCAAGGCTCGGCGTTTTTCAACGTTGAGAGGCTTAAGAAGTCAACTAGCTTTTAATTAAGCTTTCCGGTTATTTTTAATCGCTTCCAACTGTAAAGGAATGCGCATTATCATCCATTTAAAGCAGAATTAGCTGCAAATCCATTTATCAACTACCTCATCGATGATCTTCAATGGTCTCCAATTGTAGTTATAAAAAGTATTCCTAAAAAGGCCAAAGAAAATATCATTTTCAGCCTTAGATTCACAGAATCGTTATAAAGTATCCAGCACTTGGTAATCACTACTGAAGACAACACATGATGGTAAGCATTTAAACTGTGTACCTCACTGAAAGGTAAAACCGCAAAGTGAAGGATTATCGTTTCCAACCGTTTTCCTTAAAGCTTCAGCACGCAAAAGCCGAGGACTTGAAAATTAAATAGAGATTTATGGGGGCGACACACGCTGACCTTACAAGTTGCTATACAAATAATCTTGGACCATGCGGCGCCTATAATCTTTATTTCAAATAAAAGCTGATATTAGCGAAGGTTTCAGGATCACCAAAGACTCACGACCAAGGTCACATGAAGCTCGATGATGAAGTAAGAAATTTGCTTCTTAGGGTGCGAAACCAATTTGCACGTCTGCCACCCGGTTGGGGTTAGGGTGCTAACAATATGGGAGTCGGACTGATGAAACTTAATATATTGGATGTATCAAGTGAATGCTTACCTTTTTGTTAGATTTCCATGGTTGTTACTTTTTTTCTTACTTATTTTCTATCAGTTGGTAAATTGGTAATTGGTAATTCCGATCCTGATAAGCTCTGACATAGCTGTGACTGGATTCTTTTTTCCAAGAAGTCTTCATACAGAGCAACTGACTGACTGTTTCATGAACTGATTGAGTGACTAACTAAATGACTGCTTGACTGACTGACTGACTGACTGACTGATTGACTGACTGACTGACTGACTGAATGACTGACTGACAGACTGACTGACTGATTGACTGAATGAATGACTGACCGACTGACTGAATGACTGATTGACTGACTGACTGACTGACTGACTGACTGATTGACTGAATTACTGATTGACTGACTGATTGACTGACTGAATGACTGAATGAATGACTGAATGAATGATTGACTGAATGACTGACTGAATGAATGACTGACTAACTGACTGATTGACTGACTGACTCACTGACTGACTAATTGAATGACTGACTGAATGACTGAATTAATGACTGAATGACTGAATGACTGAATGAATGACTGAATGACTGACTGATTGAGTGACTGACTGACTGACTGAATGAATGACTGAATCAGTGATTGAATGACTGAATGACTGAATGAATGACTGAATGATTGAGCGACTGACTGACTGACTGATTGACTGAATGAATGAATGACTGAATGACTGAATGACTGACTGACAGAATGACTGAATGACTGACTGACTGACTGACTGAATGACTGAATGACTGACTGACTGACTGACTGACTGAATGACTGACTGACTGACTGACTGACTGAATGACTGAATGACTGAATGACTGAATGAATGACTGAATGACTGACTGACTGACTGAATGACTGAATGAATGACTGAATGATTGACTGACTGAATGACTGACTGAATGACTGAATGACTGAATGATTGAGTGACTGAATGACTGACTGAATGACTGAACGACTCACTGAATGACTGAAAGAATGACTGAATGACTGAATGATTGACTGACTGACTGAATGATTGAATGAATGACTGAATGACTGAATGATTGAGTGACTGAATGACTGACTGAATGACTGAATGAATGACTGAATGACTGAATGATTGAGTGACTGACTGAATGACTGACTAACTAGCTGACGACGGATTGATTGACTGACTGAACGACTGTATGACTGAATGATCGAATGAGTGAGTGAGTGACTAACTGGCTGACTGTTCGACTGACACACTGTTTGACGGACAAGCTGGCTGACTGGCTGACTAATTGATTGACTGACGTATTGTCTGACTGACTTACTGAATGACTTACGAACTGACTGACCTACCTATCTATTATCTGAGTAACTGACTGACTGACATACTGACTGAATGACTTACTCATTTACTCACTCACTTACTGACTTGCTCACTCACCTACACACTCACTTACTCACTCGTTGACGAATTGACTGATTATTACCTACTGACGGCATGGCGAGCTAAATGACCAACTGATTGACTAACTGACTGACTGACTGACTGACTGACTAAACGAGTTTCTGATTGACAGATTGACTGAAAGCTGACTGACTAACAAACAACTGACTGAAGTACTGTCTGACTTACTGGCCAACAGAGCACTTCTAAATGAATGCCGGAATGAATGAATGAATGAATGATTGATTGAATGAATGAACGATCAAACCTACTGACCAGTCAGTCGACTCTATACAAACATACGCTTGTATATTTATATACTTAATGAATCAAATGACCGATAAACTTGCGTACTAAGAAATCTTAGAAGATAAAACCTATATTAATACTTCCAGCTCAGCGTAAAATTTCTCACATTAAAGAATGCAGATTCCCAAAATATGTGAAGGACAATGAAATTTTCGCAAAGTTCATAATCGTTAAGATCTTTTAAAATACTTTGCTGTATATCTGGGCGATTGTAGACGGTGACCTTGGGTTTTTAACGCTTAACAAAAACGAGCATTAAATTTGTTAGCATTACAGTTTTTGCATTTTCCCTCATGCACTATTAAGAGAAGTATTCGCCTCAGATATAATAAATTGACACCAAGTGCCCCAGATTTTTCAAGAAAAATTCAGGAACCTCAAACTGAACTACTGCTTTACGGAGGAGGGAATAAGGCATTACTTACAGCTTAAGCATGACAAGAAAAATTCCAGCAATGTTTTTTGATTTAATTTAATCACTTGCTCTGATGATAGATATGAGATATGATCTTATTTATTCAACACCCTTAGGGACATTGACAAAGAATTTTTGAGGTGGTTTTCTACAAATGCCACCAACAACTACTGATTAACGTGAATCGACCGATCTTGAATCTTTGGGGCAAAATTTAGAGGCTAAGGGTTAAAAACAAGGATTGAAAGATTTTCGTGCTTGTTGGTTCCACTGGGTAACATACTCTTGACCTTTTCACGACATTTCGATAAGACTTACCTGCAAGTGATAGCTCTTGTGAAATTAATACTACGAAACTGACACTTGGTTTTTCTGAGATGTGGTTAAATTGCACTTTTTTTTCTAATTTTTCAGCTTGACTGCATTGTAGTCAATTGTTTCATTTCAGCCCTCTGTTTATGACTGATGGCCTTTTTTAAAACGATTGAGGAGATATGAGCCCTATTTCTAAAAGAATTCTCGAAAATCTACTGATGAATCTGTTACCAAACATAGACTATTGTAAAATCTTACGTTCAATCCAGCACATCTCAAGACAGTCAAAAAATCTCTGCTTGACTCCGATCCCACAAATACTTCCAAGGAACAGATTTCCAAGGTGGGTCATTTCTAAAAATTTCAGACAATAACCCAGAGAAGTCTCTTTAAATACAGAAAGCTCCTTAATTCCGATGACAATAAAGTTGATGTAGTTGAATGTCTCAGTAAGTGAAAACGAATTTTGGGTAGAAAAGCACTTGCTGTAAAATCAAAGACTTCCTATGTTGCTTTATGTCATTGTTTAATAGGGTTTACAGTAAGACGGAAACTGACTTTTGAAGGTAATTGACTGACGGGGACGTGACGAACCTACAAAATACAGCTTGATCCACCGAGGGACACAAGAATCATCATCAATGATAAATGCATCCCCTGTCTCCTTGTGATGTGAACTGCAATATTAGTGGTGATTTTCTTTTATAAATTTTCTGTTATGCTGTTCCACGTTCCAATTTTTAGAACTTTTAAGTTTAAAAATATTAAGAGCTGAACAGACTTCTGGACATCTATCGGCATGAGACCGTACGATCCATCAAGTTAATTAAATATCAAAAAAGTTTTTACGTCGTGTTACATAAAACTGAGATTTGTACAGCACCTGCAGTGAGCTGTCTCTAAATTTTCCCAGCGCAAATGTATAGCGTTTTAGCAACAACTTGGCGCAATTGATCAGTGCATACTCATTATGCTTTCTTTCCTTTAATTTTCAAAGGGTTTAGACCAGAAATTTTGAGACTACTATGTTCGATGTTTAATCAGGTCCATTTCTGATTCCCGGGATTTCTCGCTGAATTGGAGGGGGTCGAGAATGAATCATTTCTCATCCCATGTGCCTTTTTGTCCTGTTGTTATTTTCAAAGACATTTTACCGCGGAAATTAATTGCCCCGCACCCAAGAGAGTTCGAACAAAGGAGATAACCGCGACTTCAAATTCACTTGCATCACTTTGCCAGGCCATTCAGTACATGAGCAGTTTGATCAGAACGATTCGGGCTGTCAACTCGTCTTTGTTGCAAATATCACAGTTTGTAATATCATCATAAATGGTACTGTCTTTGGAAATAAACGGTTGTAGTCGAAATCTATTTCTCCTGGAAGCCCGTTTTAAATACACTGCAAACTCCAGTCCAGCATTTAGTACAAACAAGTGTGAAACATGCAGACTAAAATGTCTCAGATGGTTCTTATGCGAATATTGCCTCAGGAATCATTGTCTGTCTCGGAACACCCAATGTTCCCGTCTGTGATCCCACTGAATTTACCTTCAGCTTTCCTGTCAGCTTTGCGATGGATCAGAAACAAGACATCCAATTAACTAACCTGAGGTAGAAAGTTTTCGACCTCAGTCATGTTCCCCCATGTTAGCTAGATAAAAAAAAAAGAGAGAAGTAGTATCTTGTTAGAAACTTTTCTGGCAAAGTCGGTCTCAGAAGTTTCAGCTCCTTTTACTTTTAACTACCGAGAATTGATTGCTTTCTGTACGGTCTAGTAATAACTTTTGGAGAAAAGTTCATATCTGCCGTACCCGTTAATGACTCTGGTAGACTTTAATGTAGCATTCCCATTTATCATAGTAAATCTGGTATCATAATTCCCTTCATAGCATCTCTCTGAGTCCCAGCGGCGAACTGAAACAACTTCAGACTGAGAACAATTTACGACTGTATGTTTCGTTTTTTGCAGGTGACGTATTGGAACCATGAAATCGTCATTTAATAACCAGAAGTCCCGAAAGATACCATTCGGAAGCAAGCTGTTATAAGCTCGCAAGACTCTTGCAGGTTCTCAACCATCTCAAACGAACTTGCGAGGTTATAATCAATCAGAATGCTGCCTTGATGATAAAAACTGTATTTACCAATGCAAAATATAGAACACCTTTTAACACCGTTAGTTATGTTCATTTGAGCTGAAGAAGGCGTTGTAATTAAAGCGCAAGGGAAAATGCACATTTTCTACAAAATCTCCTCAATTTTAGGAAAGGCCATTTTAGCCGTACTGCACACTTGAGAAAACTGGCGAACATTTTACTTTTAATTGCCATAACCTTCTTAGGAGTAAATGTAAGGACTGATTGCAAGTCCTCGAGAATGTTAAGGGAATGAATTTCTGTGGCTACTTCGGCAAACCTTGATTTAAAAGTGAAAAAACAGAGTGGACTTTCTGAGATTTTATTTGGGTTTCAAGTTTGAAAATTTGTACTTAAACTGTAGTTTACCAGCGCTTAATTATAGAAACTAAATTGCAGAACCTTAAAAACGTGTTACTCGAAACCACTGCGTGTCGCGAATTTTCCTCTCAACTGTTGTTTATGTTTAGAGCTAAATAAATATTCGACTTTTGGTCACGTTTAAAATGCGCAACTATTTTAGAACAGACAACTGGAGAACTTGAATAAATTACGGTATGTCCTGATTCAATGAGACAACGCTATTAAATATATAGAACACGAAGGCATCAAAGTTACAAAAAAAGTAAATCATAAGAACCGTTTTTGTGATTAGGACTTGATCATCTGCCCCCAAGTTACTTTTAATTTTCTAACTGACCAGGGAATTGGTAAAACAACGCCTCTCTGGCGGCGGTTTGAAATAGCAGTTCCTAGTCTATTTATCCGAACATGATGGATGTCAATATTGCCTGTCTGTGGTTTTAATTGCTATAACTCAAGCACGCAGAACAGTAACGTAAGCAACCTTCCAGAAAAGAACCAAAATAGTTTTATAGTTAAAGTTTTATTAGCTTTGGAAAACGGCCCTCAAAGCCGGGCATAAGTTCAATTTCACGAGCGAGTGCGCTTTCGTAGAAAGACAACCCACTCAACCAAAAGATACAACTAAAGTAATTTATAAATAGATCAGTGGGCGTCGAAGCTCGGAAAAAGATTATAAGAGAAACAGTACTGCATTTGGCTGAAGATCTGCCATTTATTACGCAATACTCGTCGTAACTCTATCGGTGGCAAAGGAAGCCTTGATGAAAGTTTACGAAAGCAAGCGATAAACTAGGTCAATGAGAAGAAAACAAATATCTCAGACAGGCTTGAGTATTTGTCTAAAAGGTTAACCTGAGTGACCGCCATTGTAATGCTGTAAGACTTGTTGTGGTTTCAACTTAATCTAGGAGCAGATAAAATGAATTTTGAATGCAGCCATTAAAGAAAACATGTATAGTTTTTCGTGCGGATAATGTGTAACAATTTTCACCAGGCAGTTTGGCGTAGACATAATGAATCCATCTCAATAGAGTTTGCCTGAGGTTAAGAATGTTAATTAGTAGCCCGTGTGGATAACATCGAGTCACACGAACGTTTTAATTCTTTTAATCCCACTTGCTCTCAAAGAAAAATAAATAACAGGCGTAGTAAAGTCTATCAGGGCTCGTAAAGGGGGCGAAAATCGGCGACAGTATCGGGGCCAATGCTTTCAAGGTCGAGTTTTTCAAAGGTGAATAGTCATAACACGAAGCTGGCACGTCAAAATACAAAGCACCTTGGCCATGTAATCAACGCTTCCATCTACAAATTGTGTATAATGACTGGAATTCAACAATAATCAGCACCAAAAGGACACGCAAACTTGCTGCCTGTCTTCTCTTTTGCATCTTGTTGTAAGTCTAACAGTTTCGAACAAAACTTTTCTGAACACCTAACGCAAAGAGGTTAATACCGACAATAGATTGCTATAATAAAAACATCGAGGGCAATTGTTTCGGGATTCTCTTAAAGGAGCAGGGTTATGACATACTGTAGATTATTGTTATCTCTGTGCACTTCCCTCCATTCGTTTACCAATATTAAAACGCGGATGGAATATTTCTTGGGGCGATTTTTAGTAAGATCGAGAATATCATAGATTCAGTGGTGCGTTTATGCAGAAGACTATTGACATACAGCTGGAATGGAAATTGATCCATTTCCTTTTGCCATCAGCTGAAATTGCCACGAGGAAGTTAGTTTTCAGCTCACAAAATAAACCCATTCGAAATTCAAGCAGTAAAATTGCAATCCCTCCCTTAAAAATACTTCAACTTCAGAAATGAGACAAATTTTAGTGAGACGGAATAAAATTATATAATGCTACGACAATGAGAAATTCAAAGAACAGACAATCGAACAATCGAGCGAAATTGCTTTTAGCTAATATACATACGAGGCAGACATTGTTGAATTTTATGAGTACACTGCAAAATCCGTCTTGCACGCAAACTTTCAAATGGGTTTCAAAAAGCTTTTTTCGCTCAATGAATCACGCACAGCTTTTTTTAGAATCACTGCTCCCACATAAAAGCTAGGTACTTCAAACGGGGAGAAACCAATAAGGAAAAGATATGCCAGGGGTCGATAGGTCGATAATTGCGAAGCAGTAATGTGATTACAGCGTGTGCTCTATTGGAAATAGCGTGTTTTGTTACAAAGTCAAAATCCCGCAAAAAAAAAAAATTAAACTAACAGAAGAAAGATCACGCCATCACGCGACATGCAAAGCTGGGGTGATTCCAAACTACTGTAGCAATATTAAAAGCGAGATTTAAGAGCAGGAAGTTTGCAAAAAATTTAATAAAACTTAAAGCAAATAATGTTTTACCAAGTCGTTTTCTCAGCTTATTCAAGTCGCGGCTTGGATGCTTTGTGAGTGGCAAGTTATTACGCAAAAGTGGCAGAGAGTAAACATTGCTCTTTATTTTGAATAAAAACTGAGATCACTGAGATCTGCACAAAGGGAAAAGTGTTTATCTGGTGTCTGAGAAGATTAATACAATCCAGGGAAGCAGAGCTTTTAAAACGTTCCGCCTTTGGCCACGTTTGCATTGAACCAACCGTTGGCTCTTTCAGCATAAAAAAGCGAGGCCTATACGGCCAAGGCAGTTATCTTTATTATAGTTCATCAATCGCAAACTTTCGAGGTTCAGGAGGTTAATTTTGTAGTTTCTTGGTATGATGTTTAACAAGTCTTTAACTCAAAGGTCACTTTTGATGCGTAACAGTGAACTGCATTCTGTCTTCAAAGTTAACGAGCGACGGACAGTTGATGATTCTGTGTAAATACACGACTCACGTCCGAGGTTTAGGACTTGACGCGAAAATAGCTAAAAACGCAAAATCTGCGGAGACAAAGTCGATTGACAAGCGATGAAGATTAAGATTTTCTTTTGAGAAAGAAAAAGTCCGACCACTGCATTAGCTGACTGTGAAAACAAATATGTCCAAGAATCCGTCTTCTCGAAGTAGAGGTCATTTCTAATCGACAAAAACACTGTAGGATATCGATAATACAACTACAAGCTTTGACCTCATAATCTAGTCGTAACTTCCCAAGCTTCTGTACACCAATAAAATAAATATCAAGAGATGTGAGTAGGGCATTTCCGTGTCAAAGCAATTATTTACGCAGGTCGCTCTCTTGCGGTGAGTTTTCCGTTTTCCTTTTGTGCACGAGGGCTATCGTAAAATAAGTACTACAACTCAAACGATTAAAACACCAAACTATCCCGACCTTCGCCAATAGTACCAGTCACCTCTACAGCTCTAAAGCTTATTCTTTTCTTTCCCAGGGTGACAGTTCGCCAACTGATATTAATATTAGAGAAAGCCATAGGCATTAGCTTTGTGTCTATTTGCCACTTCGAGCTGAAGCATGGACAATGTACCAAGATGAAAACTTAGCCCTCAAAATCAGCTGGTGCTCAATAAATTGACTTCGCTAGTTTCAGAAACCGTGTCACAAATCGAACAACAGACACGTACAAAAAAAAATCAATACAATTTACCGATAAATTTGAACCAGACTTATTACCGGAGCTAGCATTGTTTAACCACCTAAATATTTTTGAAAACAAGAGCTTGTTTACACTGTGCACTTTTCGTTTTGGAAACCGATAGGACAGGTCCCACGCCTATCGGTTGTTTTCGACGCATAGAGCGCCTATTTAATCCAGTTAAATTCGAAATAATGAGAAAGTGGGTCCTTGGACAAGCCGAAAGCTTCTGTTCACGTTAATGCAACGTGAAATAGTTTCTTGAATGTCTAATTATGCTTCCAAATAGCGCTAGCTCGCTCAGTCGACGTGGAATATTTTTATCGGCGTGAAAAGAAGTCTAATAAATTTGGTCTAATCGTTTCGATAAAGGCGGGTAATACGACCAGAAATGACTGACTTGTTTCTGTTATTTACAAGGCGGGAGATATCTTGACCTATGGCGACCAAACCAAATAACCCAGATTTCATGTTTAGTTACTATGAACGAAGAATACGTCTGCATGTGATATTACCATTACCGCTTGCGGCGATGTATTTTTCCATCGCATGGTCCTCGGGAGACAATTCTGAAAAACCACACCACTTTTTCTCCTAAAATTCTCTTTAATTTTGTATAATTTCAGTGATGATGTCTTGGACATTCAGGTTTTGGACACGCAGTAAAGAAAATGCTAGGTCGGTGATGTTGCTCTCAGCAACATGGCCAATTTCTTGACTCATAAAACAAAATCAGACACACAGCGAACTCACAGTTCGAAGGAAGAAAATACATTAACAAATAGCTAAGCTACGCCGCTGTCGAACGGCGACGTAAGAAAAACGAAACTATAGAACCTCTATACAACGTCTATTTTACCTGTCTTACCACGAGCCTTGGCGAGAAGACTCGCGTGGCGTCTAAAATTGAAAAAGTTATTTACATAACATAGTTTACTTCGAACCTCTCTGTAGCTATATCAAAGATCATACCTTTTAGTTTCACTCTGGAACGACAGTTCCATTCTCTGTCCCCTGCAAATACTTATAAAATACTATACGTTTCTCAAAGTACAACAAATATCCTTTATAATTCGCTAACTATGAAGGTGACTAAAGGTTTTTAGGCTCAAAGCCCGTAATTTTCTGACATTGAAATTTGGAACAGACGAAAACGTTTAGTGTTCTTTGAAAGAACAGCAAGAACGGCGCAGCGGCCGGGCCAAGAAACGCCAATTTGTCTCCTTGTCGCGCTACTTATGAACAAGGAAGATAAGGCCAGCTTGTAGGCGTTCCGGACAATAACATATCTCTAAGCAGAGTCTCAATTGGCGTTTTACCCACGAGACGCACAAAGAAAAGCTGTTCGACAATGGAAGGGTTGATACTTCGTAAAGATGGTAACCTCAACAACAATTTGCCAAAGCGAGTGGGTTGATTTGGATACTGATTTCTTGTATACTCCTCTAATGCACATTGTGTCTTTTCCTGCAGACTCTCGATGTACTGCGGATCTGTCAGACCGGAGGCATCTGCGAAAACACAATTATATTTCGTGACATTACAAACTGGAGCTGATGTTGTTTGGTGGAGAGATAGGCGGGAAACACACTCCAAACAGCATTACTATTAATTTGCCGCGGTCGATGGATCAAGATCCCCTGATTTTCGCTAGCAGTTATGAAATATTAAAATGTATTAGAAAACCACTTGTAGCAACAATCTCTGAAATTAAAACTTGTATCCTTTCAAATCACTCACCTGATGTAAAGAGGACGATAGCTTTGAGACACGCGAATTCTGCAGCATCTACATGGAGATTACGGTACTTCTCGACCTGCTCTTGGAAGATTCTTACGTTATCCATAAATGTCACCATTCTATCAGGAGACATGTGGTTCGAATGGATACCAGCAGTGGCTAACAGAGGAGCAACTTGAAGGGGCATTGGACACTGGGCAGCGTTTAGTACAAACAATTCGCTCCACACCAAACGCAGAAGCGCTACTTGATCGGTGACTGCCAAATCCGGGAAGAAAGGGATATTTCTTGCCCACTCCACAGCGCTGAAGAGCAAACGAGCTGCCAATTCGCAGATGTTCTCGATGCCCATGATCCCACAAGGCATGTTTAGACCCTGTTGGAATCGCGCCGTGGGATATGGTTCGGCTCTGAGCAGCAAGCTGATAAATCCAGAAAGGAACGAGTGGCCATTTGTAACATCAGCTCCATTCAACGCCGAGTGCTGCGGACTTGGCTGAGGCACTGGTGTAGGAGGGATGCGACCTCGCTGGACGGCTGTCGTGAAAAGGTGAAAAGGTTCATTCAACATGTTACTCATGCACTTACAGCAGGTACTCACAACTAACAGTCAAAGTGACGCTTACGGATTTGTTACTCAAATGAAAATTTCTCACCCGTACCCTCGCGTCTCATGCCGACCTTGATGCATTTTCGCAGCCGGCAATACTGACACTGATTTCGATGATGCTGATCAATGGGGCAATTCCGCGATGCTCGACAAGTGTAGCTGAGGTTACGGCGAACGCTGCGCTTGAAAAATGACTTGCATCCCTCACAGGTAAACACTCCATAATGCTTTCCAGAGGACTTGTCGCCACAAACTGCGCACTCCACTTGCTGCACATTTTTTTCGGATGGCTCTTCAACCGGTTCGGTCTTCTCCGTGCACCAGGTTGAAACGGGGTTCACGGCCATACCACCCGGTAGATTAGGACTACGGATATAATTATAAATCCAACAGTTAGTGCTGTTTCGCGAGCGGCCCTTGTTCCTGTGATTAATCGCTCAGTAGCGAGAGATCATTGCACGCGGAAATAATTAGTGGGTTCCCAGCAGCGCGTGATGTCGCGTTCACTTACTCGACTAGAAATCCTTTGCGCGAATGTTTTTTTCACGCGGCTAAGTGGCATATGTAGACGTGTAGCGGCAGAGAGGAGAGCACACAAGCAGCAAACAGTAGCTCGCTATGTAAAAACATCAACTGTGTCATGTCTGTAAAAGCTGAACTTTGACATAATCTGTTGGAACTGTCGGGTATCCGTGGAAACCACTGCTATATATGGTCGGGCTGTCAAATAGAGGTTCAAGGGCTCTTTAACAGTTGTGACTGAAAATTGCCCCAGGGCTTAGGAACGTTCAGCCTGATTGCATTTATTCGTCACGAGGAGCGAGTGATTGGCCCAGAATCGCCCTTAACTGACACGGCGAAGACTCTTTGTCTGAAACGTCAGTGCGGTTTTTTATTTCTAGCTTCGCGAGCTCAGTACTCGCGCTTTTACAGAACAACAGCTTCAGGCTATTTCGGCTAGACAACGAGAGAAATTTTAATGTCAGATTTACTGACGATCGTTGAAAATAGCCATGGCAGCTAGAAGGGTTCGCATGACTATCATGCGTGAATTTCGTTGGGTAAACAGCAATTTAACACTTTGACGTACGCACGTGAAACTAGATATCACGAACAAGATACGACGACCACAGACTCACAAAGGCGTTCTTCGAGTAATTGTACCTTTTTCTCCGCTTACTCGTTTTAATGATAGTCACGCCGGCAGATATTATACAGAACATTCCCTCCCCTTACGCGGAGGTCTTTTGTTCAGGAAACAAGTTAGAAATTCCATTTGACCCGCGTGTTATGATAAGACACGGACTGTCATCGGCCGGCAAAATTAATGACAGGCCTCGATAACGGATCTTACAGATTCTAGATGGATAATTTTCACTTCTTCCAAAAACATACGCTAAGACACGCAACCTTTGAATATTTGCGCAAGCATTATACAGTTCTCTATAACGTATTGTTCGAGATGGCGATCCATGTCTTAAGTTGTGGGGTTCATAAATGCGGAAAAACATCGGAACCAGCGGGAAATTTGACCGATCGGCGACAACATCGCACTACCAAGTGCCACAAATCCTGGCTTTCACAGAGATACGAGCTAAATGATTTTCAGATAATTTGCATAATTAAACTGCGAGAAATACCAAGTAGATACTACTAAACAAAGATGTTTATTGAAGTTGATCGACCGCCCGCTATCAGTAACCCCGTACGCGAAATATCATTAAACCAAGTCACGCAAACTATAGTTTCTGAAGAAGCAATTTACAATGGTCAATTTTAACGACCTTGCCCATTAATCGATGTAAATTCAGCATTAAGGGCCATTAGAAAACCCCCAAGAACAGTTATTGAGTTTTAAGACGGCTGAGCATTTAAAATAGCTTCAATAATTTTTTCTGTCGAATTCTCCAGTGCCAGCTAGACAAAGAGTCGCTTGGGTGCATTCTTTTAATAGCTCGCATTTCGCGCGGATAAAATTGCACCATTATGAAAACACTAAGAACTGATGATAATAGCCCAAAGACAGCTTGATGAATTGTGTTTATACAAAATTATATTTAACCTTGACACGCCAGAAAGGGCGGTGCTTAAGTCTTTGTTTCACGTGCGAAACCAGATCCAACTTCCGCAGACACAGTAACTAAATATTAAATCCCAACAATGCGTTCATCTTATTTTCTTTCAATTTTCTGTGCAACGTAACCAAGACTATCTAGACTGATCTAGCAAAGGTGTTGCAATTACCAGTTGCAAATACAATGATGTTGACAACAAACCGCGATAAAAATGCACTTGCTATTATCCCGCTCTTTCACGATGTTAGTTTGTTGACGAACACAATGAGGTCATAGAAGTTTATAATTGTGATCGATGGCGTGTTTCGATTGGAGTTGTACATTAGACGATTTTTACGCCTAACCTTACAATAGCTTCTCATTTCCGGGTCGTTTCGATTTCCTCCAGCCAATTTACAATGTTCACGGGGCCCCGCTGAATAGAGAAGGCTAACGTTTGCAAACAAAAGCGGAAAAATAATTTTATCGCATAAGATCGCGTCGTGAAATGTGAACAAAGCCGGTGAGTGGTGCACGCAGCTGAATGAATCCAAGGTTAAACGAAATTTCAAGAAGTGAAGCCAAAGGTTGAAACAATGATCTAATTAAAACATTACCAAGTTTAAGAAGAAGGAAATGCCACTTGTTATTAGGTCAAAAAGCTTTTCGACATTAATCTTGACAGGATGTTTCTCGCAAACTGTTTACGTAATACTGAACTCACCGCAAGTCTTATTGTCCCACTTGATAGTAAAATATTTATCAAAAATATTCTTTTTACCCAATTATGCAGGAATTTGCGCGGTAAAAATAAGTTTCGAGTCATTTTCAGTTTTTGTTTTTTAAGTCCATATAATGCCACTTTGTGAAGGTGTTTACGATAAATTTCGCATAAGTAATAAAAAGTAACCACAAAAAGATCAAAGTTCGCAAAGTTTATCCTTTTGATACAGAAACCTTTTCCCTCCAATAATTTTATGAGACCTAGCCCATTCAATACTGCAAACATTATATTCTACCTCTGAATACAGATTATGATGGACAACTTTCAAAAGCATATTAAAATTTTTATCTGCCCTTTTTGTCGGATATAGTGTCCAAATTTTGAGATTGTCTACCACCACACAGTGGGTAGATAAAATCCAATTTTCACGGTAACACCACAGGTATTTAAAGTCGAGAATCACATTCCTTTCTCTCCACAATAGCAAATAACAAAACCTGATTATAAAGAGAGAGCTATGTAATCCAATTGCAAGAGGTGTTTCTTAGCTAGTTACAAGAGGAGCTTACCGAGATGTCTTTGCTCGGCTTAAAATCAGCGGCGTGAAAATCAAAGAATTATCACATGGATATCATAGCCAGCCACAATAACCTGTATCACCCATCCCACTCAATAATTGACATTCAGCTCTAGTAAGAGGGTTTCACAATAACACGGTCATTAAAACGGGGAAATGTGGTTTTCTTATACCTTTTTCATTAGCGTTGTCCGCTTATAAATACTGATAAATATCTTATTTTTCTTTTCAACAACCAAAGCAAGCTTTATCAATTCATTTCTCACCACGGTGCAAGAAAAACTTGTTCCCCTTTGTAGTTGAAAATTATCATTAAAACACTTTGGTCTACCTATGCCGTCACAATCTACATTTGAAAGGAAAACATCTTTATCAAACAACAACAAAAACAACAACAAACAACAACCCAATCAAAACAAGAGGGCAGAAACTTTTGGTTCGTTTCTTACAGGTAGTTGCAAATGCGTTCTCTGGTATCTGGCATTTCACAGCTAATCCCTTGCCAATTTGACTTCTAAGGTTAAATACAAGAGCATCTTTTCCAAAGCCATTATCTTGTTATCTCCAAATGATTAATATATTTGACACCCATCAACTTTCCATCTGTCTGCCAATCCTTAACATATGAATACCGCCTTATAATATTGTTGAGATATTAGCGCCTTTCAGATCAGTCTTTTTAACTCTGACAGCAAATTTTAACGTAATGCCACACATCTTAAAGAAAGCTGGAGCAGTCTTCAGCTTTGCAGACTCTTTGCCACTTTCCCTAAAAGCTCTCAACGGTTTTCATATATTTCGTTCATTAACATGGTTTTAGTTTAAGGCGTGCTTGTTATCCTTGGGTAAAATTCTACCCTGTCACTGTGCTAGAAGCAGGCACAGACAGTCACTTTAACTGAACCTCACCTATTATGCTATTGATCTAAACAAGTTTTTCTGCTTTAGATAAAGTGCGCACAATAGATGGATAGAGTGCGTATAATTCTATCTGCAAATTCAAGCATATATCTGTTGTCTGCCTCACCAATACCAGCCTTAACCTTCAACAAAGCTAAAAGCGAAACAACTCTGGTTCCTTCAGTGAAACGGTCAACAAACTACTTAAGTCGCATCTGCAAGAAAAGCAACATCTCCATGCTATAAAAGTTGCTTTCATTGGGCATGCTACATTCACTGGGACTATAAGTACTCGAACACAAAAAGAAAGTAACAAACTGTTCAAAAACTCCAATATGTTATAAATCGAACATAGTTAACATCAAATATTTAAGAAAGTAATAATGAAAAGTAACACCAAAAAAAAAAAGAAAACGCTTTTCGTTTCTGTAAGTTGAGGCAAATTCTTCCTAAGAACATTATCGATCACGAATATTACTGTCCTTGTAGGAGCAAAAGAAAACATTATATAAAGGGTGGGGTCGTGTAAAAACGTTGACAGATAACACTGACTGCGCTACAGAATTTGTCGCCTACTATGATCTTTACCAACAGGGAGGGGCTTCGTCCCATAGGAAACCAACAACCAATAAGGAAGGAAGGATATTGGGACTTCTATGTCGACGATAATGGAACGGCTATGATACCCATTTATCACGACCTGTGTTACTCCAAAGTGAAGCAGTGCTGATGGAAACTATTACCCTGGTAAAAAACACTAATTAAGGTTGAATTACTCTTCTCTCCATACCGCTGCCTAAGCTTGGTTCTTAAAGGACACTTGCATTGACTTTCATACTTACTAAAAGTCCTCCATCGATATTCTGTGCAGTGAATTTTGGTAGAAAGCGTAGTTCTGGGAGTTTGAGGACATTTCTCAACTCAAATTACAGGACAGACACCCGCAGATAGGATTTCTATTGTTTTAGGATCACTCAGACAAGAGCGATGGGAACAAACTGAGCAATCTTGCGGTCAAAAGAACATTATAAGAGCTTTTTGCCCCTAAGGACATCGCGCACGCCCACTGTCCACGTTTTAAAGTAAGACAAACCCGCTGTTTTTTCGACAAAATCAGAAACTACTGCTGGAACGATTCAAAATAAATTCAATGAAAAACACCTTTACCACTTGTTTTGAATAAGAAGGAAACATAACCTTTGACCAACTAAAACTAAAATAACAAACGAAACCTCGAGAGGAAAACAAGGCAAAATAATTATTCAATTAACTACAATTCATCGCTGATGCTTTTTGAAAAAAAAAAGCCCTCTCTAAAGAAAATGATCTGCTAAGTCTTTGTGAATGTTGTTAACATTTCACTGATTTTAATGGAGTAGAAATTTAAGGGAATTTTGCATTGGTGATCATAGGAAAGACTGAAGATGAAAAGGTGAAAATTGAGGACAACATATCATTCTTTATTTAAGTATCATTTCGAATAGCTTCCCCTCTCTCAAGAAAATCGGAAAACACCGGCTCTTGTCATAACAAAAATGGCAGCGATAGCTGTGGCAAAAGGAAGTTTTTATTTGTAAGCATCAACAGGTTTTTCCTCCGTGTGACAGCTCTTGATTGAAGAACCGACACAGCGAAGAGAAACAATCTTGTCGTAAAGGGGTTTTTTTACCATGGTTAAAACTGATTTATGCTCACAGACGAAAATCATTTAGAATTCACCTTCGTTGACCTTAATAGCCTTTGAGGATTTTGGGTTTTGCTTAATGGTTATCTAAGTACACTGAAATACTCTGAGCAACAGACGATCGTGTACTTTGATGTATTTGACTGTTGCTGGTGACAGTGATTAATGTTTTCAACATCCAGAGCGGAAGTCACCGTCAGAGTCAAACGGGTAGTTGTTTTTTAGTCTATGTGTTAGGTCTGCTTCATGGGAACTAAATTCCACCGTGATGTTATTGGGTCGCCACACTCAGGAAGCGATCGTTAGTTGTGGTTAGTCAGTTGGTAAAGTTAGCTTCCTCCGCTAGATTCCTTGAGAACAAGTCGTTAGTGGGGCGGCTGATAGCTATTGACATCTGTTGAGTGCGCTCTGATATAAAGTTGGTAAACCACCTCTTCAAGGCAGTTAATGAAAATCGTCGATGCTGTAAATTTAACATTACGCGGGGTCTCCTGAAGGCGACAATGATCCTTCAGCGATGTGATTGATTACTTCGATCACCTTTCATTGTTATTGCTTTCTAGACTATTATTGTTTTGGTAGTTTTATTTTGAATTACTTACGTCATTGGTGAGAAAGAGCCTAATTTTTTCAAGAAACTTATTTTCTAAACTTTATCTGTGTTCCTAAAACAGTACGAGCACTTTTCAATATCCAAGGAGGTACCGGATAGGCCCCTAAAATTCTACAAAAAATTCACTAGCAATGGCAAAACCCTTTGAAAATGACGCTGAGCCGATTTGCCAAAACATCCTGAGCAACACGTAGCCTGAAATTACGATTGCCCACAAAAGGTCAACTTCGTCAGTGCATTGACGTAAGTATTGCGTGAGAAACCTTGAATAAGCGAGATATATCTTTAAGCTGAAAACTTGGCACACATCGCCAAAACTAAAATTCCCTTTATAATCAGTCACGTTTCTGAACATGTTTCAGCTGATTTGGGATGAAATTTGAACATCCTCTTTCTTTAGGTAAGGATTTTAAAATACTTCGTAGATTCAACATATTCCAACATATATCTTCAATGTTCCATTATTATGTAATCGACTCCCGTCGAGAAATGAGCCCATCTTTTTTGTTTTAATCCAAGACACCAGGCAGAAGTTATTGACAGTAAATCTGGCCCTCTAAATATTTAGAATTTTTCGATGTGTCTGCCAAAAAAAATTTTTGCTTTCCGTCAACCAAGGAGTTATCAAAAAAATCTGAGCAGTCGGCTCCAACAAAGGGACTTTTTTTTCTGCTTCTTGACTAATACGACGAATAACCATTTTAAGATAAGGGATGAGATTGTCTGAATAGGAGCATGGGCAATGCAAAAGAAAAGCTTGCTCTTGTCACCCTCACAGTGGGCAAAATGCAACACAATGTGAAGTATGTGTTCCGGTCTAAGGTTGTGAGAAACTACCAGTCTAGAGGATGCAGTGTGTCACTAATTTAACAGAACACCAGCGGACAGGCCAGACGTATTTGATATGATTGAATGAGGTGTTTACGGTCATGTTTACTACCAAGATTGGAGAAACCGTTCATTCTTGTGGATTCATCATCCGTTATGAAAAGGTTTAGTATATCAGGTTTCCTCATTAGGACAGCTGTGTGAAGGAACACTAGGGATGAATCCTTCACAGAAATTTAAACGCAAATTGACTAAAGAGAGCAAGGAAGAGAAAAACTTCAGTTTTAGCTTTGGCTTTGAACGCCGGCAGAAAATGACTTTAAAAAATTTAGACCCTTAAGATATCAGAAGAAAATGTATCATATGTTCAATGATTTTTTAAATGGATAATAAGTCTATTCTGTAACTTTGAATTCGGTACATTTTAAACCCAAATAATTGACAACTAATGCCTAGTATATTATGAGATTTGCAGCGATATAAACATATTTGAACAGGTAGTGAGAATTAGTTTCCTACGTGAACGTAAAAAAAGAACACGTTAGAATTGTTTTTAGCTAAGCTAAGGTTTCCAACACAGACTTGAAGACGTTGTACAGCATAATAAACATTCCAACACGTAAGTGATACTTGAAGTTTCCATTTGAAAACTGAAAATACCGTAAGATTTCGTCGAAACCGAAACCTTAGATTCAAGTTTAAAAGAAAACTTTTTAAAGTACACAGGTATGCAGTTATTGGCTTTTGCTGTCTTAAAAGTTGGGTAAAAATCTTTCAGTATGACAGCAAAATAAACTCCTTCACACAAATGGCATCGTATGAAATAGCTAGTGAGCACATGTCATTTTACTAAAACATATACCTGGGTACTTGAGATTTTACAAAAAGTGCTCATTATTCATGATTTTCGTAACTTGTTTAGGTACGGTAGGCAAGTACAGATTCCTAACTGAGTAACTAGTCACCTGGTATGGCCGCTTGGCAACAGCTTTTTCAGACTTTTATCTTTAGACTCAAAAGTTCAACTGTGCTATTAACTGGAGAATATGATTAACAATTGGTTCATGCTTTAGCGTGCACTATCGAGTTATGGAGCACGCGGGAAGTTTGGAGAGCACGAAAGAAGCGTCCGAGGGCAACTCTAGCTTCTTGAGTGCTCTCCTAACTTCCCACGTGCTCCATAACTCAATAGTGCACAGCTAAAAGCATGAAACGATTGTTTTATAACATAGCCGGCGGAATTGTGCATCAAGTCCGACGCGAAAAACAGACAACAATATCAGAAGTGATTGTTCGCGATAAGCGAAATATTTGTTTGTGTCCAGTTTTCCTACCGTCATGTTTTCCATCGGAGTTTGTATTTGTGTCTCGTTACACCAAGCTACAATAAAAACAAGTTTTCTTTGAGTTTAAAAAGAAACCATTTAAAAGTTATTTTCGTGAAGGAAAACCAGGCAGACTGGTATCGCTACATCCGTAATTTGATGTAATTAAATGTGGCAATACTTTTGAAGACAATTTTTCCGTGAGTTTTACTGTTTCCGAGAACAACTGTAAATATATATTTAACAATTTTAAAGCGGAAAAATTTAAGTTTACCTTTTAAGGTTGAAACAGACCAGTTTGTCATTTGTTTAGTTTTACCAGGGTGTCTTTCTGTCAAAATCTGTTGCATTTCACCCTCGGACAAGTGAAGCGAATCGTGACGGCGCGGATGCAGTCTCCTTTTCCGTTGTTTTTCTCGTTTTCTGCATCATTTAAGAACTCTAGCCCAATGGAAAAGATCGGAAAATTGTCTTCGTTTTGGGACTGGTGGGCCGAGTCTCTGTTTGTTCCCATTACTGTCGCGAAATATATTATTTTTCCCCGCGCTATCACTGGCCGCTCGCGCCAAAAAAAAATTTATGGCGAAGCGATTTGCTCACGCTATCAGCGTGCACTATCGAGATTTTGAGCACGCTTACGTATATTGAATTTGATTGCGCGGCTCTGCTAGCTATGTTATAAAAGTATATAGAGACAACAGCTTCGGCCTTGTTGTCTGGCGTTAAGTCAAAATTAGAAACACGTTTTACTCTGTAGAACTCAGCATAATATGGCTTGAGGTGACACATCACGTTGTATGCTCGTGTTCTAGAAATTATGTCAACAATCGTTTCTAAGTATCCTGTATCTTGGATTTTTTTCTGTCAAGTCGAGGTAAAGTTGTTAAACAACAATAATATCCTAGCATTCATCTTGAGTTATAGCAATACGAGGCAGTGAACAGCTGCCAACCAAATCGGTAATTGTAATTAATCTTCAAAGTAAGCAACCCACTTAGTTCAGTCACGTTTTTGGATTTTTTTTTACTATCAGGATGATGGAAGAATGCTATAGTTTGCATTATCATATTATAGCCACAAAAAGATTATACGTTTATGGAGCAATAAGTTTTTTAATCTTGTTCATCATAATTGGATAAATATTAACCTAAAACCTTTCGACAGAGCAAATTAATTGCAAACGACAAAATTTCTTGACGCTAATGTTCTCAATTTAATCTCACGTCTTAAATGATGGAAGCCAAAGCAGAATAAAGTGTACTGAATCGTAAAGGCGAAAATCTCTCTGAGGTCTGTGTTTCATTATACGGTTCAAAACGGCGGAAGGGACGGAAGTAAAAAATAAATCAAAGAGATCATGATTGATGATTTTCGCACAGTGTAATATTGCATACATGGCACGTGAAATGTGATCTTCTAAAACACTTCATCCAACGCCCTCTTCAGCGAGAAGGAAATTTCACGAGATTTTCAGGCCTTTAACATCCCATCCTCAAAAGTTACACCCACCAATCAGCAAGATGTCAGCTTTCTTCAATCAAGCAAACTGAAAACTCTTGGGAATGACAAGAAGATTTAAATGCGCGCACGCCAGTTTGCCGCTTATGTCGCAGACTTCACGATTGTCTGAAAATTTTGACTCCGTCTGCCCCAAGACTAACTTACCACGATCGCTACATATGTATTTCAGAGCACAAAGAGCAGCGCGTTCGCAAGTGCTAAGACGGGGATAGTGATTCTGTAAGCGCGCCAAGCCAGAGCTCTAGAACAATAGGACACGCGTGCGATTGATATACCCTCGCATGAGGACGTTACGAAATAAACCGTTACGGCACGGAAAGGGCAGTCGCTTATCCAGGACCCAAGGCGCCAATGAAAACATTAAACAATTAATTGAACAGTATATGTAATTATTTAAAAGAGGCAAAGTTTACAGAGGTGAACCTCGTTCGGGGCATTCAAATACGTTTAGTATTGGTCACTCTGTTGAAAATGGCCTCAAGAATGAACTCGGTTTTATCTTGCATCGCACAGATAGGAAGCGAGTTAAGAGATCGCCGTCATTTCCTTTGGCTTTAACACTTCACTGTTTAAGTTTGTGGTTTTCTAGTTAAGCCGAGGTTGGTGTAAATGTTTCTTCTAGTTGTTCTTAGTGACCTAAGGGGCAATATTTGCACTCAATGGTATTTCTAATTTTAGACGAGATCAATCGCGACCAACATTTCGTACAACGCGATGTCCTCTCATGTCTACACTGGCCTTTAACTAACACCTTCACTTAAATTCTAAAATCTGACACGGTTGTACATTACCTTGCAGATAGGTTTTATCCCTCAGTTCAGCTGTACGAATGGTTTGTCGGTGGGCTCCAACAGAACAGCATCAAGCGACGTGCAACGAATATTATGTTGCTGAGATGTAATATGATCGTACCAAGGTTCACCGATATCTCGTGACCAGACTTCTTAATCTAACGGAAACGATAATCTTAAACTATAAATGCCAGCGCAAAGGCAATTGCTGAAGAGAGGATAAACACTGAGATCTGCTTCCCTAGAAAACGAGGTAAAGAAAGATTCGTGTAAATACGAGGCTCAAGTCTTCATTCTCTGCTCTGTCCAGCCATTTAAAGCCCAGTAAGAGGAGATCCCATTCAAACGTTGATCTGCGAACTGAAAGTCGCAAATGCAGACGCTCCGAGTTCTGTGCGATAAAAATAGATATCTACCACTTTGGAAAAACCATCAAAGCGACATTCACAAGTTTCTTCTTGACCTAATATCATGAAGTAAAAATGTCAAAAGATTTTATCGGCTGAAACCTCTTCTACAACCCTCTTTATGTTGTTTTTTCGCTAATTTTGGGTCGGCGTCAAAATCTTTGATCCGACCTTCACCGTTAGGTTATTTCTTAATAATCCTTTGCGGAAGTGTTTTTATAGTTCCTTATTACGAGAAGCAAAGCCTAAAAACTGATCGAAAACGCTCTATTCTTTTTATCCTTGAGCTGCAAAATTGAACGAAAATGGAAAATCATACAAAATTCTCGTGAGTTTTTGAACCCCTCAAAATTCAAGGATGCCTGTCATGAGAATTCAACTATTGATATACTTTGTCAGGCGAAAACCCTCCAATAGCGTGATAGAACGATCTCCTCTTGCAAGCTCGTAGAAAAAGGCGCACGCGTGTAGTCTAACCAGAACCCACATGGCACTTCACGATCTTACTTAATTAAAATTTCATTTGTATCACAGAGATAATGTTTTGAATGATAACGACAGTGAACCGATGAGTCCACGCTGTACATCTTGGGTTATGAGTGCCAAATATCACAGAAGAGAAATTGAAAGCAGATCAGTCCAGGCATGTATGTATTTAGGACGATTCGTAGAAGTGGACAAAATTCCTGCCGGTGTGAACGCTCCTCCCGGCTGCGAGAACGGAAATGGGTTCGATCAATCCGTCAGCTCCCCATCGTTATACGAAGTTTACGGTCAGTTATGTCTTGCGTCAAGAGAAAATGATATTTCTCTTCCTTACCAGCTTATTGGTAACACTTGCCTCAACGAATTAGTAGAAAACGAGCGGAAGTTTGTCTGGCACATGGTTTACCAAGAAATGTTTACTTTGGCGGGACCTCACGATTAGTTGATGTTTTAATTAGATTCCTTTTTTAAAAATGCCATCTTGTGTATAATGATTCAATCTATTGTTTCTTAATCTTTTTTCTGAAATCCTCCTACTTTAAAAGCAAAAAATTTAAATTGTAAAACAACGATAGGGTATAAATTAAGTAACATACCTTTGAAAGGCCAGAGTGGGTTTTATGGTGTCCTTATGAAAAAAATATAAATAAAAAAATTGACAACCTTGTGCATGACAGTCTGCAAGTGCGATGGCTCAGACCACAAGGATCATCTCAACGTTTTCAGTGTTCCTGATTGGTAACCCGATGTTTCCTTTAGCGAAGTAGGAAAGTTATCTAACTGCAATTTATTACTTTGTGAAGCTATCGTTCGAAAATAGAAAGGGGGGGGGAGGGTGGACAAAACCTTGTTGTTCTTTCGCACTATCAAAAAATAGTTAACCTTTCGCAGTTTCAATTTAGCGGTGAGATCATACGAACTTTCTTTCGAATTCAAGAGGAATTCTTTTGGTATTCAAATATTGTATACTCATGGTGGTGAGGAAAGAGAGAAATAGCCAATCAAGATATTTTGTTGTCGGTGATCAAGCAGTAAGGTTTTTATATAAAATGGAGGGAAAATGATAAAATAAGAGTCAGTGTAGTTAACGCTACAACTGAGCTGAGGATAAGGAATTGATAAAACTGTAAGAAGGCACAAGGAACGGTCTGATAGTGGTCACATTTTTTGTCCTGATCTCCAAGTGCGAGAAGAGACAAATTCAGCTCAGGTACATTTGGGTAGATCATTTTCCAAGTAAAGTGATATCCTGAATAAGCCGTATTTAATATAAAATAAAACAGAAGATAGCGTTGAAGGCGCGCTCTGATTAGGTTTTACAACACCAAATATGTTTTGCCATTCACTTCTGAGCCACGCACGCGGGATTTGGGTCCGAAAATATTATCATCGACGCAGGAATAAATTAGTTTAAGTCATCATTTTGTGCTTTATTATCTCACTGTTTAAGTGAGTATTCACCTCAGCGTCGGTGGTTAGCAGCGATGAGCACTTGCTACCTCCACCTTGGTCAATAGTTGTTAAATAACCAGAATTGGGTGAACCAATCAGGATACTAGGAATGAAATATTTGGCGAGAATTTAATAATCACTATTACCGACAAACCTGTTATCCACTATTTAATGTCCCACCCCTAATCCCCTTTTTGCATGGGGGAGGGGGGCGGGGAGAGAAAGGGTTACAGAAGTTTTACAAAATTAAAACGTTACAGGTAACATGCGATATTATAGGGCAAGCTTACCGTATCGCAGACAATTGAAAAATTCCAGTCATCGCTCCAGTACATTCTAGATCATAAAAATATTCTCACGGGAAACGGCCGAGAACTTTAGCCGCTTGTAAAAAAAACTGACAAATTTTAACCGCTAGTCATACAACAATGACAACATATTAAATGTTTGCCGTGAAACATATCATCCCGTTGAAACCCTCATTATATTCTTGAATATTCGTATCTAAATGGAGTTAGTTTCTGCCCATCAATTGCAAAAATTATCTACAGTCCTTCAGTATTTACAGTCCATCAGTCCACTTTCCATTGTTTGAAGCTGATGCCTCAAAAAGCCTTCCTGTTTCTATACATAGCCAGTTTTAACTATTTCTTTTTCAGTTCATCAGTCCACTTTCCATTGTTTGAAGCTGATGAATTAAAAAAAAGCTTTCCTGCTTCTATACCTCAGCCATTTTTAACTATTTCTCTTACGGTTTATCTGTCCACTTTCCATTGTTTGATGCTGATGCATTAAAAGGCCTTCCTGTTTCTATGCATCAGCCAGTCTTAACCATTTCTCGGACAGTTTATCCTTTTCTTTTCGAAGCTCTGCCATTTTCACTCGAAGCTCACTCAGTTCTGTTTTCATCTCGTCATTTTCACGCTTTATTTCTGCTGCTTTGTTTTCATCAATTATGTTAATATTTTTCTCCGTGCAGAGTTTGGCGTCCATGAGTTTTTTATAGTTCTTTCCTTCAGTACGGATACTCTCCTGGTATTTCTCAATGTGTGATTGCAATGACTGACAAGAATTTTGAAGTACGTGGGATTCTTCCTTCAACTTACACTCCGTGATCTTGAGAAAATGTTTGAGTGCTTCCATGTTATCGATAATTATCGCGTTGGAGGGATCTTGTTCACAGCTCGTACGATAATTTTGAACAAGAAAATCAAAATCACCACGTATTTTGCTCTGGCTTGTCACTACAATCAAACAACGAGTGAGCTTATCACACGCCTGGTCAAGTTGTCTCTTTCTTTCGCTTAAACTCTCACACTGAGGAAATTGAGTCCAGGGTTTTGGTAATACTTCCTGATGACTATCTAAATGAGCAGTGCCCTTGTGGACAAGACCAGCCCTATTCTCGTTCAGATTGGTGCTAACTGACTGAGCAGAAGGCACAGGAATATCACCATTTTTACTCATGGAGGACCCGCTCACAGTAGCAAAATGAAATGGTTGCACTAAACGATAGACAGGAGTTGGTTGAGGCGCCAAAGGAACACACTGAATGCTAGACTGCTGCAAGCCTGACGGAGGAAAGAAAGGACGTGTTACTAAAGGATAACACCGCTGTAGATTTGCTGAGGGTGTTTGAGGCGGCACCGTATTCATAACAACAGAATTTCCTGTATTTATCACAGTTACTGATTGTGGCAAACGGCTTTGCTGTGCGTTGACTACCACTACTGGCGTGACGTTTGAAGACGCCACACTATGAGATGGTCGCAGATTGCCCGAAGGATGTATGTTTGGGCTGCTCAAAGGAAAGGCAGTAGAATACCTCGTGTGTACCGTGTTTACTGCCGACTGGACGTTTAAAGACTCCGTACTAGGGGATAGTCGCAGACTACTTGAAGGATGCATGTTTGGGCTGCTCAAGGGCAAGACAATGGAATTCCCATAATGCACCGCGGTTTCTGCTGGCTGGACATTTAAAGACGCTGTACTAGGGAATGGTCGTACTTTCCCCGAAGGATGCATGTTTGGGCTGCTTAAGGGCAAGACAATGGAATTCCCAGAATGCACCGCGGTTTCTGCTGGCTGGACGTTTAAAGACGCTGTACTAGGGAATGGTCGTACTTTGCCCGAAGGATGCATGTTTGGGCTGCTCAAAGGTACAACAGTGGAGTTTACGGTAAGTTCCGTGGTTACTCCAGGCCTGACATTTGAAGATGCCGCACTAAAGTATGGTCGCAGGTTTCTTGAAGGATGCATGTTTGGGCTGCTCAAAGGTAAGACAATGGAAGTCCCAGAATGTACCACGGTTTCTGCTGGTTGGACATTTAAAGACGCTGTACTGGGGGATGGTCTTACTCTGCCCGAAGGATGCATGTTTGGGCTGCTCAAAGACACAACAGTGGAGTTTACGGTTAGTACCGTGGTTACTACTGGCCTGACGTTTGAAGATGCCGCACTAAAGTGTGGTTGCAGATTTCTTGAAAGATGCATGTTTGGGCCAAAAAAGGAGTTCCCTGCATGCACCGTTTCAACTGCTGGCCTGACGTTTGAGGAAGCCATATCTGGAGATGGTGGCAGGTTAACCGCAGGAAACATTATGGGACTGCTAAAAGGAACGAAGACAGAATTCCTTTTATGAACCGTGGTTATTGAGGATGAAAAACGGCATTGGTGTTTGTTGGCGTCCTCCACTTTAACTGACCTCACATTTGGAGAGGCTGCACTAACAAATGGTCTTAGACTGCCTGAAAGATGCATGTTAGGGCTGCTCAAAGGCGCGACGATGGGATTTTCTGATTGCACTGTGGTTGTTGAGGATGGCGAATGGCCTTGTTGTGCGTTGGCGTCTTCTACTTTTAGCGTCCTCATGTTTGAAGATGCTGCAATAGAAAATAGTGGCAGAGTTCCATTTTCTGATGCTGACGTCTTTCTGTAACTGGATGCCTCAGAAGAAATACAAGAAACAGGTGCTACTTCATTAGTCGTAGCTGAATATGTCCGATTATAGTGACTTTTACTCGCTTGTTGTGGTATTGCTCCTGGTAATGATAAGCCTTGAGATGATCTTTGCTGTTTCAATGGACTGCCTGGCATTTCAGGAGGAACTGAGTAAAGCTGATTTCTTTTTAAGTAGCAGGAATTTTCACCACCCTTTGCTGAGAGCGTAAGGCAAGGATTGGCAACACTCATTCGAGCAGCGACCTTCACCCTCCGGCTTCGTCGCTTGAATTTATCACATCTCTCTCCACTTGTGCACCCAAGACAGGTACCAGAACAACATGTGCCTGTATTCAAAATTCTTCTAGATTTCCTCTGTGTGGAGTCTTCTGTCACATGACCCACTCTCTTCTTGCCAAAGTGTTTAGCAGCAGAAGGTAAATACTGTATTGAAAATCCGATTTTCCCTGGCAATGGAATACACTTACCAACATCAATTTTATGCAACAAAACCTTGAGGTCATGAGCCTCTTGGTTTAGACTTGAGTGCAGCATGTTCTGTTTTATGAAGGTATTCACAGAAAGGCTCTCATCAGCTTTTTTCCTGGTTAGTTGTCTTCTGCTATTCATTATTACTGGACAGTCTACTCTGGACTGTATAGGACCCTTCACCTGTTGAATATAAAAACACGTAATGAAACAAAAGCCACTTTGAATAATATCAACAACAATAATAATTATACCTTGTAGGAAAATAAGAAATATCTATCATATAGGGCAAAATTTCTATGTATTAAGATGGATACAGCTTTCTTTTTGGTAAGATTTCCGTATAACCCTATACTTCGTCATGCATACAATTCTTGGATAAAAGAAAGCAGAGGATAACAACAGATTACCTTTGGGATCACGGCTTTGTTTTTGACTGGTATGGGGTTATACGGAAATCTTTTCTTCTTTTTTCCCAAACTTCAAGAAACAAAGACATCTGGTGATAATTCTTCGAAACTGAAAAATGCTCTAGCATCTTTAGGCGTACCTTTGCAGTAACAAGGATGCGATCGGTTGTTCTTACATAGATTTCGTCACTCGCTCAGTCGAACTACCCAACATGATAAAATCAACAATACAAAGACGTATTCTTTGTAGCACGAAGCAACTGATACTAAAAAAATACTTTCACACCGATGACTTCTCAAGATATTCTACAATAGCAATTTACGAAACGTTCGAAGGATACATGAGTGGTAAAAATGGCGGCCAAAACAGTTTGTAGTTCCCAGGCGACATCTTGGAAAGCTCGGATCCATTATCACGCAACACAACAAGTCATTTTCTCACCCCGTGACAGAGTCACGCAGGGCCTTTAGTGGGATTTGAAAAATTTGATGTTTGTCTTAGTTTTAATTCAGATTGAGTTCTTGAATTAGTGAACAAGCAAACAAAAGCGAGAGATAAATCAGCAAGAAAATAAATCAATCGTTGAGTTCAGCTACAGACTGCACATGTTTTTTTTTGTTTGTACGTGCTCTGCTTAACGTGTCTCGTGCACTCACAAACCAAGTAAAGGAACTTATGCAAATGAAAGTTACAATTCTCTTTACATAGTCCCGTTAACGACTTCCAACTATACCCGTGAGACGCATGCGTGTTTCCTCTTTTTTCCTGACGTCACCTTGCGCAACAGCAGGTACCCTTAGAAAATTCAACAAAGATAACATGACAAAGGAAACTATATTTTCATGGATATGGAAATTAGCTCTCAATTTACCACTGATAAGACAGCTACTGACAACTGAATTACTGAGCAGATTTTTGCTTTAATGTGTAGAGTCCGACGAACTTCATCTTAATATATTTTCCCAATGAATCCGGATTACGATTATTTGTTTAAACTTCTCCTGATAGGGGACTCCGGCGTTGGAAAATCATGTCTCCTGATCCGCTTCGCAGATGATACGTTTACGGAGAGTTTCATAAGCACTATAGGAGTGGACTTCAAAATACGGACCATAATTGTTGGGGGAAAAGTCGTTAAGCTACAAATTTGGGACACTGCTGGTCAAGAGCGTTTTCGCACGCTAACGACAGCATATTATCGAAGCGCACATGGGATCATCATGGTATATGACGTGAATGAAAAAGAAACTTATTTGCACATTAATCAGTGGCTGGAAGAAATAGAAAGATACGCTTGCGGCGGTGTAAATAAACTTCTTGTAGGGAATAAATGTGACTTGTTAGGGAAACGCCAAGTTGGGTACGAGGTGGCCAAAAGTTTCGCGCAAAGACTTCATATTTCTTTCATTGAAACCAGCGCAAAGGACAGAACCAATGTTGACAATGTGTTTTATACAATGGCGGAAGAACTAAGGGAGAAGCTTGGGTCACCACTTCCTTCTCCCGATGGTGAAAGCGAAAATTTAAGTTTGAAAGACAGTACACCGATTAATACAAGCAAGTGGCCGAAATGTTGCAGTTTCTCATGATTGAGAAGTAAATATTTGTGATGGTTACGAATAGCACGTGCCTCGATATTTGCTCATAAACAAGACAATTACTTCAAGAGAGCTTATGATCATACATTTGTCTTCAAAGAATATGGTAAAATTGTAACCTGCATGTGTGCAGGGGTGTATTCGATTGGATACGAGGGACACTGCAAAGGGGGATAAAGAAACACTTCCTTTCATTGCAATTGGAAAATGATATCAAGGAAAAAAAAAAGAATAATATTTAAAACATAATTGTGGAGGGAAACTAGCTTTCAAGTAATTTATGCACATGGGGAAAAATTTCAATTCTCTGAATCGGGTAAAGTTTGATTTCAACATCATATTGAAAACAAAAACCCCATTAAAATTAACTTTCAACGCACTTTAAAACACGCCTACTACAAAACTAGTCTCGTCCACAGACCTCTTCAGTTGGATGCGACGTTTCGTTTTGTTTCGTTGTTTCGTTAGAAATTTCAAATCTCAGACCACGTCATTTGATTTCAACATTTTGGGTAAATTCCGAGCGCATGAATAAGCTTTTTTTTTTAATTAAAAATGACAAAAGATGAAGCGTAGATGTTCAGTTTAACCTAATAAATATTTTTGTTGCTTTAACATGGATATGAAAAGTGGTCTGTTATTACTGACTACTAAAAGTAACATGAATCTAGTAACAACGACATCGGGAAATCTACAATTGGCATCAACATGAAAGTATCGACACTTTACCTTGCATGGTTGGCCGTTAGGCAGGCAAATAAAAAAGCAGATATACAATGACAGGGTTTTTTTCCCCCAAGAATTGAGGCTTTCTCTCGGGGGCTGCAGAAGGCCGGTAACCCGGTTTGAGGATGTCGAGTAAGAGGTTCAATGATCTCTTAGAGGCTTCTGGGCTCAACACATTTGCATGCGTGCATATCATATAGTGCCGGGCAGTGGACCGCAAAATATATTCACTGACAGCCGGCATACGAATTGACAACAAATCGGGTTTCAAAGCTCTTCAACTTTCATTAATTTCTGGTTCATATAAAGCAAACCCTCAACGGCTCCGTCCAGAGACAACACAGAGATATCTTCCTAATGAATCCAGATTACGACAACTTGTTCAAAATCCTTGTGATAGGCGATTCTGGTGTTGGAAAATCGTGCCTATTGATGCGCTTCATAGACGACAAGTTCACAGAGAGTTTTATAAGCACCATAGGAGTGGACTTCAAAATACGCACGATGAATGTGGGAGAAAAAATTGTCAGACTACAAATATGGGATACCGCGGGACAGGAACGATTTCGCTCGATTTCGGCGAGTTATTACCGAAACGCGCACGGAATCATCTTGGTGTACGATGTTAATTGGATGGAAAGTTTTTTGCACATCGATCAATGGTTAAGAGAAATCGAACGGAACGCGGGAGCCAGAGTAAGCAGACTTCTTGTAGGAAATAAATGTGATCTAGAAGGTAAACGACAAGTTGACTATGCAGTGGCAAAAAAATTCGCCAAGGACATTGGCGTTTCGTTCGTTGAAACAAGCGCGAAAAATGACACTAACGTTGATGATGTGTTTTACACGATGGTTGAAGAACTAAACGAAAAACTGGCGAATGGTTTACTTATAACGGCCACTCCCCCAGGCAAAAACTTAGGTTTGAACAGCGATCAGTTACCTGCTGAATCAACTAATCGACAGAAATGCTGTAATTTTTCCTAATTCATTGCATAGTGGTCGGTAGTCACATGGGAATTACTGTATTCTCTATAACACTTGTGAGCTGCTGGTCAGTGGTGATCGATGAGCAGATGTTTTCGATTCTCGCACAATATATATTGTTGACTGTAAGACAGGTAACGAGCAAAGAGAGGAAAGCTGAACACAATATACAATGATAAGATAAATGATTACATAAATCATGAAATGAATATATTAATAGATAAATGATAAGTAAATAAACAAACAAATAAACTATTATCTGAAAAAATAAATGGATAACTGAAAAGTAAAACGAGCAAAAATTGTAATTCAAATTGGTTCGATCTTTCCCTTGCTCGAAACTGACCGTCGGCGTATTCTCTACCGGGTTTGAATAGTCTCCTTCGCAGCCGTCTTTCGGGATGTCACGGAACGCTTTCGGGGGAGCGTTTCGTTACATCCCGAAAGACGGCTGCGAAGGAGATTAGGGTTTGCACAAAGATTTGAGCTTCAGGAAACCAAAATACTGTTCAGCGGAGTCAGTTTAACTTTGTGTAACAAGCGCCAATAATAAACTCCTCTTCGGGCAAAAGGGCCAATATTGACGGTCTTTGGATTACTTTTTTTCTTACCGTTGAGATCAGGGAATATTTCCAATTCGTATCTTCGAATGATGAGCGATATTGTTGAGTTGCAAAGTCCAGATGGAGATCAAGCAACTATTCAACTTCATGGCAAGTGGATAATTTTGAACATTTTTGTCTGCTGTTCATCACGCGGAAGAATGTATCAGACATAATCTGTGCTTTGGTTGCGCTAGTAATATTGAGAGGAAAGGAAAAGAGCTACTTGGGGAGAAGGAATACTGCGTCTCCCAAATTGCTTATAAAATATGCATAATAAATATGAACTTTACCCTAACGATCAAATCAGGACGCGAATTCCAAACTTGTGCGAAAAGCTTCTTAAATCATGGTTTGACTCCGCGGTGAGGTTGAATTGACTAAAGGGAGTTTTTTCTTTCTTCTCTACGTTAGATTTTGTATCTCAATAATATTTGTTAACAGGTTGATACCAAGTGAATTTTTTTTGTCAACCTGAGTCTTCAAACGTAGCTATAATATAATATTGTTTAATTTTGCATTGATATGAACTCTACAGGTGCAACTGTGACGTCATGGAAGTGCAAAGGACAGGAAATGCTCTTTGTAAGGTAAACGCGGTAAATAGTCTTCCTAAATTTTCTATCCAGAGATACCTGGCGACTGCCAAAAGACTTGAATAGCCCTTTTTTCATCTTATCGACGACTGACCAAAAAACAACAACAGCATCCAGCATTATTTGGTTGAATAGCTACACTCAATGAAACATTTTTCACAATCGATCTTTTAAAATTTGTTCTTCAATAGTGAAAAGGCGGTTTTTGACAAGAAGAAGGCAATCAGAGGTGGAATTCCAGTAGTGTTTCGTAAGTTATAATCGTGTTTCGTGAAAACAGGAACCAACTTATTTATATTGGAGGCTAGCTAATCCAATCAGATTTTGCATGGAAAATTGTTTATGCAAGGAAATAGCCAGCCTGTTGTTGTATTGTAAGTTTGAAATAATTTCTGCTGTTGTAATATCTGTAGAGAAACAAATCGTTTAGTGGTTTCTGTTAACAGCAAACTTTGGACCATGGAGTCATGGGCCCCAGCATGGATTTGCAAGAACTAGTCAATGGGAAATCAGCCAACATCCAAAGGTTTGGAGATTATAAAAATAAACTGGGCCATGCAGTTTCACTCACTTTACTTTCTAAATTTAGCACAGATGTATGGGAGATATTTGGAAGAATAGATGGCTAACATGCATGTTTTACACTAGTTTCATCAAAGGAGATACGGGTTATTTCTCAAGGTATCAAAAAAGTTTTCTTAGGTATCTCAATGTCAAAGGATTTATACTCATCAAGTGCTCATTTTTTCCAGGAAGAGAATGGTGAAACAAGTACAGTGTTTTCTCTAGAGGACAGTGAAAGTACAAGAAAAGTGTGGAATTACAGGTAAATGTCTCATTCTCACCTTTATGCAAGTAACAACAACAACAACAATCTTTATTTTTATTACACGACTCGGGCAGTCAGAGGGCCAATAACTAAAATCAACCAATCAAATGCTCTATTGCCGATCCAATATTCTCTAAGTATTGGACTGGGCACTGTCCCGAATGGTCCTGAATGATACCGCACTTGTGTCCCTTTGAACTTCAGTCGTATAATAAATCTCTTATTAACCAAGCTTGCTTGGGACCGTACTGGAAGAATATCGGCCCTCGGTCTCTTTTGTATGGACCTCNAGTAAAATGCTTGGTTTTGTGTTTTGTATTGCATTACAGTTGAAAACAAACATTTATTTTGTTATCTGGAACCTTGTAAGAATTTTCTTCCCTGTGAGACATTTCTTTTTATCTTAAATTATCATAATTATTACTCTTGAAGGTTTAGGGTTCTGTATGAAGTGACTGTGGGAAAGCAACATTTAAAAACCACCATCACAGTTGAAAACAAAGGTAAAATAAAATAATAAAATTATATCTGAAATATTGTCTTTCCAAAAGAAAGACAAGACTCACTAAAATAACAAAATCATGAACTTAATGGTTGGTGGTTATAACATTATTAGATAAACAGCTCCTGACGGTTCATTTTCAAAGCAATAATTTTGTTCCTTGATTTGAAACACTGTTCTCAAAATCAGGCCAGTCAATCTTTGAAAATATTTCCCAGGTTGATTCTGATTTTGGAAACCTTGGAAACTTGTTAATTTCAATTTGATGAACTTTATTGTTATTAGTTAAAATTAAGTATGTGAAACTGTCTTAATTATGTATATTTTATTAATAGAATTTTTGGGATCTTCATTTTATTGTTCATATGATACAAAATATCAAGTGTGCACTCACAATCTTTGCAGATGAGAAAGCTTTTGAGTTTACTACTCTTCTGCACACTTATTTGCGAGTTCCTGATGTTACCCAAACTGCAGTTTCTGGATTAAAGGGGTTAAACTATGTTGATAAGGTAAGTGCCCCAGCTGTAATTTTATTAATGCTTTTTGAACTGAGTTTAAAAGGAAACGTACACAGCCTTAAATCTTGATTCTTTAACTCCCAGAAGTAATTAACATGTAACTTCTCTATGTTATATGCATACACTATCCAACAAACAGGTAATGAGAATACTAAAAATTATTGAGTAAAAGTTGTTGTTATGATTTAACCTGTTTTGAAGGAAATGTGTAGCAGCAAGTAGGGTGAATTAGCAATCAGATCTTGCAAGTTAAAGGGTCTCCAGTAACCTATAAAGTCCTAACAAAGAATGTTAATGTTCGAACTGAGTACATTGTTTGTAGGTTCTTGGTGGGAAAACATTCACAGAAAGCAATGATCCTGTGAAAATCAATGGGTTTACAGATAGGTAAATAAATATAATTTCACATTTATTTGTTAAATTGCATAATTAAATTTATTTGTTAAATTGCATAATTACCTTGACAATTCTAAGACAATTTAATTTTCAATTTCCATAAAAAATTTGAAATTCTCATCATTACTACTAAACTGACAAGAACATTGTTTACAATGAAAGGATGAATGCATAGACTGAAAAAACAATGTGACCTGTAAAGTGAAATAATATATTTTATTATTCCATAGTTTGATAAATGGCATTATGGGTGAAACATTTTATTTTGTCTTCAGGGTTTACCAGAACTCTCCTAGTGAACACAAGATAATGAATGTTGGCTCCAAAAATTGTCACATAACTCTCTGGAAGGAGAATTTTCCAGATACAGGTGACATGATAAATCAATTACATAGGAACTATCTCTTTTTGTATATTTATGTATATTTTCATTAATTTTGCAGTTGTGTGGAATCCTTGGGCTCAAAAAGCGATTGCTATGTCTGATTTTGGAGACAATGAGGTTTGTTTCTCTTTACCTAAGGGGCCAAGAAAACGATTTAGAGTTAGTTTATTCATTTTGTTTTCATCTCTTGTAGTATCCCAGTATGCTGTGTGTTGAAGCAGGATATGTCAGCAAGCCTTTTGTACTGGAGCCAGGAAAGAAATTTGAAGCCCAGCAAACATTTTCATGTTCTTGCACCTAGGCTTGAATTTTTGTACAATAGGTAGTGACCAAAATCAAGTCAGAAAATATTAATGAAATACAATAAATAGCTCTAATAGCATTAGTCACAGTTAAAAATTAACTGCCAAGGGTAAATAATGTGAGGATGGTAGTGACAAGAACAATTAATTAATAAATGTGGGTAAACAGGAAAATAGGGAGTGGATATTTTTGGTGAACTTAGTTGTAAATAGTTTTTTTCAGAAAGGGTAGAGTTAATTTCAATTCTATCAATTTCAAATGATACAAAGTAATAACAACCATTTGGTGTGAGGCTGAGCTAACACTTGAAATTTTTGCTTTAGAATCTCTCTACAGTGACCAGTTTACATATCATTAATGAACGCAGTTGAAGAAAAACTGCAACATTCAAACTATTTATTGTTTTATACAAATAAATTTTCATTTTTTCAGATCATGATTGAGTTCCAACATATTCTAAATTTCCAAAATTCTGAAACCCTTCATGTTGGGTGAATAAAGCAATGTACAATTTCAGCCTGCAACTACTGATGGTAACTGTTCAGTTAGGCTTGAAGTATGTGGGGCCAATGAATTGAGTTTCAAATAAAAAACTATTGTACTAAGGCATTCAGTTCAAGTCATATGTCACTAGAAAACTGTTTCCTTGTGCTGTATAAAAGTTAATTTACAGTGTAACAAAAGTGTCACAAAACTGTTCCAGACCTGTGATAGTCTATCCACAGTTAATACTCTCAATGGTTGTAGAATAAAAATAATGTCATTTAACATAAAATCTTAAATAGCAGGGATATAATATTGGCTTAAACGAAGGGTACTAGCTGGAAAAAAAGACATATTGCAGCTACAACATTGTGTGTTATTTATATTAAAAAGTACCTTTAAAGATTCTGGTCATGTTTTAGTTTGAGTTACATTTTCCTACTTATTTTGAACATTAATTTACTCTTAACCTTCAATGCTACTAGTTTTGCTAGTTTTTCTTTTCACATCTTAATTATGTGGGGGCAGTGACTAACTTGAGAAGATGAATGCTTATAAATAATATCTGCATTTCCTAAGCAGTCACAAATCAAAGTGTCCAACAACTCACACCTTCCCAAACCATAGCAGCTTCCTAGGTGATTTAAGTTTCTTTTTGTGACCATTTTAAACCAAAATTTATCTTAAATGGTATTCAGTAGCAGAAGATAGCTAGCACTTGACCTATATATGGTACCACACTGGCCTCAACCAACACTACACTCCACAAAGGTCAAAAGTTTGACAGAACTATTTTAAACAAAAGCCACTTGGACAAAGAGCAATGAACCACCCAAAAGTAAAATTAAGTTGCTCAGAAAAAATCTGTATACTATTGGGTTTGTTTGTTTGTACTTAAATTTAAAAGACATGAAACTCAGATACAGAAGTGAGATATCTGAGTTTATAATCCCCCAAATATCAAATCAAGGGCAGCTTGGACGTCACCACCTGTGGCAGTGAGAGCCTGGATACTGAGTGTATCATCTGTGATTCCCATATCTCTGAGTTGCTGTAATTGAGACTGAAAGTATTCCAAAAATGGACATTATCAATGAATAGATTAACAAGCAGCTCACACACATGTAATGTAGTATCAGTTATGCGCATCACAATTTGTTATGAACAATTAATACCAGTAGTTATTGTTATAATGTCTCAAGTGCCTGGAATTTGAACATTAACGGATTACCATAAATTTGCCGACATGTGAACGAATATTGGAACATATCAAATTTAAGATGTCTTGATTTGTGTGTGAGGAGGTTAGAAGGCAAGAAATATCGCTTATTTTTAATGAAGTTTACATCAATTGCAAAATTGTGTTTTAAGTCAGAATAATGTGACGAAAAAATTCATGAGCTAACAGCTCCTTTCTGATTCAATGGGTTCACAAATAACTACAGTAACTGAGTTAAACAGAAAAAATAAACTTCTATTAATATCAATCCTCAGAATGTCAACAGTGAGATCAAAGAGTTACTAACCTGAAGCTGAGAGGATTGCTGAGAAATGTTCATAACAGATGCCATAGCTTCACTGACCATATCTCTTGTAATGGTTGGTCGTGAACTTGAGGCTCCTGTACCTCTACTTGTGGATGGGACAGCCGCTGCTGTCGATGAGAAACCTGATGTTGAAGCACCTCTGCTTGTGGATGGGCCAGCTAAATAAGTGTATTACAGATTTTCTCTTAAAAAACACAACAAGACTTTTTGATCATGCAAGCATATGGGAAGTATTGACCTCTAGTGATACCAGTCTAGTGATCTCCTCATCCCCCCACCCATAATGTAGTTGTTGCTTTTGTACACATTATGTGTTCTTGATCTAAAAAAGGAAGGCATGACACCTAAGCAGAGTCCATTCTAACCAACAATTACATTTTTGTGTCAGCACACTGTTGATACATGACTGCATAATTTTAAAAAGATAGCTTCACTTGCATCCATTATTCACTGCACAAACCTTCAATGTGTGCTGAGGAACCTGGAGAGATTCCTGCATTAGCTAAAGCAGATGACAATAATGATGACGTGACAGGTTGCCGAGATGATGATGCTCCTCTTGAAGCCCCAGATGATCTTAATGCCTGGATACGCTCTTCATTTGCTGCCACTAGTTCAGCTTGAGCAACAAGCTATCAATGAGAATAAACAATCAAATCAACATCTGATAACACTTAGGATGGGATAAAATGCAGAATATCATATCTCACCCCAGGATCCATGCCTCGCAGGTCATCATCAGAATCATAGCTGTCTCCAACCATGTGATTCCTGGTGGAATGCCTACCTTCCCCTCCCTCCTTGGCAATTGCTGCAGCGATATAAGAAGCTGCCTGAACCAGGCTTGGATGTTCTTGTATTACTCTGTAAAAGATAATCACAAAAAAATTCATTTAGTAACAATTTGCACAGAGATTTCAAGATCTAACTCAATTTATAGCTGTTATCAAACTTAAGAAAGGTTGTAAAACAAGACAATAATTAGTCACAGCAAACAACTGAGAAAGATATTACAATACTTCACTTACGTCTCAACCTTTGCTGTTTGTACAAGTTGTCCAAGAAGCTCAGGATCTTGAAGAAGGGCTAAGAATTATAAGGAAAAATTATATGCAGGTAAAGTGATTCATGATTTTTACATAAATTTTCAGCAGCACAGAAATTAAAAAAAAGTCAAGTAAATATAAAAGCAGAACTACAAATAAGGAAATCAAAATGAGAGAAAGAGGATATCAATTCCAGCAGAAAGAAAAATATATCAGAAGAGATCATACCACCTGGTAGGTCAACACATGTACAGTAAGTGGCCATAATCTCACAGAATGGACCTTCTACCTTATAAGCTGACTTAATGTCATAGAGAATCATATCAACTTCTTGTAACCAGAAATACTTACTCATAGCAACATGATCAGATGATAATCCTGGAGTGGCTACAGTCAGTTGTTCTAGCATGTCTGGATTGGTAAGAATCTTTTCAACCTAATGATGAAAAACGCAAATTAAAGCAAGAAAAGAAAACAAATTTAATTCAGAAGTTTTATGAATAAATGGCACGATTTTCTAGGGATCTGAAACTTACTGTATTTCTGTAGGAAGGGCTCTTTATAGCTGCCTCTAAGACAGGGATCACCTCAGTGATTGGTACATCATCAGAATCAAGTTCTATCAAAAAGAAACATGAAATGGTACAGAACAAAGAAAGTAATGCATTTGCTTTAACAATAATATATCAAGAAATTAAACTGAGAAAAATTTAAATAATTAGAGAGTCACCTTTGAATATACCAAGCATAAGAAAAAGAACAAACAAATGAACAAAATTAAAATGAAATCAAAGTCTGCTTCTGTAACATTCCATCACAGTTATACATAATTACAAATCTTCAGAATTTTTTTTTCCCAAGATATTTAATCATCAATGGGTATTGTAAAACTTTTTTGAAGTCTGTGTCGTGTCTTTTCCTGCCAATAGTAATTATTTTAATGTATTTCATTGTTTTCTTTGGCCACGTGGTTTTTAGTTTTTGCAGTCAGTCACAAAATTTTAAGGTTTGCTTTGCTTTACTTTGCTTCACCTTTCTTTTCTCGTCCTTTTGTGGAGTTGGTTTAAAGTTTTTCGAGCTTAACTGTTGCAGTGGCATGGTTGTTTTGAGTCGAGTAAGTATTGGCTGAGTATTCCGCTTGTGGAGCACTAAATGAGCCGATTGAGGATAATAAAGAACGACAAAGAACTAGAGGTTTGTGACTGATCTCGTGTTTGGATTTACATACATCACACTATGGCAGTATGGGTAATATGCTATACCTAACTGAGCTAAGGAGTCCGCAACAACCAAATCTTATCGTACCTTCTCCGTACTTCATCTGGTTTGGTGATTTTGCCCCACTTGTTTGAGAGGGGAACAATTTTTCCACTGGATATATCACTATCAGGCATGAGTGTCTTCGGGACAAAATCTATAGCTTATCTACCCATCAAACTACTGAACTTGGATAATTCAATTTTCCAAAAATAACTTGATATAACCTGACTTCCCGAGTAATTGCCTTTTGTAAACACATGTATTGTCAATTCATAAGCATCATTTTCACCTATTGGTTCTGGTTCCGGGTTCTTTATCATCACATAAATTGTAAATCCATCTTTGATTCCATAAGAATCCAGAGTTTTGTCATCCTTTAGCAGTTCTCCAGCAAATATAAAATCTGAAAAAGACACCATGGTTCTGATATATTATTTCTTACTATTAATTTTAAGGAGCTAAAGTTGTTTCTATCAACAAAATGAATATTTCCCTCTAACGAGTTTGTTCTTTTATATTTTTAAAGTTTCCCGACCCTGATACCATACATGCATGTTTTATAATGATGGACATGTGTTCCTCAACTTTTCTTATTAACAGCTTTTATATGAAAGATAGACTAAGTTGGTTATACATACTAGTAGATATACACACACACATGTATATAATTATATGCTTCTACATATTGAGCACTGTTTCACAAAAGTCAAATTTTACACTTTATATTTTACACTGATGAGGCCCAGACGGCCAAAACAGTACTGTCTGCAGTTATATAATATACATTGCAGGTAATTTTTTTTTCTAAAGGTAAATTCAATTTTTCACTGGGAACAATTTTTGGGTAATTTTGCACCACAATATTTTTTTGGTTTGTTATGGGGTAACTGACTCTTTTTATTGAATATATATAGCTCTTTGGCATACAAAGCTTTGCTTTGATGTCCAAATTGAGCACTCTATCTAGGATGAGTCATTGCCGTTGCAATTGCGCATGCTCGCTGGTTTACTCTAGTTTGAGCACTCTGGCATGGCTTAGACGATACCACAAAGGTTGGGTCGTTTGGGGTGACCGTCTCGGTTCCCCCCCATCCTAGCATTAGCACTGCACTGATGAGGCCCAGAAGGCCGAAACAGTACTGTCTGCAGTTAGTTATGTATATATATATATATATAAGAAGTAGAAACTTGTAAGGGGTCCCACAAACAATGCTGATTAGTTTCAAACACGCTGCTTGAAGGATCATTGAAGCGATCGTGGGCTCTTGAAATAATGTAAATAAAAGCAGAAATGTGATGGTCGAGAGGCCAACTCCAATGTAGCTTTGTTGGATTATTAGCTTGACGTTTCCACCGTCTCGATCTTCCTCAGGAGCATACTAATTACATGAGCAATATTCAAATCTAAAATTCGTGTCAACAGTAAACATGTCATGACGTAATAATATAAAAATAGAATAGATAACAGCGAAACGTGTTATAGTGACTAAAATCGATAAATTAAAATGGTTACAATTCATGTAGTAAGCTTATTGATAGTAGGATTGAGTCTTAAAATCCAAAAATTTTCCCTTGCTTTTCTGATTTCTTGATTTTGACTTCTAACTTTTTCAATAACCATAAGTTTAAATTATCGACTCCACAGTTCTTAAAATGTCTGGCAGAGGGTATGTTTTCATGTCCACCTCTGATGTCGCTACGGTGTTGATTGCCACGATGGTGAATTGGGTGACCTGTCTTGCCTACATACTGATCGTTACATTTACTACATTCTATCAGGTGTATCACATTGCTAGTCTTGCATGGTGTGTGTTGTCGCAGTGTATCATTTCTCTTGTAGTGCTGCTCTTAACTGTCCCTGTAAATTGCCCGTATGTTTTGCAACACTTGCATCTTATGTCAGCCCTACAGGGCCAGAATCCGGGACGAGTAAATTGCAATGGTTTGCGAGAGAAATGCATTTTGAGATTTTTGTTTGTTTGGAATGATCAGCCACAGATTGTACAGGTAGTATCAGATGGAACTTGAATGTGTGGATTGCTTATATTTTGTGGGGATTCATCAGTGGAGGGGGTTGTGTCAATGGCCATCGGCAATCGCAGTCTTTTGTGGGTAAGCATCTGTGTTAAATTATGCCCTTTTTGATAGGCAACGAGAGATGGTTCTTTGAATATGGCCTTGCATGTTGGACGATGTCAAGAGTATTTGATGGTCTTCCTTGAGGAATCTGTGGATTTTTGGCAGTGCTGGGTTGTAAGTTATTACAAGTGGTACACGGTCAGTGGAGGAAATAGGTCTGCTTGTGAGCACTTCCTGCCTTGCTGTTCTCCTTGCTTTCATGATACATTCCTTAATCAACTTATTCTTGTAACCTCGCTTAAGCAGTATGTTGTGTAGCTCATGTGCTCATTTATCAAAAAACTTGTTATCAGAGCCGATGTGTCGTAGCCTCAATGCCAAGCTGGGATGGATGTTTTAGTGTGTTGGGGATGACGGCTGGTCCAGTTTAGGTATTGATGGGTTTCAGTAGGTTTTGTGTATAAGTCTGTGCTAAGTTCGCCGTTGTTTTTGATGATCACTTGAACGTCTAGGAAAGGGATGCTTGTAGTTGATGTGGTTTGTTCAAACTTGATGTGTAGATCAAAAGAGTTACATTTGTTAAAAAAAGTGTTTGAGTTTTTCTTCGCCATATGTCCATATGAAAAAAATGTCATTGATGTATCTGAACCAGACAAGAGGTCGGTCAGCAGCTTCTTTCAAAAAGCGATCCTCAAAGCAACCTATGTAGAGATTTGCCTAACTCGGCACCATTCGTATTCCCATAGCTGTTCCTGTTTGTTGAATGTAATGTTTTCCTTGGAAGGTTAGGTTATTACAATTTAGAACGAGATTGATGAATTGTGCAATAGTTTCCCTTCTGTTGTTTGCAAAATTGTCAAGGCGCATGAAGTACTCACATGCTTCCATGCCACCACCACGTGGGATGTTGGTGTAAAGGGATTTGATGTCCAATGTTACTAAAATAGTCTCTGGTGGTAAGGTATGATTTTTGTTCAGTTCAGCAAGTTTACAGAGAAAGTCGTTGTCGTCCTTGAGATGGTAGGGTAGTTTCTCGACCAGTGGTTGTACTTGATCCTCAATCCACTTGGAGATGTTAGTTGTGGCAGATTTGATGGTGTTACAGATCAGTTGAGCAGGAGGTGGGCATTGCAGTTTGTGGATTTTGGGTAAGAAATAAATATTTCCTGTTTGAGCGTTTTCCATTACCAGATACTCTGCTGTATTGGTGTTGATTACACCCTTGGAGTGGGCCTCTTGTACAGTTTCTTTTACTCTGATGACGAAGTCAGACGTTGGGTCGGTGGCCACATGTTTACATACCTTGTTACCGTTTTCATCAGTACCACTTAGTTGCTTGTAAGCTTCTGCTAGATAGTCCCTTTTGTTTTGCACTACTACTGCTGCGCCTTTGTCAGCTTGGAAAATAACAATACCACTGTCACGTTTAAGCAATTTAATAGCTTCTCGTTCTAGCCTAGTGATGTTAGAGTGTAGCATGTTGTGGGGCATGTGTTGCAAGATGGCACATTCTACTCCACTTAAATAGCAGTCTAAGCTAGATCTCTGCCCGGAGGCAGCACCTAATTCGATGGTTTCTTGTAGGTGTTGTCATTGTCAAGCTCTGTGTTACTATCGTCGTCATTACCAAAGTATTCCCTTAAGCGCATTCGGCAACCCCATTGTTTGATGTCAGTAATGAGCTCAGTTTATAGATATATATATATAGATATTAATTGTGAATTGTAGCCAGCACTGTTAAAAAGGACTTGATACACATTTGTGTAGAGCGGTATATAACATTAAGTGACTAGAAGGAAACACAGTACAGATGATTCGCTGCAACTCTGAGTTTCGTGCGTTAAGCACTCATCTGGCAGATTTAAATCTGCCTGATGAGTGCTTAACGCACGCAACTCAGAGTTGCAGCGAATCATGTGTACTGTGTTTCCTTCTAGTCACTTAATGTTATATATATAAACAACAATAACTAACTGTTAAGTTTTATGGAAGAAATGGGAGGAAATAGTGGTAAAAACAGACACTTTTGTGGGTTAAAAGAAAGTCTAATGATCATCTTACTCTGCTGGTTAATCGGTATGTTCGTCTTCTCTGCTGCCTTTTCCTTCAATTCCTCAACTCTCCAGCTCAACTCGATGCCATCAATGACATGCTTAGTATTCTGATAAGCTTCTTTGATTCGAACACTCGGCATTTCAAGGGGTTCTTGTAAAGATTTCAATGATTTTTTCGCCTAAAGACGTCGTCATCTGTTGAAATTTACCTCACGGCTATTTTTCGCAAGGCAACACAAGTGACGACTAATTGAAGAATCTGGAACTAGCGATCTGATTGGATGATGGTAGCTTCTGAACTTCGCGCGTCTCAAGACAGAAAGAGAAATCTACAAGGAGTTGGGTTACTTGTTTCATGGACCAGTTTGCAGCTGGATCTGTCGTATGGGCAAGTGCCCATAGAGACATTTTTTGGCCTGGCGTCGTAAGTTTTCATTGTCACCAGTTATTTTCTTTCTTGTCCCAGGAGTCAATGTTACGTTGATCATATCATGTCTGTTGATAGTCTATCGCACTATAAGTTTCTGCAAACGCAGCAAGGTAAAATCAAATGCACTCTTGCGACCTGATTGATTTTTTTTGTCATATGGAACGCTAAGAAGCGAGGTAACCATAGGGCTCTTGACTTGCAACCAATATGAAAGGAGCAATTCCCTAGCATTCTGCCAACGTCTTTTATGTTATACTCTAATTGCCATCGTCACAATTGTTGAATCATTTAGTCAGATGCCCAGATTTGTCCTTTCTACATCCTTTAAGTTAAGCTCAACGAACTCTCTTCCCTCAACTTCTATAACGTTCCAGAAAGAGCTTTCGAGTTCAGTGTATTTTCTTTATATTTTGCCTTCTGTCGTTGTTGTTGATTGGTACACAATAGGTTTGTTTACACGCATTACCATCCCGTGGAGAAGATATTTAGCTTACACAACACATTTTACCACTGTCAATGTACTTCAGGTGGTTGAAACTGAGGGCCGTGCACCTAAAAAACATGTGAGCGTGAAATTCCTGATTGAGGATTCACAGTAAGTACTTTTGCTGCTAAATCAACTTCCTCCAATGTCAAGGACTAACAGTAATTTCCCGCTCGAATTTCAATACTATATCAACCATGCATATGATAAGAATACAGAAAGATGTGAACTGTAGGATTATTTTTTTATCTAATAATATACATGAAAACATTTCTCAGTTCTGATTGGTTAAGAGGAATGCAGTTTTCAGTTAATTCAGTGCAGAAGAGAGTTAATTCAGTGCAGAAGAGGGTCAATTCAGTGCAAAGAAAGAAACAAACCAGACATTCTGATTGGTCAGAATGATTGGTCAATGTCAAGGTCAATGTCACCTGCAGGGTTTGAATAAATTATTTTTGCCCCTGATGCACACGCTTTTCTTCTGCGTAGTTATGAGAAGCTTCCTCTTATTTTTTCATGTAGATTATTAATACGTAATCACATGATTTTCTCGTGCAATTTGGAAAAAATAAGCACTTGTAAATTTTTTCAAAGACCACAAATTGCACTCGCCCTACGGGCTCATGCAATTTTGTTAGTCTTCGAAAATATTTACTTGTGCTTACTTATTCCGAATTGCACTCGAAATCATGTGATTACCTATACAAATGTGAAATTATCTAAAGCAGAATTATAGGAAATGATTGATAGACATGAACAAAAATTACTGATGGAGATTTTTGGGAGATCAGTGGTTAATTATTGTACCAGCAAAATTTCTTGATTGGAATACAGTTATGTACCTCAAGAGAACTGCACGATTGTCACTGATTGGCAACCTGTCTGAATATTTTGGTCTGTGCACATTTTAGGATCAGTTTCTGAACATTTACTCACATTTTCCTCCATAAATATATTGCAGTGAAGACATCAAGAGTCCCAGCAAGATTTTCATGTGGGACTGTGAAGAACAAAATGAATTTATTGAAAAAGGCAGAGGTAATAAACTGTTTTCGACTTTTCCACTTGGGCATGGAGGTTTCAGTCTTAGAATGTGAGTGATAAAAACATAAATTTGTGAGGAAAAAAGCTTGCGAATTAAAAAAAACAATACACTAATTAATGAAAGCAGGTGAACACTGGAAAGGTGAATACTGGTAAATGAACAAAAACAGAACTTTACTTACTAGTTTACGTGGAAAATGAATTAGTCTATACATGCAACCAAAGTTTGCACAATTTGACAATTTAAGCAACCCAGAGTTTACAAACCTTTTGTTCCATAATCCAAGGTTCCAGGATTCAGTTTTTCCAAAAGCATTATTTGTTAAGCTAAGATCATAATATGGTTGCCAGAAATGATGTTCTGGTCTCCAGCAAAGAGAAAAAGGTTTTGCCGATGGAAGGAAGACGACTAGGTGACTGATTTCGAGAACACCTTCGCGACGTGGAAAGGAATGACAAGGACGCATCTAAACCAGTCGCTAGACACTTTAATTTACCTAATCATTCTAAACAACATGGCAATCTGCGGTCTTTCCTTATATTTAGGCAACACAGAAAGCCGCAAAACTCTTGAGCAAAAGTTAATCTTTCAAATCGGCACTCTTAATCCCACAGGTATCAACGAATGCTTTTCATTCCACTAATTTATTCGTGCTTTTCTCATTGCCATGTTCCCACCAATGGCGTAGCTCCGCTTTCTGCATATAAAACCACATACAACCCACAATTCCTCTATTCACTCTGACGAAGGGTTAACACTCAAAACGTCAGCTTTTTTATTCGTTATGGTGACCAATATACAATTTCAACTTAGTTGATATAACCAATTATCTTGTTACCCCCACCGACGCAGCACCACAGTTTCTTTAGAAACTTTCAGCCTTTAAAGAGAAAAAGGGTTTAAAATTACTATGATAGGGAGCAACTTGCCATATGACTGTCAAACATAGGTCACAAATTTGCATCTTTTGCTGAAACTGTCCATTACAATCTGTTTAGATTTTTGTTATCATTTCATAGCATTAAAGAATGAGGAACGAAAAATCCATTTTAATAAGGCTGTGGCAGAAGCAGATAATCTTTTGAAGCAAGGTGAGAACAAGCATTAGCATTCATTAACCCTTTGACCAGCATCTAATTTCTCCTCACAATATCACCCTTGAATCACACATTGAGGTCACAAGAATAAAGGAAATGATCACCAAGTAAAGAAACTCTTGATTTTTAAACAAATTCTACTTGTAAGCACCCTTGGAAATGTGTTGAGAATATGTAAACTGATGTAAGGGAAGAAAGGGTTAGCGTGTGTATCTCAAGACATAACCACTCTTGTAATTAATAATAGAAGATATGAAATCCTGCATTATTGTAGTCTTCATTTAGTAGTGATTTAGTGAAGTGAAGTGAAACTTTATTTAAGGAGGAAACCACATCACCCTTAGGTGGTTTTCATGAGGGACCTCCATATAAAATTAAGTTAATTACAACAATAATTGTAAAATATTCGAAGTAAGAACTAAATACATTAAAAGAATAGAATTAAGATAGATGAAATAAATTAATGAAAACTGAATATAATATTGATGGACAAAAAGGAGAGAAGGTTATATATATATTATTAAAATATTGTTTGTTAAAAATTAAAAATAAAAGATAACCTATAAAATTTTCTCCTATATTTAGTAGTAGTCGTAGTTCACCAAGTTTGTAAATTAAGGTGACCTGTTGTGAAGTTTGACCATTGCAGTCATCTTTGTTACATGCAGTTTAATTGCAAGTATTTAATAATTTGTTATTTATTGTTATTTCAGTCACAGAAAGAAGTGTCATAAATACCTCAGAAACTTGGACGGATGTACCATTAGAGCAGAATGGTAGCAAATGTGAAAGGAAATTGGACAAAACTAAAGCAAATAAAGGAAACGGAGTGCTGAAGAAAAATCTCCCCCCTGCAAATAGATGGCAAGCTAAAAGATCTGCAAAATGTAATGGGAAAAGTCAGAAAGTACATACATTGCAAGGACAGCCCAATGTCTTGACATCAGAAGCAAGTGAAACCAAAGAGCACTCACAAGTCTGTCAAGGACATCAGAGTTTGTCAAAGGAGAAAAGAAAACGAAAGGAAAATGACTCTTGCAAAAAAATGTTACCAGTAAAGAAGGTAAAATCAGGTGATCAAGTTGTACTAGGTGAGGTAAAACCAGAGAAAAATGAAAAGAATGTGGGAGAGTTGGATTTTAGGACATCAACTAGTAGTGAGGATAGCCATGTTGGACATGCAGTTGATATAACCAGCATAAGTAGCACCACTTCAGAGGGGAGCTCTGATGATGAGGAACTCATGTCAGAACCATTTTCTCCAAGCCAAGAAGCTAATAGTAAGTCTGATGCTATCACTTGTGAAAGTAGCTTTTTTTTCAATTTTTAGTTAATCAGATTATCCAACGAAAGGGTTATGCTTAATCAGGAATACTACTTTGTCATAGGTTTAAGGAAAAGGTAATGCATGCCATTTTATCAAGGAAATTATGATAATTTTAACAATAATGATGATGACAACACTATCAGTAATCTTTTTTATTGTATTAAGTGAATTCTATCAGATACTCTGTACCAAAATACCAAACAATCGCATTAAAGTTAGTTCCATTTTCTGTTAAGATCATTTTTCAGTTGGTGACATTGTTTGGGCAAAATACTCTCGTGAACCTTATTGGCCTGCCTTGGTAAGAGTTCTTTATTCATTTGAATCATTATATTTTGTAATTACTTTGATTTATAAAAAGATGCATCATCCATGAAGCTTTCTAGTTCAATTTTACTTGGAGACCATGTGGTAGAAAACGAATGCACACTTATCGTAAGCATGTCCACATAATAACTTTACATTTGAAAACAACTACAAACTTTTCAGTCCACAGAAGAGGGTAATGAAAATGTTAGTTGTGTGTTCATATATTTTTACTGTCAGTGGCACATGTTTTCAAAGACACTGATGTTATGATATAGAAAACTTTAAAATGTGTACATTTGGGCAAGAAACTGAGTATTTTAAAAAAATTTTTGAGACGTTTTTAATGGTAGATAATTAAATTTTACACTTCTATATTTATTATTTACATTGCAGGTCAAAAAAATCACTGGAAAAAATAGAAGAGAACAGAAATTTGTGGTAAAATTTCTTGGCTGGAATGATGGCCTGTAAGTTTCCAGAATGCTATATTGATTTACAATAATTATAATTTACTAGGTAGTATTGATTTCTTGAATGACTGGCAGCCTGATCTTGAATATGGTTAGGTTCAAAATCCAGCCCAAAAAGTTAGAACATTATGCTGGGGATCAAAATCGAGAAAAATTCAAGGTATGTCAAATGAATTATGTTAAATATGTTTATACACACATTTATACTCACTTGCTTGCAAACATTATTTGCAGTTTGAATTGGCTTACCTCTTACTTTAGATGAAGAATAGAGAAATGAACAAAAGGAAATGAGGAAGATACTTGTTAACTAACACTTGAACTGTCTTTTTAATCCAAGATCTCTCAAATGTGCCAAACACTTCATTTATATACTCGTGAACATATACACACTTCATTTATATATGCATGAATATCGTTACACATGGAAGGAAAACTTTGACATAGCGTAAGTATGGATAATGAGTGTGCTTTTTAACTTTCTTTAGCTTATCAGAGACACCCTCAAAAACAAAGAGTTGAAAGAGAAGTTTGATGAAGCCATTGATGAGGCTGATGATTTCTTAACAAGAAGAGGTCTGGAATCTACAATAATTGTCGTGCCTTACTTTTAAGATGAATTTGGTACCCAAGTGTATTTAGTCAACTTTATATATCTGCTGTTAATTGTATAGGTACTTTATTAGAATAATATGAATTGTATGTATTGTATCTCAACGATTTAAGACATTTAAAACTATAGATATATTAATTTCCATCTAAATCTTTAGGACTTGGTAAAAGTTTCGATGAAGAGCTTGATTTAGAGAATGACAAAGGTGAGCTGGTACTCTAGGGGGTACTTCACCAGTAATAATGCTTGCTTTTAGTTACACCATGTCAGGTTGTAGGACGCATGTAGCTAGGTCAAAGGTAAAAAGGTGACAACTGTTTGTTTGCTAATTGGCCCAGTGGACGGGAGCTGACCCTTGCACGCATTGCACTACACGACTCGGAGCGTTGCTCTATTAATTCCCATTTGATAATATTCGGCTAGTCCATTGCTGTTTGCAACAGTGATTGTTGTTACCAATAGAAAGGTAGTGATGTTTGAAATTACCCATCAACCATTCCTTGGTTTATGTTTTCTAGAAGAAAACATTAAAGAAGAATGTGAAGACGAGGATGAAGTGCAATCTGTTGGTGGTGCTCAAACAGAGGACAAATATCTACAACCTTGCGATACTTCTGTACGAAGAAGGTCTAACCGAACAAAAAAGTAATTATGTAATGAAAAGTTACAAAGATCAACGTATAACTGTTACTCTTCTGGCAAAATATTGACAACAATGTTCAACATTTTGTTTTCAAGGCAAGTGTCGCGGTACAGGGACATCTTATCCCACATCAGGCAGGCAAAAGTGAGCATCAAAAGGCGTGATAATGGTTTAGTAATAATTACGTCATAGTTTAAGCATGACCATCTGCAGAGGTTCATCATATGTCGTTTCGAATTTGACGTAGTTTTAATTTTGTTGATTTTGTAAAACGCCCTTTTAGTATGACATACTAGAAAATAAGACACGTTTCCAAAACGTCTTAATTTACGAAGAGAAGCTATTTCGGCGTGAGCTGAAGGATTTCTACACGTTACATCGTAATCAATCACATAGACTAGAAGCAGGTTTTTTCTTTTTTTTAGAACTTTTGACCCTATTAGGAGATTTTAGACATTAAAATGATCTGAACTAAGCGCTTATTAGATCCGCAGTGTATTATTTCTTACTCTATAGAGTATTAGAAGCTTTATGCCCGGAAAAACTTTTAATTAGTAATTTTTCAGCGAACTTCGTAACCAGAATCCCAGCTCTTCGTGTGTAACAGTAAAATAAATTGATTACTTTGTTCGATTACTTTTGTGCAGCCGATCTTGAAACAGATTTTAGATGGCAGAAGATCATCCGAACGCCATACAACTTTCACGAGTGGAAGAAAAAGCGAAAGGAATCAATTAAAACACCGAGCAGGGTTTGGTCCTGTAGGGAATGAAGCGTTGGTAAGACTGATTTTTTTTTTAACTGTCCATATGTTTTTAAACCACAAGAAAGTAGCTTTCTCGGCAAGCGTCCAACAAGCACGCACACAACGCCCGTAAGATAGAACAGACGCGCGCGTGTGTGAATTGTGGCTTGCGTGTTCCAGTCAAAATCATTGTTTTCTTTCTTCTTTCAACAGCATATCATGGAGATGCTTATGGAATTCTACAAAGAAATTAAAGGAGATGAAGACTTCTCATACGTATCAGAGGTGTGGTTACCCGAAGTACGTAAACGGTTCCTTTTTGTATTAATTATCAGCCAGATAGAGTAGCTTGAAGTAGCTTGAAGTTCAAAGTCTTTGAACAGCATGGGAAAATCAGTTGTTGAGAAGGGTAGCTTATCTTAACTTAACCATAAGTCTTTTTTCAATGGTTCTGCTCTGAAACGTTGATCAATACCAAAGATTACTCATTAGCTATCTTTCAGTTTATGCCCAAAGGTGGCGAGGAGGGGGGTGGTGTAAGTTGAGTGTCGCACCCCTGGCAGTAATGCTACACAATGATAATGGCTCATACTTAACCCGTACGATCCGAAACCTTGAATAATAGTTTTTTTTTTTCTTTTACTGTATGTACAAGAAATGATGTCATCACATTACCTTCCCACAGGCAATAATTTGGTCAATACAAAATATTGACCACATCGACAGGCAAAAGGCAGAAAAAATGTATCTGGAAGGGAGCGAGTCTACAGTAACAAATGCTCAAGTCGAAGAGTTTAAGTCGGCGCTAATGAAGAGAAAGAAAGTGGGTAGAGAAGAAGTCGAAGAAAAGATAAGAAGAGCAGAAAGAGTGATGGCCAGCTGACCAGCTGAAAGATGAAGATTGCCGTATCCGTAGTAAATCCTTCGTTTCGCTGCGCGAAAAGTCTGTTTCACCGACGCTGAGTTTCGGTTGGTCAGAAGCCGTAGCGACGTCTCCACAAAACAGATCACTCTAACATCCTGAATATTCTAATACTGTTCTCAAACGCAGAGTAGATTTAAGATAGTATGAGAAGTGTTAAATTTTGCTATTAAAATGGCCATTGAAATCTGTAGGACCTAGCGCTAGTCTATCACATTCTTGGGCAAAAAGATGCTAAGATGAATAATAAATTGTCAGTCAGAAGAAAATTTAATCAATGATTAGGCTTACTTTATCGTGAGATAGAAAACTTCGTTCTGTTCCCGGATATAAGATTATTTAGTTTTATCAACTAAGTCAATACTGTCGGTACTGTGGAATATATACTGTGACAGGATTTGTAGTATTTTTAATTACTTTTTCAATTAAGGTTACCGTGCAGCTTCAGGGGTGTCTCGCTTGCAATCGACAATACGCTCAGTAATTATTCGTGTAACGGTCAACAAATGTAAGGTGCAGAATGAAATTAAATTATTCCTGACTCGATCTGTTTCATCGCAATTTTATGATAAAGGTACCTGGATTTCCATTTGCAACCATTTCCTTTCTAAGCGACTTTGGGCCTTTAGTTTCTTATCTTTCTTCAGCTTCTTGAAGTTATAAACTATCAAAAAACTGATGATTTATTACGAGGACATGCTATATCATTTTATCCTATGTGATGGATAATAAACAACCGGCGATAACGAAACAAATCTTGACTTTTTTATGATTATTCCTTTGTGAGTGGTGAGTGAGTCCAAAGGTTGAAGAGTAACTCTCTTGTATATCTACAACCTTAACTGAAAACTCACCTAGAGGGCTAGAGCCTCGATTTCATTTCCCCTTTCACGTTCATCAGTAACTCTTGTTTAACCCAGGCATTTTTTTTTTTATCTCAGCGTTTTGGAACATTCTCTCTTTGAATTCACCAGCCTCTTCTTGATAAAGAGGCCTGGGGCGAAAACTGGCCGTCTGACATGAATATTAACAATTTTCGGGACCTGTGTTTAATATTAACCGACGTCACGTTGCGCTTGAAGATAGGAGTTGCTTTCTCAGTGGATGAGACAAAAGTTTAGTTGACGGAGATAACGAGAGGTGTGCTATTTAAAATTAAAATAATTATCTTTGTGTTAAGGGATCTAACAATATTTACAGGGAGGGGGAGCTGGTGGAAATGAGAAATGAGAAATAAACTTCTCAAAAGCTTTAAGTTCCCCCTTAGTTGGGGAAACACTTTTTATTGCCCCCCCCCCCCCCCATAATTCTTTGAATTAATTTTTTGGCACTCAAAAAATGATCTAAGATACTATGCTACTATGTCATCTAGACAATGAAAGAGGCAGGAATGCCCACAGAAAATGCTAATTTTTTGGCACTCAAAAAATGATCTAAGATACTATGCTACTATGTCACCTAGACAATGAAAGAGACAGGAATGCTCACAGAAAATGCTTACAGAAGAATTGAAGAATACCATCCTACCTTTTTTAAAAGTGATGCACAAGGAGAAAGTGACAGAGGGGAAAAGCAGTGAATCTGAGGATGAAATACTTTAAGGACTTTCAATTGTCAACCGTTTGTTTAGATTGAGATTGAGTCTTTTGTTAATCAGTCTCCAATTAAAACATAAAAAGTCAATTTTGCTGGTATTGATATTGCAGAATTTTATTTGGTCCCCCCTTTTTATGTGAACACAAATTTTCGGTCCCCCCTCACTTCCACCAGCCCCTCCTCCCTGTAAAAATGTTAGGTCCCTAACTCCTGACCATTGTTTGAGCCTGGAGCACCATGGCCCACACAAGTGTCGTAACGTAGACTAAATTGTCTCGGTTAGTTACGCTGAAATTATGTAATGACGGTCCATGACTGTCACCTTTAAAGTTGCGTAAATCTCCTGGTGGTTGCATTTTAAGAGGGCCCTAATGGCTTAAGCAAGTTAACTAAAACTGGTTTGGCATGAAAATTTCCTTTTTTCGCTGCAAGCGTTTACAAGGCAAAAGAGCTAGCTGTCTCTTGTCGCAAAGAGACTGGGCAAGAGTGGGGGGTTACCTAGTTATTCGCGCGCGTTTTCTTGGAAGTCAGTCGGGCAGTTAGACGCGACAAAGCTACAGTCCTGAGCCCTTAACAAATTACTTGCTTTAAAATCATGTCGAAAAGAAATAGATCTGAGCCAATTGTGTCAGATAGTAGCGATTCTGGTGAAGAAGAGGTAGTTGCTTGTAAGAGAGAAGAGGTAGTTGCTTGTAAGAAAGAATAAGTTCATTGCACACTTTACAAGTTAGAATCGTAGCTTTGGAAAGTTAATGTTCTTGTTTTTAATCTTCTCTGCTTTTTCTTAGTATGAGGTTCAGATTAAATCAAAAAAGAGCAAGTCTAAGAAATCGATAAAGGAGAGTAGCACCGAAGACACAGAGCCCGGTGTGTTTGAGGTTCGTGTAGATATTTTAATACGTAGTTCAAACTTGGTGGGATTTTTTTAAACTACTGCTATTTAGCAAACAATTACAAGTTTTCTGATTATCATAGGTTTGGATTGATAAAGGTTGGATTTCCTTCCTCTGTTCTGGCTTCATGTGAAGGCATGGCTCAGCGAAGGCATGGCTAAGCGAGGGTGGTGGGTGGGGGAGATCTAACGATTCAACAGACCGATTCCCCTAGTCTTATAAGTGTGGGAAACTTTTAAAATTATTAGATTTTTTATAATCAGATAGATGATAGATAGATGCTTTATTTGCTAAAAGAGTTGCAGTCAAAAACAGAAATACACTATAGCTTACAATTAAAATTTTCTCAGAAAAAATATGTGAATATATGAATATATAAATATGTAAAATATGAATATCAACGATCCTAGACAATCAGCATATGTCTGCCGATTAAGAATTATGAAAACTTAAATTGTAATTAATAAAAGTGGATCGACTGTAGGGTAATATCACACGAATTTATGACATAGGTACAATGCTGAAGTATTTCTCAAATTTCATCAAAAGCATGTCCTAAAGATCTTGTGGTAGAGCTCACCAGGTATAATTGAGTATCTAAACTGTTTGATGTTAAGGGGTAACAGTTAAGGAAATGTATGCCAGCCACATGTTTCTATGGCAACAGTAAGGTGGCCAAACATGTTACATATAAGACTAACCTCTTTATACATTAGGCAGGTTCTTTGATTAAACACACTTTTTTGTTTTGTTTTTTTTGTTTTCTGTTTTCAGTTATCTGACAAACGTAGGGTAACTGTGCGAGAGTTTAAAGGCAAAATCCTGGTTGACATTAGGGAGTTCTATGAAGATAATGAAGGTGAAATGAAGCCAGGAAGAAAAGGTAAGATGGTGATATGGAAACTGAGTAACTCAGAACCAGTTGTGACTGTCTACTAAAAGATTACAGTCAAAGAATGAAGTTATGCTCAAAATTTCCTGAGATTGAATAGTGCTTTTCACTTTTAGGCATCTCACTGCAGCTGAGTCAGTGGGAAGCCTTGAAGAGTCATATTACCGATATTGATGTTGCCATAGAGGAGATGAAGTGATATCTGTTAGTACAAGGTACTGTGTTTCAACTTAGCCTGATAGTTAATCAATAGAGCTTCAGAAAGCTTGACCATTTAGAATCTTGATGGGAGTCAATAATCCTACACAGCTGAAAGAGTTAACAAGGAATAAAAGTAGAGGAGACTAAAATTATTCAACTCAATTTATTTTTTGGGTGTTTTCAATATTTTTCAGGACTTGCTTCACAGCTCAATGTAACATGGATGTGACAATTACAGATTGATACCAAGTTTATAACCTGTTTAATTTTTAAATGATCCTTAGAAAAGTATAACAAATGTTGTGTTTCACAGAGTGTTTTGGTTAGGTATTGAATAATTCTCTCACTGCGACCTTGGATGGCCTGTGGCCGATTTTTGTTTTGAATAAAAAATGTTACACCAGTGAGTGGACAGATTTTGTCATAACTTCAACTCTTTTTTACCCCATATTCAGTTCTTTAACCTTTACAGCTATAAATAACTTATTCTACACATGATTGACCAAACAATCTTGAAAGCCAAGGGGTTATAATTTCTCACAACCCCATCATCAACCTTGCATGTGTATGGGGAGGGGGGAGGACAAAAATGCATCAAGTGGCACCCCTCTATGACTAGTTTTTCCTGCATTGAGCAGCTTGTAACTGCTCTTATGCCTCTTTGGTTAAAATGATGCAAACACAGTGAAGATGGTTGTTCAGAAGGTATGTAATGCTAATCTTATTAGATGAGGAAAGAGAACTTTTCCTAAGTTTTTCCCCATTCATTTCCCTAGTATTAAATCCTAATGTAAAGCAAATGTCTAGAAGGGACCTTCGTCAGTTTTGGGGAAATACAGGACTGAAAAAAAGGGTAAACTTCTTTGCAAAGCTGTAAGATGTTATTAAAAGAGAACTGAAAATTTTCATCATAACCTGGGGCTAGGTGATTGTGTATTAAACAGACCAACTTGAGAGCACGTTACTAATCTGTTCAGATCTGGGATAAAATATACTAACAGCCCTGTCAGTGACTGGAGTCCACGAATAAAATATAGTTAAAATTCTACACAGTCGTATTGGAGTTTCATGCCAAGACTAATCGTGCAACAAAATTTGACATGGTAACGACCTTTTAATACATGATTATGTGACACGAATGTCACGCGATAAAGCAAATGTTCTACACAAAGTATAAAACTAAGGAAAATGACCGCTGACCACACTAACCTGCAGACCATGTTTTTGAAATTTTAACGGTAAGAACATGGCAACCTCAATCGAGTTCAGAGTGCCTCAAAACAATCCAATAAGAGCGAACCTGCAAGCAAAGAAAAAGCCGCCACAGAAAACGCGATCGAAGGGGCAACTAGAACATCGATCTTCTGCAATCTTGCCATTTTCGGCCTGGGTAGAACCGCATCGTGGACAGACTCATAGAAGCTCACATGGAGCCCGTGATGAAGAACTTCGACTCAAAAAACTTATACAAGAGAAAGAAGAAAGGCTTAAAGAATTCCAGCAGGTGGTTAAAACAAGAGTCAGAAATATTGAGCAAATGAAACGAGAGGAACAACATGGCATGTCGGTGGAGGCTTTTGAAGTGGAGCGCAATGTTGTTCGACAGAGTTCTATACCTAGCACTGTCAGACGGGACAATTGTGTTTATCGGGATGAGTCTGAGCTCAAAATCCAAAGGAGCGTGACGCGAGATTTCACAGCAGTGGATAGTGCGAGCCAGCTGTTGGATGAACATGCGAAAAAAATCAGAAATTGTTCGAAACATGCAAGGAAGGTTCTCAGTTCCAAAAGTCTTGGGGTAGAAGTTGAGCAATATAGTAAACTCCTTCCTGGAGGCTTGTGGCGTACTTCTCCGACTAAAGATCATGGTTTATCCAGGAAGCCAGTTTCTCACTCAGAGGCACAAATTCGTAGTGGTGATTCACTTAAAGAAATCGGTGATTACTGGATTGGAGAAAATGCCATACAAGACCAAAGTTTGGATCAAGATCACTTCATTCCAGAGAGTGGTTTGCCAAGAAGTGGAGACCAGTTATCACTTGAAAAACATGTTCACTTTGAAAATGAGGAAAATTCAGAGGTAGAAAACGAGGATTGGGACAGCCAGCTTAAAAAAAATGATGATGCATCAGCCAAGAGAAAAGACAAATATGTTGAAATGCTTTTACAGCCTGCTAAGCTATTGGAGGAAAACAAAGCACGTGCAAAATCTCAAGTTGCTGTGTACAGGAGGCTGTTTATGGACATTGAGAGGGAGCAGGTGAGGGAAAACATTCGGATGAGGGAGCATCGTAAAAGAATGGAAACTTTGAAAGTTGAAAAGGAAGTTGAACGCCTCGAGATAGAGCAACGGCAGATTGACAATCTTAAAATGCAAAGAGTCAGAAAAGAAGAGGAGTCTTTTCTCAAAGCTCAAAAGGCAAAGAAAAGGGAATTGGACTTGGTTAAGAGACACAAAAAACTCCAAAAAGAGAGGGAGACAGAGAGATACATTGAAGCTTTACAGGCTGTTTTAAGAGATAAGGCACAAAGCAAGAACATTGTTCTTCCTCCCTTGTGTTCATGTGGACTAACAATCTGGGACACAAACCCTGATACTTGTGCTAACAACTGCGTTTTTTATAAGAACCCTAAAGCATATGCTAAAGCTTTGTCCACAGTATTGGCATCCTCAAACCTTGATTGATTGTAACATTAAGAACTCACATGAATGACTTTGTAGGCCTTTTTACTGATTCTCATGCACCTGCGGGAGATCAAGGAGTCAGGGTTTGCATTAAGAAAAGTAAAAGCAGGAGAATAGCATAAAACAACAAGTGAATATTCTCCCTTGTTGAATGGAAAGTAGCTTAGGCAAATAAAATTTACACAGAGAATTCTGTGTAGCATACAGACAATTTTTCAATCTTTACACCCAATGAACACCCAGTCAATATTTTACTGGAAGTCATGACTAGTTTGTGCTTAATAACTAAAAACTTCTCATGCAGTAAGATGTTGTCTGTGAGAGCCAAAACCTTTTTCACTGCATTAAAAAAGGTGTCTACTCTCAAAAACAGAAAATGATGCCACAGCACATAAATATTATTTGGAAATTCCTTCCCAACAGACAAATGACCATCTACTTGTCTGCTCAGGTTTACTAATTCAGATTGCACGGCTGATTTATCTTGTGGGTAAAGCTGCTTGTCTGGCTGATAAGAGAGAGCCTGCATGAAGGTTATCTTACGCATACTATTTGTCAACCAATCTCTATTTATCGACCATATTTGTGAGTAGAAATCAAATGTCATGAGCTCACTCCTGCAGTTAGTTTATAAATATATTGATGAATAAATGTAATGGAGTTCATTATAATTTTTTATTGCAAATGTAAATTCTGAGAAGTAAGCAAATGAGAGAATTTAACAATGTGTCACATCAGCTGTGTTGGGCCATTGATTTGCATTTCAACGGAAGTCTGTTTGCTAGTATCTGTATCACAAACATCACTTGTGGACACTTGAGGCTCCTCAGATCCTGGGTTAGAGCTGTGACGCAGATTCTGCATTGCCTGTGAAATATGCAAAACAACAACCATGCCTAAACAGAGCAATGGATCTATATGTTTCTTTACTGTCCTTGCAAACAAATAAGAATCGTCTCTCTCAGTCCAAGTAATTTAAAGAATGCACAAATACCTTAGTTTGATCAACTTTCATAATAATCTAGTGAACATCACTTTGCAACCTATTCACTCACCTGATAATAACCTGTGTGGTAGCCACTCAAGTACCAGGCCATTAACATACTTGCTAATGCATCATTATCATGAGAAACATCACTACTGTTTACTGGAGCTGGGGGAGGAGGCATAGGTGCACATGGGAACTGTTAAGAAAGAGAAAAAAAATTCTAACAGTACACTTGACATAATACAATAAATTAATGGTGGGACAATGTTAACAGCCTTTGTACAGGAAAGCACCACTAGAGTCAGGACTTAGGTGTACAGGTTTGTGATCTGAACAGTAGAACATTACTGAGACCTGTCCTTGGAAATGATAAAACTTTCATGGTCTGAGGACTGACTTTGGTAGGAAGGTTGGCCCTGCTCCTATGTTTAGTATTTTGCCTAATTTGTTTGCTCTTGGTCGTAAAACTCAACAGATACCCAATTTTACACAATCTGAGTCTACTGGTAGATGGCAAACTAAGCCCTTGGTAGATGGCACAGGAGAAATAGGGTAAACTGGACTCAAATAGAAGAGAAGAGAAGTACATGTAGCAAAGTCATTAACTTCCTATTTTATATCTCTAGGTACTGACAGGCCCTTATGTTTGTTTTTTTTTTTTTTTTTGCGATATTGTACACCCTTATTTACTTAATTTACTTCTGTCTATAACTTTATAACATTTGCAAACAGTGAGTTGAAAAATTTATAAATTTTGTCTTAAAAAAAGATAGACAAGTAGTGATTACTTAATTACAACCTGTCATTATCCACTGAATAAGGGATTATTATTTCATAGACCCTGATGCTCCAAACAATCTTGAAATGCTTTTAATGTTTGACTTACAGAGTTTTTTGTAGGTGCTGAGGGTTGTAATCCTGTGGTGTCTGGCCAGTGATGAGGAAGGAGAACAGGTGGTATGGGAGGAGGAGGAGGAAATGGTGCACAAAAATTCATCTGAGAAAATAATTTAATAACTGAGAAATATATGAAACAAAAGACAGCTAGTATTCTGAGGACATTTACAGACCTCTCTTTCTCGATAGTGTATAATATTGCAATACCCGTGTCTACTATATTACTGAATACTTACAGGAGACTGATGGCTGGACTGAAATGGATAACTGGTAAATGGAGCTCCTGACACAGGGTATCTTTGGTCAGCTGTGTAAGGGTGATGATGACTACGATGATTGTGACGGTTGAGGCGCACTTGGCGTGATGAATGTGAAGGCTTCAGTGTTGATATGTCAACATCTTGTCTGAATAGTAAACATTGAAGCTAATAAACTCAACCAATAATACTTTATTCTTCATTTAGAAGTAAAACTTTGATACTGTAGTCTCTTTCAAATTTAGATAGACCCATGATCCTCATGGGTGAGCTGTAATTTTAGAAATTACAGAAAAGAAGCCAGTGCCCCACAGCTACTAGTTGGGCACTACTATCAACTACGAAACAAAACCACAAGTTGGGAGCAAGACTAATTTTAAAGGTTCTTCTTTCCCATGGAGAGATTTATTACAAACATGAAGGTTCTAACCTTTGCCTGGATCTCAGGAAAGTGACCTTGCAGGTGTATGATGTTGGAAAAGAGTTGATAACTGCTTCATGAAGATGCTGACTAGGTTGTTCAGGAGCAAGGCATAAGTCACTAACTTGCCATCTGATGGGTGATTGGTCCCCAGTACTCCAGTCCATTTCATTATCACAACTCTAACAAACATTCCCAACGAGAGTAAAAATTAAGTTGGAAAATCTAGAGTACTGCGCACAATCACTAACTCCAAAACTAAGGGAAAGAATTACATTTTGTTCTGGAGATGCCAGCCAGCCAGACTGAGGTCCACTTTGTTTGGGAGACTTAAAGTCTTTCTTTGATGGCAGTAAAAGATCATCCAAGGTTTGTTCTTCTTCATTGCCATAGCCACAAAACCTCACAACACAAGTACTGGAACTGCCATTAAGCGAAATTATCACTGCATCATAAATCTTTTCATCTTCAGAGTAAACAGCCCGGCATTTATCACCAACATGCCACTGAAATAAAAGTTTGATGCATCAAGTTTCAGCTTTAATGTTTATAAAATTCATTTCTCAAACTCTGAATGATAAAACATCTTTTAAATAATAAAAAGTTTTATTAGCAAATGCAGTTACACCTCCCAGTATTTAGATGGATTACAATGCAAGAGAAACTGTTACCTTGGAGTAACTGCAGAATACCCTGCCACTCATTTACATTTCATTGAAGAAGAATGGCCTCTATTGTGTTGTCTTCGTTCTTCACAATAGAGGCTATTCTTATTCAATGACATGTAAATGAGTGGCAGGGTATTCTGCAGTTTAGCCTCATTGAATCTTTAAATTTTCCCTGCCAATAATGAAGTTTTTGCTGCGCTAACAATTTTCTTCACTTTCCTTACCCTCACATTACATTGTAATTATTTAAAAAATCTAAGAAAGTATCTCTTGCAGTCCCAAACTTTCATACTCACTGTTTCTATAATTTGTGTCCTAAATGAAAAAAACTAGCTTTTCAAGAATCACTCTTGCCTTTATTACCTGCTCTGTTGGTTTCTTCTTGTCCTTTTTCTTTGACAACTGATGTTTCCTGGCCAGCAAGAGTTGAAAAACTGTTATGTTTAACACTAAACATAGCATGAGTACTCCATATGTTTTAGCTAAGAACTTGTTAACAGCAGTCTATGTTAGGATAAAATGAAGCTGTTACTTCTGTTATTGCTGTCATTGACACAATTTTCTTTTCCAAGCAGAACATTCCTTTCTCCCTCTATGATGAAAACAAAGTCTCTGCAATGTTTTTACTCATACCTGTTCTTACCACCATTCTTTCCTTTTGTGCCACTACTCTTTCCTCCATTCTGATCAATAAAAAAGTCATTAAAGAAACAAAGGAATATCATTGAATAACAAGCCATGCACTAAAACTATAGAACAACATTGTTAAAATGCTAACAAATAAAATCTGGATGTACAGCAAATTATAAAACTAAGTATTGGTAGTTTTACCCATAATTTATAGCTGAGACGTTAAAATTAAACTGAGCGAAGAAAAGTAATTTTAAAAACAATATGAACACTTTTAACCATGGAATAACAAAAGGCTGCCCAATGTCAGGGGAAAATAACGGGACAACAATCAACAAATACCTTGATGGCATTTATTGCTCGATCGTATGCCTCTATTAGCGCAGTATCATCCCAGATGTCTGACGCGTCAGCCTGCTAGAAAAATCATCAACAGATTCTGAGATGTTAAGACACATTCTCAATACAAAGTTCATTTCACTAGCTGTAGTGATCTATGACTTAAGATACCTGGAATAAAATGTTTACGGTTTGGTTTTGTTTGGAAAATTAAAGTATACATGACAAGGCTTCCAAAGGGATTTTCTTCAAGTTGAGGAGAGAAAAAATGGTAACATTCTATTATAAAAGCCCGGGCATAAAAGACGGTCTAACAAAATTCGCATCAGGTAACGGCTGTGTTGTAACATCTGGTGGCCTTGAATTCAGAATTGTTGCTAAACGGAAGTTAAATCACTTATGAGAAAACACTAACATAAAAGACCTCAAGTCCTTAAATTGCATTCCTGAGTACGTCCCTAAAATTGAGGTGAATGCCATGCTTTCTTACCTCACCGACTCTGAAAATAACATCTCCACTGTTGGCCGCCATGTTAATATTACTTCATCACCAAGCCTCGCGCAATATTCGATTATTGGGAAACCTGGCTCTAGCAGCGTATGGACTTGAGCTGGGATTCTTTCCTCCTTTGGCCACTCAGCTCAGTGAGATTTCGCTTCGTTTTATACCTTCATCTCCACCTAATATAGGTATGACATGGAGTGGTTTGGACCTGTGAGTAGCAATAGGTATGTGGTCCGGGTGAGGGTAGCTCTAAGAAGGATCGTCGTCTGAGGAAGTGATGGAAGCTCTTACCAACTGACCGGAAGTTATTTTCACAGTCAAGAAAAGCGTCAGTCAGAGTTCACAATCACAAATTGAAGACTTCCCTCATCTATAGGATCATTGTTCAAATAAGCTCAAGTCACGAATAAATCATCAGTAGATAAAGAAGCCTTCAAATATTTTCCAAACATGACTTTATTTGTAAGTGACATTCCTTATACACCTGTGAAGTAAACTGGACAACGATAAGGTGGCCCTTAGATATTTAACGATTATTTGATGACTTTGAGCAGAATGACGAGTATCATAAGGCTTGAAAGTTATCAGTATCAGACCAAAACCCAATCCAATCTTTTTTTTATTGGGAATCCTTTAAAAACTCTTTTCTTGTAAGAGCCCCTGAGTACAAGTATGAGAGGTCTTGCAGGAGATATGACAACAACATCCTGTGTGCTTGTGATCACCTAATTAGAACACTAACGTATGATAACTGTTATGGCCAACTACTGTTATGATGGACAACTGTGGGGTTCACTCCTTTAGCTTGTTATGTAAAATAGCAAAATTGTAGCAGCAAAGAAGTGACCACTTGGGAGTCTTCCATTTAAATAGTGATAAAAATAACACCATATCAGCTTTGTATAACTGTTCTTAATTAGGTATTTTTTTTTTATAATAGTGTTTTATAATTACAGAAAGGAGAAAATTCAATAGTATTCAAGATGTCCTAACAGCTACTTTGAGAGGCTCTTCCCACCTCAACAGTTCCACTAGCTGATTTGCTTTAGCATAGCTAAGATAATAAGTCTTAGCGAGATCACTAAATCCTCAAGGCTATAGGGTGAGTCTACCCGTGGGACATGAACAAATGCCACAGTGCCTCGGCCTTGTCCAAGATGAAGAGATTTGTAGTAAGAATAATCACACAAGAACCTGAGAAGGAAAAGCAAAATTACACATGATTATTACATCAACACCAAATTTTTTGATGTTGTTAATTTTTCTGCTAGCACCAAAATAAATGCAGATATTAACCTTCCTGCATCATCAGAAGTTCCAACAAGACAGGGGCTTTTAGCTGTCATCACCTCAGAGCACAGTCTATCCAAATCAAGAGAAGTAAACAGGCACTCCTCTCCTCCTGAACAAATCACAATTTATTTTAGTATAATGAAGTATCATAGCTGAAACATTTACAATCCTTGAAGACACAAAGGAAAATTTTAAGGCCTATGTAGCTATTTGCTGATCAATATTTGGAGCAAGAAGCCTGATTCTAAGGGTGATCTCAAGGGGTGAAGACAGGGGGGGGCACCACCATACGAACATAATCTATGCTGACAAAAGGGATGACAAGAATAGTTGTCATACCTTTTGTCTGCAGTCAACTTAGTGAGGAAGAACAACTCACCATCAACACAGCAGCCTTTTTCACACTTTTTACCTGCCTCATCAGGTCTGTTGTAACCATAGTTACGACCACACATCTCCAGCTGAATGCTATCAGCAAGACTATGAACACCCACATGTACACAGAGCTGATAAAGGGAGGAACATCCATGCTTAAGGTTTTCCAGTTTTAACATCAATGTTGCAAGGGTGCAGCTAAGGTGGGGTATAAGTAGGGACCCCCAGGGGATATACAATCTCTCTTCAAAAAGAAAATGTAATAATGCCCGATTATTTTCATCATCATCATCATCGTCATCAATATTAACCTCATCAACACCATCATAATTGTTCTTAGCAGAGTTTTTGCACTGTCTCATTCTACATCCTCATACCTGTCTAATTATTTACCAATCCTCACCATATTTGAGATTTGAGGTCAGCACCCTGCATGTCAAGAAGAGGTCTTTTCTAATAATAATAAATATCTCTGGAGTTACCTTGGGTTTTACTTCATTCCATAACTGAGGAACCTGTTCATCCACTGCACTGTACTCCACAGGAATCTCTTTTATCACCAAATTGACTTCTTCTACAAGATCAGTGTTTGGTAATTCCTAAGAAGTTAGAACAGATTTATTGAACATGGACATGGTGATCTCTTCTTACACAGTTATCTGAATGTGGCCAAAATCGCATAAGTAATTAAACAAGCAATTAACACAGTGAATGTAGTAAAATTAACATTTTGAAGCATCATGGCATACCTTGACAGCCTCCCAACTGGTATTAACTTGGTGTACACCAAATGGACCAAACCCTGCCGAATAACAGAAACACAAAATGATAGTGACCCTTATTAGCAAAAAAAAAAAAAATCCCACAAACTCTTCACTAGCATGAAGCCATAATATGAGAGAAAATCTGGGTAAAAACTTTCTATTTTTTTTCTTTTAACGAGCCAAGCACGTAAACTATATATAAATTCAATTTTTTAAAATAGATTTAACTTACACATCAGCACAAATCATGTTGCTTTTAGTATACACATTATCCTGAACCTCATATTCACAATACCCTTCTATATTCCGTGACAGAGATTAATTTAGTACGTAATTAACATCTTGATGGAGGTCAACACCAACATTCCTCCAAATGATAACGGTATTGTTGTGATAATAATAATAATAATAATAATAATAATAATAATAATAATAATAATAATAGTTTAATATTTGTAGTGCGCAAATTCCATTTATATATGATCAAATGCGCATGTGATACGGGCTATTTTAACCTGTTCAGTACAAACAACCCGGAAAGGATTTTTGCATATCCTCACACTTTTCTCAAACAAAGCGTTTGTACTAAAGGTAACCTAACCTCTTTATATTTTGTTTCTTAGGAAGAATGCTTTCATCAAGTATTTGTATGTATAGGGAAGCAAGGCGTTAAACATAAATCTTGCCCATGTACCTTTACGAAAGGATTTTTAATCGGAAAAACAATCGATTAGGTAGCAAATCAAAACATGTAATGTACCTCAATCACCTTACCTGTTACTAAAACTGTCGCTTTCTCTGCGGACATGATCATAGTTAGTATGATCTAACTGTGACATGATGTATTCCGTGACTAACAGTGATCGGCCGGAACCTGAGAATGAGTAACGCGCGATGCGTGTCCAGTCTTTCGTCCGAAACTCGTCTAAGATGGCGGGTCGAGGTCGAGGAAGAGGTAGAGGACGAGGGTTTTCTTTTGACGTTGGAATGATTGGCTTTAAGCGAGGAGAAGCATTACCTGCTGCAATACAACAGCCCCCTCCATTTTATCCGGTCGGTGTATTCTTTGCGTCGCTTGCAGACTGAAATTGCACCGATAATTATTTGACAACATAAAGCTGGTTGAGGTTCGAACTCTGGAAAGCGTAAAAATCTATTTGTAATTATGGTTGTGAAGGCCATATGTAAGGTCTGAATTAAACACACTCTTCACTTCTGACCTGATTCCCGACATTAAGTCTGCAATATATTGCGCAGTTGCCTATTTCTCTAATTTTCCTTAATTTTAAAGCTCAGCTGGATTTTCATCCTTCATGGCACATCAGATAACGGCGAATGATGTGACGCCACTAACCCAGTCTAAAATCCTTCAGTTAGTGTATAGTTATATTTCCAATTTTTTTCTTTATTTTTTTAATTTTAATTTTTTATTGCATATATTAATATTATAATTATACCGACGACGATGGTGGAGTAAAATCTTCCAGTATAAAGAGAGAGAAAGTCACATAATTATGTTGTTGTATGTAGTTCCCATCCTCCATTTGTACGCTAGGTTATCCTTTGAAGAAGGCTCTAAGTGTTACTTTTTTAATCAGCTATTTTGTCATCATATTCTCAAAATACTCTAAATTTTTATTAATGACAATGATTACAATTATGAAGATCATATCTGAATATTATAGCCTCTAGATATCAAGCCATTGCCATTAAGGCAGACAGATGCCGATGAATACATGCTTGCATTGAAACAAGAGATAACAGGGTGCATGCGTGAACTACCTTATTTTGTGAAGGCAGAAATTAAGTCCAAAGGTAAGAGTCAGTTTTTTCAAATCAGTAGCATACTTTTTTTCTGTAAAAGCATTCCAGTAAATAATTTGTAAAAGGGGTGCAGGAAAATAGTCAAACTGAATCATTTTAAGCACAGAAACATGATTGTCTCTTAGTGTGTTTAAAATTTTCAGATCTGAATGTCATAACTTTGCTTATTATATAAACACCAAATTGAATGAAACACATGAAATTAACATGTAATCTTACATGAAAATAACAGTTACTATGGTTACACAACAAATCGAGCCTTAGCTAGGGAAAGTGGAATGGTTTGGTTATTCATTGGTGTTTATGCAATAAAAATAATGTTACATGGCAGCTTGGAAATACAAAATTTCTCTTCTCATAATGAAAATATTTCACCTGTTCATTTCCCCCACTCATGAAAAAATTTTCAACACTTGAAGAGAAATTTAATGTGTTAATGCGGCCATGTAATATCTTCTATTTACACACAGTTATTAACAGGTTCTGGCCATTTTCTTAATTTTTCTGAGTCAGATATTGAGAGGTTTTCAGACAGATACAGAGAAAAGAAAAAACAAGGATTGGACTGGCAACCAGGTGATGGGAATTTCCCTAGGATTTTATGATCAATAGTGCATGCATGTATAAAAGAACATGTATATTAAAAATACACATCATCATCAACCAGACTTGTCTTTTTCATTCCTGCCAGACTGGACATTATTTCCAAATGAGTTGAAAATAAAGGTGAAAAGACACAGGACTCCCAGGAATGCAAGTATGAATACTACAAAAACAAGAAACAGTCCTCTAAATAGTCATTCTTGATTGAAACAACCCTTACTTCTTATTGTTTTCTTGTCACCCACAAGGTTTGAAATTTAATTCTCCCAACTGATTACCTTATACTCTGTTGTTGGTCAGGGACAAGACTTAAGTTTTAAATCTTAACACCAGCGCACTCTACTGCCGATGCACTTACATTTCAATATTGAGAGTCATTTCATATTTTGTTGGGTAAATTATTATTCAAGGGTATTCAAAAAAAAGGTTATTTGATTCAGAAGAAACACCTTCACTAAGTATTTATTTTATTTTTTTTGTCCTTTTGGAAGGACCAAGAATTGTCAAACAAATCAAAAAGAATAGTGCTGGTGTGGAGGCCTTGAAGCAGCTAGAGGTATGAAAATATTTAAATTATTCTGTATGGTTGATGACTAATTTGTACACCTGGCAGACCTGCTTATTAGAGTTTGGAATAAACAAATACATTGTCTACTAGTAATACCATAATACATTATCTGTGAAAAGTGGTCCCATATTTAAATTCTGTTCATTTACTTCTAAATAGAGAGACACCACTGAGTTTTCATGGCAAATAAATTCACTATATAATAACTGTGCCACATAAACATTCCTCATTGGCAGGAAATTCACTAGATTTGTGAGGGGGGGGGAGGGTGGGATGAGGTTTAGTTTTGGTCGTTTATTTTCAAACTCATTAATTATTCAAAAGGTGATCACCCAAAAACTTGTGGATCAGGTTTCGTCAGGCTTTCCAAACACTTGAAAACCTGTGACCTCGGGCTTTCATTAGTTTTCTCATGTTTGGAAACCCTGATGAAACCTTGCACTCGTTTTTGAAATAGTACATCAATCCTGCATCTACATTGCCTCTTCAGGAAATGGTTCAGAAGGAGGTTGATAATGATAAGGCTAATGATCAAGAGGAAGAGGGAACAGAAGGAGAGAGTGGAGAAGAAGAACTGGAATATGATGAAGAAGAACAGGAAGAGGTAAAAAAATAATCAATACTTGAAGCATATTTTTTTTCCTTTTGTTATAAACTTAACTTACCAAATGAATTTGGGTGCTAAGGCTATTCATTGAGAGACGACTGACTGGCTTATTTTAACAATTTATAAACCTTTCAGGAAAATGATTACTTGGTGTCACACTTTGATGATGACGAAGATGCCTTTATGGAAGATGACGACATGGATGAAGGGCCAATCTACTGAGATGCTTAACATCATGAAGTGGAAGGAGAAAGTACTTGGAGACAGTTTGGTCAGCTGACCTGTTTAGCCAATTAAGATTGTGATAGATTAAAAAGAGGCTAGAAGGGAAAGGAGTGCATTATAAGAAACTGAACAAAGGATTGGTAGTGAGCTTCAGATTGAAATCTAGTGAAGAATATCAAAGTTGGTATTATTGTGTGAAAGGTTACTTTTTCCCAACTTTTTCTGCTGCTCTTTCAGACAGAAAAGTCCTTAATTCTCTCAGAGGATTAATTTCACATGGCTCAATTAATGCATAATATCTTAATGATCAATCAGAAAATGATAGCTGGTAATATTTATTAAAGAAGGGAAGTCATGAATGTCAAACAATTTGCATAAATGCACCAGGTGATGTGGATAATGGCAAATTAAAGCCGGTTGAGTGTATAAAAACTGATGATGATGAGCTGATAGAACTTTCTTTTAAAAAGCTTATCATCTGATGACAGGAAAGGAGAAAGAATTCATCTGGCCTATATGGTGGAAAAGTGATAGCTGAACCCACTAAATGTTTTGCATCTCTATTCTCCTATGGCATGTTCAAGTTGAATGCCTTGGCATAACACAGCTGTTGGTTTAAGCGAGGGTATTCAATTGCTTCATCAATTATATAGAGATTATCAATCTCTACATTGGTTTTCAATCCATTGTTTCCACTCCACCAAGTTCCGATTTGAGTTTTTCCACTTATTCCTCGATAGGAACTTGTTTTGTCTGCAGATTTGTCAATTTTACCATTGACAAATATTTTTCTGTGGAGATTAGCAAGACTGGTGTAACTAAAATTTAATTAGTAATTATTTATCAATTAAAACAAATTCCTTTTCTTGTAGACTTGAAAAGGACTTAAGAAATAGAAAAAAATATAAATAGTTATCTATTGACCAGTATGGGCCTCACTGCTTTTATTGAAAAAAAATTCCCATTAATAAAATTCCTCTCAAGAGCCTCACCCACTGGTACAAGCATGGGGGGGAGGGGGGAGCTGCATGGCCCAGCACACAGCACTATTGGAAGGAGATAGTTCAAGAAGAAAGGAGGAAAGAGGACACGCAGTGTTCACATGACAAAGTGTTTATAAAGCATACATATTTAGCATCTGTCTCACCGTATTCCATTAGCTTTTGTCCATGTCCATGTGATGTGGTACCATTTTCCATAATAAAGAGTTTGAGACCCCAAAGTGTCACTTGAATAGAATCCATACATGACTTTCTGGAGAGTGCAAAGAATTAACAAAAGAAACAAATATACATCAATTTTTCCTTCTGTTTTCTTTAATTTTTTTTCAGTTTGGCACTTGCTATAGTCAAATGTAAGTCAAAATTTAAAAGAACAAAGGGAATGTGAAACCTAATTTTTGGTCATCATTTTACACTGAGAGGCAGTCTAATAACAATTTTACAGCAAACAAATTTATCTTGAAGGTTAAATCATAGATATCTTCCATGGTGAGCCTACAAGTTGCTATTCTATTTTATTTTATATATCTTTGTTCACTTGGCATGATGTCAACATCAGTGAAAATAATAGAAGTTTAACTCAAAAGCTAATTAGCATGCACACATTATAATTATACTTATGCTTGCTGTTGTGAAATAGCTCTGTGGCTGCCAGATTATACCTGTTGTCGTAATCCAAGGTGAAAGCCCTCATTATTTGCTGCTATTCCATCTCCAAGTACAAGAATGTCTTTGTTATTTCCTAGTAGGCCATCATCATGAAACTTAAGTAAGGTCATAACAGACCATTCATCACCACTCCAGAAATTTGCTGGGATACCATGCAAATTGATATATTCCAGTCCTTTAAGCTTCACTGCTTGACCCATTACACTTTGGATATATTGAGTGATGTTTTGTCCTCCAGCATTGCCCTGGTACTCTAAGATCAGAGATATAAATATCTTTTTTCAAAATGCAGTCTTAGAGTAATGCCTTATTCATTTATCAATTGGTATCTTTTATCAATTTGCATTTTTGTGTGTCAAGTTCTAAACCCTTTAGCATCATTCTCCACACTGTTCTCATTATGTTTCATATGGTTCTGACAAGTAAAAGTTGTTTCACAATCACGAGTTTCTTAAATTGGTGATCATTTCCTTTATTCTCATAGCCTTTATATTTGATTCAAGGGTGATAATGTAACCTTGGAGAAATTAAAAGCAGGTCACTCTTAAGGAAGTCAGTTCTTTAAAAAGAAAAAAAGTAGAGAGGAGCATTTGCAATGAAACAAATTACAAAGTCTCTACTTCGCTTGCTAGCAGACAGCTCTTTTCACCCTTCTTGGATTCTAATCACTGAAGAGTCATGTTAAGTAATCACAACTTAATTCGTACATATTACTGCACAGAATAGAAGAGTATGATTTATCATTGGTTAGATTTACCTGTTGTGATGTTATTTAGAGTTGTGTTAGGACTGAGGTTAACATCCAGATTTCCATTAAACTGTAACAGCACTCCAAATGTTGATCTTTGAAAAGCTTCATGGTTTATCTGTGGTACATTCAGCTCTTCACACAGACCTCCCTGATATGCAAGCTTCTGCCAGCCCAGTTTGGTGCAAACCTACAGCAGGTTTGAGTGATTGTTAGTGACTTTCCACTTCAGAAAGATTCAGTAATTAACCTCTTTTGACTTTTGTAAAGTCATAATCATAAAATTGTGGCTAAATGTTTAGTTTTGAAACATTTTCAAGTTCCCATTATCACCACTTTTGAGAAGTAATAAAATGACATGATAATAAAAGTTCACTTTCTGTTCACTTAAACCCTATTTAAGTCAGTAACTACTTGAATGGACTTATCAATTTATAAATCATGTTATCTGTTAGTTTGAGTCAGTGAGGATTGCAAAAATACAACTACAGATCAGCAACTACCTGAAGAAATCCTGACATAAACCTAACTGAGCCATGATCGCTGGCATTTTCACATCTGAAAAGGATGCAGAGACAACAAACATCATTTGGTTCCACCTGAGAATAATTAAGGGGCCGACCATTTAACTCTTGAAGGGGGTGGGTGATTTTGAAAGAAAATTTCCTGCAAGCGCTTGTTGGAAGAAAAAAAATGCATGCAGCCCAAATGTAACAGAAAAAAATTCTTGCATTGCTGTAAGAAAGAAAAAAAAATGTTGCAAAGCTGTTTCATTCTGGGGGGCTTTACAAAATCGCAGGAAAACTGCAACCATTGCTCCTTTTGATGATGCTGAAAAATTATTGCTTCATACATGCAATGCATTATTAGCTATCTTCAGCAGTATTATAATGGAGGTAATTTTTGGAACACCATCACATTGCTTTTATGTTCAACTTTGAGGTACTCATTGTAGAAATGGAATGAAAAAAAGGCTGAGCAAAAAGGATTGGAGCTATCGTAATCAACTAACTTCAATTTTGCTTTCACATTTGTTTTGGATATTTTAGTCCACTTTTATATTGCAACTAATGATTCCAGCAGCATTTATCATGCTATGAACATTTCTAAACTGCTTTCTGCTATTTTTGGCTTTTTTTTTGTTAATTAAGAAACTAAACGTTTTCACATCTGNNNTTAATTACATTATTTTGATATTTCATTCACATTTTCAATAAAGGACCCACCTCAAAGTGGTTTGAGTTAAGGTATTAAATAATGGCCCTGGTGGGCCTTGCTGTCCAGGTTCTCCTTTAGTCCCTTTTGCACCAGAGGGACCCTGAATGCCATCAGATCCATTCTACATAACAAATGAAATAATTATCAACCTTTTACTTCAAGATTCGATCACATTACTTCAATCCTTGACCTCTCAAGATCCAACTGTTAATTCTCCCCTTTATCTGTTACACATTTCCCTGTAAATTAATTGTGAGAATTTTGCATTAGATTAAGATAACTTCCACCTGATAAGTTTGGGTATTCTCATCGACTGTTTGGTAGATAAGGGACCTAACATTATTTACAGGGAGGGGAGGCTGGTGGAAATGAGAAATAAACTTCTCAAAAACTTCTCAATAAACTTCCCCCCCTTTATAAGTCCCCCCTTTAAGTCCCCCCTCCATAATTCTTTAAATTAATTTTTTGGCACTCAAAAAATGATCTAAGATACTATACCAAAACATTTTATGTAAACCAAAATGAAATGTTATGAAGAATACCATCCTACCTTTTTTAAAAGTGATGCACAAATAGATGAAAGTGACAGAGGGGAAAGCAGTGAATCTGAGGATGAAATACTTTAAGGACTTTCAATTGTCAACCGTTTGTTTAGATTGGGATTGAGTCTTCTCTTTATCAGAGTCTCTAATTAAAACATAAAAAGTCAATTTTGCTGGTATTGATATTGCAGAATTTTATTTGGTCCCCTCTTTTTATGAGCACACAAATTTTTGGTCACCCCCTCATTTCCACCAGCCCCCCCCCTCCCTGTAAATAATGTTAGGTCCCTAACATATGGATATTGTAAGGAGAAGTTATATTTCAATCACTAATGGAAGTTAGAGGGTTAAATTCAAGTAACAGAGGGGCCTTCTTGAAGTGTGCCATACACTTCCAGGCTTGTGAGTCAAGAGAACTTTAAAATGAATGAATAAAATGAAAATTTTGCAATAAATAAACCCTGTGCTAACCTTCCCTGCTAGTCCTTGAATGCCTGGTTCACCTTTCTGTGTGGAAAATATATAAATTGCTTAAAAATAAAAACCAGAAACTCAATGTCCAGAGGGGTGCACTAAATACTAGAACATAGTGAATTAAAGCAATCCTATTACTAAACACTGATTGAATCTAAAATTTAATGTTTGCAGGAATTTGTGTCATCAAAAGTTAGGTTCACGTATTGAACTTATTTTATTAAGGGATTGTTGTGAAAGAAAGGAGGTGGAAAAAATGATTAGTTACCTGCCCTTTAGTCCCATTTAGACCTGGATTTCCAGGCTGTCCTTGGTCTCCCTGTTCTCCTTTTTCCCCAGGAAGCCCAGTCATGTTTACTCTTCCATTCTGAATATAAATTTGAAGCAGATGCAAACTTGTGAAGATCAGTTTTAATACAATTCAAACCATTTGCAATTTCCAGTAATAAAAATCAATTCATGATACAAAGAGATTGATAACATTGATGATAGTGATGATGATTACCATGGATGTTACACGTCCTGGCGGCCCCATCTCTCCTTTTTCACCCTTGGCTCCTGCCTATAATTGAGAAAATTATACCATAATGAATTTTAAAACAATTTAAGTGAGGACTAATAATATTAATTTATGCAATGACGTATTGTTTCCCACTTTTAAAAATTTCAATCACATTTTATGTAATCAAAACTTATTGTGATGTAATGAATGTTACTAATTAACTATCAAAATGAGAAAAGTAATTTTAAAAATCAAGGTACAGTTTTAATGAAATTTGTTACTCACAGGTCCTTGACTTCCTTGATCCCCTTTCTAAAAAATCCAAACAATTTTGAATTTAGAATGATACTGCTAATCCTTAGTAATTAAAATAATTATTTATTATTCTCAAGTAAAAACACTAATTTTGGAGTAAAATTGTCCAAATACCTCTCCTTTAGCACCAGAGACTGCAGACATATTCTGCCAAAAGATGACAAAAAAAATTGATATGTAGTCAGGTCCACAGGTAATGCAGTTACTTAATTAGGATCGCAAAACCCAAGGTTTATCAAGAGAAAGATCATTCCTTACTAGAGCATTTCCACCAATGAAGACTTTTTTTCCTTGGCCTGGTTCAAAAATAATATCACCTTCTTCACCAGCTTTTAAAACCAGGCTGCCATGTTTGGTAACTATTTTGGGGGGATTCCTAAGAGAGTGGATGAAATGAAAGAAAGTCACATTTACTATGATAAGCAAGATTGTGTCCTGAAGATTAATTTATGTGGAAACAATATTAATTTGCCTGTATTTTTTTTTTTTTTTTTCACAATGTGCGGGCATTTTTCTTTATCACTAATTTTCCGTGAATTTTTTTTTTAACTGTTGGCTTACACTGTTCTGAATGATACCAAAAAAATTCAGTGCACAGCTGAATTTCCTGTATCAGTTCCACTGACTGACAATGCGAGCTTGGAAGATGGGAAGTAATCATGTCATTAAAATTAATATGGCGTTAGTGAACGACGTTATTCTGAAAGCTCGTTTCATTCATTATGCGTCGTGGTAAACGAGAATTTGGACAGTACCGTTAACCTTCATGGACCTGCATTTGACTCTCACAATCTGCTTGGCACAAGGCAGAAAAAGCTGTCTGCACTATCTCAAAAGCAGGATTCATACAGGAGACATCTTAACTTACCTTCCGTTGTTTTCTGCCAGACAACAGAGCGTTATGTAAACAATCACAAGAAGAAAACGTTTGTCGGCCATAACTGCGACCAGTTTTAACTCGATATGTAACTGGGGGCGTTCGGATGGTGTTTCCCTTTCGCAACAGGAAACCAGATATTTGACCTTTTTTCGCTGTGAAAGATTGACAGGTCTTACATGTAAGGATAACAAAATACCCTCTGAGACATAACTGCGTCCAAAGAAAACAAAGTAAGGTTTTCACAATACACAATAGCCAAATGTATGGTGGGACAAATGAATAAAGGTGGTAAGTTTCTAAACTGTAGTGCAGCGTCGGTGGGGGTAACAAGGTAATTTGGTTCTATCAACTAAGTTGAAGTTGTAAATTGGCCTCTGTACTGCAGAGTTAAAAGCTGACGTTTCGAGTGTTAGCCCTTCGTCAGAGCGAATGGGCTCTGAGGAAGGGCTAACGCTCGTAACGTCAGCTTTTTAACTCTTTGCGGTGGCCAATTAAATTGTAGGACAGTTTACTTTGGCGCAAATAAAGAAAAACATCATCCTCCTGGGCAATTCACGCGCAAATATGTCACAACTTGGCGCCGGAAGTGAGATTGCGTGACTTCGACCAAAAAGAAAATCGCAAATAGTTGAAAATATTTTCGTCATGCCAAAAATCCTGGCTATGGTAAGTTCAGCAGCTGGGATTTGAGTGTACCTGTACCCGTGGGGCCCTGTATTTGGCTAAGGGGGGATGGAGCGCGGCACGCGTTATAAAAAAATCTCAACAAGCTAAAGGTTACGTTATTTATTGCAACACGAAAAACAAACAAAAAATTACATCGTAACTGATACATAACAAAACAAAACAAAACAATATCAGCTCTCGATCTCAGTTCTAATTCACAAGGACATAAAATGCTCTCCAGCTAACGAGACGGATAACTTGTGAATGTGTATTTCATATTAATAACATCAACCAAAGCAAAATGGCACTGGCAGGAGACATGGAGAAATCTTCAAAGTATTCTACGTGTTTCTCGCTTCTTAAAAATCAGTTAACTTTCTATCAGCACAAAATCACAAGAGCCTCACAGATTTAGCCTATCACAATCATTTAAATGAAAAGTTGCATTCATGCAAGTAGTAGGTTTAAGAGTACCAGGGACTGTTCAAGAAATGTTCCTTTTCTCCTATGCAAAAAGTTTATTCTAATTGGTTGTTCACAGATAGACAAGTAACAGGATGCAGTGGATAGATGTGTCTAAGAGCATTTGATCTCCTCTCGGACAATAATTAGGCTATGATAAGGGCTCGTCCAACAGTCGCAAATCACTCTCTCTTTTTCTGCTTTGGTGGGGCCTCTCCTAGCAGTGTCATAAAATTAATTACAAGCAGGAATGAGGAGACTGCTCCTGGTGCAAAAACAACAGCAGGTTTTCCCAGCCAATAAAGTCCTTGCATTATCATTGCCATGACAATTAAAAGGATTATGATGCTTGCAAATTTGAGAGGCCTTGGTGCAGAATACAGAACAAGAGCACAGATTACTTCCAAGTAGCCAATGACAAGACGATACATGTCTGAGCTTACATCACGATGAAACCACACTTTTAAAGGATGTACTTTTGCCAGGTCAGCAAAATCCCGTTTCTGGTGAGTTAAAGGAAAACTGTCATGAAGAAAAAATAAATACCATATTTTTTCAAAAAGACATCACCTCTACCCCGTTGGAGGGATTCCAGAAGCTTAATGACCATTGCCACCCATCACCCACCTCCCCCCCCCCRCCCCCATCTGACCTCTATTTAAAGTTACTCAAAGAGGGCTACAAAAGGTTTTTCTAATTGACGCAAGATTAGGCCCAAAATAGATATGTGACATGTGAATTTACTTTGAAATTAGTGACACATGAAATACTGCTTAAAGTATTTACGTGAATATTCCTAAAATTCAAGTATGAAACGGGATCTGCCCCCTTCCTGCTTCTTTGCTACCCTCCTTTGAGTGTAATTTTAAGTACTGACTTTGCAAAAAATTCTACATGGAAACACAGCATGATTAAGAGGAACAGTAATCTATAGACGAGATAAAGAAAGATTAGGAACAAAGTTTGTGTAATGAACAAAATCCGTAGTGATCGTGTGATTTGCATCTTAAAATAATGTAACAAATTAAATGAAAGGCGACATCAGAAATCAGTAATCCACTGGGAAATAATAACTTGTTCTCTTGTGTAAGTTTTGGAAACAACACAATTCCAAGGTAACTGAAACTGTTCCTGAAGATTGGGGATGGTTCTCATCAAATCAAAGGCAAAACATCTCAGAGATAGTGAGAGATGCGCGTGACATGACGTGACAACGCATGTGGAATAAAAATTTTAATTGAAGCACAAAGGGCTACATAACATCAACAAGACGGACAAGACGAGGATGAGTGGTAAATTGATACGTTTCAATCGAAAGAGAAGGCATTAAAGCACAAGGTGTGAGTTTTACACCAACTTACGGATCGAGACTGCTTACCATTTGGTGGTGGACTTTAGGGGAAAGTTTGTCCGTGATTTTCGCGATGCCTGCTACGAAGAAAGCTATCACAAGAAGCCCCGTGACAGTTTTCTTAACCACTGCACTGACCATGTTTAATAAGTCGACCTCAGCTTGAGGTTTAAAAGATAAGAGACCAAGAAGACCAGTCACGTGACGTTCGTTAGTGCGCAAGTAGAGGCTCTCGAGAAAGAAGTTTGATGGGTTTTTCCCAAGTTCTCTATTCTATCATCTTCCTACTTCTAATAAAGCAAAAGTATGAACGCAAATTCGGAGGGAAAACACAACAGAACAATGCAAGCGCGGTAGCGCTTCAGCTGCAACTTCCAAATTGAGTTCCAGTTCTCTCGCGGTTCCTACATGCACGCCCAGATGAGGCCTATTGCACATGCATTAAGTATCGAGGATAGCTCATTATGTGGCGTTTTATGAAAAAAAGCCTAGTCAAATTCAAACGAATCTGGAGCTTAAAGATCAAGATTACCCATTTAAAATTGATGATAGTATAAAATAACTAGATATTAAAATGCTGTTATTATTTGCCTTTCTCCATCCTCTCCCATCCCCTCATCTCATGATGACACTGTCCATAAAGTAAACAAATTACCTAATCTATGAGGTCAAAGTTCCTTCAACAAAACGTTTTATAATTTCCTCTTGTTGACAAATTCACAACACAACTTCACATAAATTATTCCAGAGACAATCACAAAAGAAAATGATGCCATACACTGTTTAATTCAGTGACATTCATATCTGCTTCTATTATTTTACTCTACACCAGTTTGGTTAGTAATACTACTAGTAGAACTATCAATCTATATATTAAAATGTTCATGAACAAAAGAAAGCATTTGACAGCAATTGGTACAACATACGCCAAACTGGAAGCACTAAAGTATAATCACCAATTCCTCTTAAAAAATTGTCCAACTGTACAATATATTTACAAATCAACAATTGGATAGACAACCAAACCGAAGCTGACCACAAGAGCTGTATTATTGCTGATTTTAATACTTGATACTGCATATTTCCTGTTTCTTTAATCTGTTTCTCCCACCTCAAAAAGAGCAGCTGTAATTGAGCCTTAAATAATAATCTCTACTCAGTAGAATTGGTTTGGCTACTTAGAAAATTGTTATCACTTTAGCATCCAAGAAAAATAGCATGTGATACATGATGATGCAAAATGTTAGCAAATGTTACTCCTAAAATCATGTTTCACATGACTTTAGCTCACTTCAAGTTCCTCCTTCTTGAAGTGACAAAAACACACAACAAACTGAAAAATGGTCTTTAACAAGGGGACAAAGTTGTCAGTAGTTTTTGTCTTTGAATATTTCATAACATTTAATATCGAAATGAAAAACTGTCAAAGGTAAGAAGTGCTATTCTGAATTCCAAACTCCAACACCCTCCAAGCAGATCTGTGATCCAATATGCTCTGATCACGACACAGTGCCCACACATAGCTCACATTTTCAATATTATCCTGCACAAAAAGAAAAAGAAAGAATAAGAAATTGATAGGTACCCAGACCAAATTAGCTCTTATAAATATTTCCACTCCTGACTTTGAATTTTTACAAAGTCAACCAGCAAATGCTCCTTGGGAGACTTAGATTCACAGCACATGCTTGAAATGAAACTACAGAACTGAAATAAAATTGTTTAAGAAGGATTCCTTACCTCGCCACCTTCAATAATATTACCAACAGCATCTTTAAGGATCATTATCTGCTGAACCATAAATGTGAGAACTAAGACTGGTCCTTGCTCCATGACCTTGGCCATTGCCACCTGGAAATGTAGAGTAGTGTTACGATTACTGTGGCAGACAAGGTCGTATATGATGGTGTTCTCTAGATTCTGGGTTAAGACAGATCACAGGTCAGGGTCCTGTTTAAGTCACTGTGCTGTGTTCTTTAACTAGATACCTCTTCAAAGTGCAAATGAACTACAAATGTCATTAGGGTAATAACAGTTCACCACTTACATCAACATCTCGTACATCAAGGATTTTTGCTTCTAGTTTCTGTCCCAGTTGTTTAGTTTGCTCAATCTGTGCAGCTAAGACATTGTACGCCTGGGAAAAAACAAACAAAATTTTCATAAGTGTTAGACTTCTTAGGGACACCTTACAGTATGCTATGGTAGTTTTAATTGTCTGCAATTATGATTGTTTGGTGTACAGAACAAAGTCTTGTTGATACCATGTCAAATCAACTACCACAATTCAGTTGGAGGAGTTGATAGAAAACACTTACTGGTTCATGGCACCAGTCTTTTAAGATTTCCAGGTCACCTTTTAAGAAAGCCTAGGAGATACAAGATATAAAATAGTATTTCTTGTTATTAAAAAAAAACATGAGATAACTTTAAAATCTTGTTATATATTTTCTTAAAACAAAAGTCATCTGATTAATTACCTCAAGAACAGATGGAATGATTTCAAATTCACACTCTTTTAGGAAGCTGTCTTTATTAAACTGTGGATCAATTCTTGTTATTTCAGCCATTGTTTTTGCAGTATCAGACTGGGAAAACACATCACCTGAAAATTCAGGAGATTATTTAGAACTAGTAAATAACATGATAAATTCACTATTTCAAGGTTGCTATAAGTACAACTTTACTATCATTCCTGTGAAAATAGCTAAAAATCAGACATGCAGCGCCATCATGATCATTTTCTGTGTCATACCTATATTACTTTTTTAAATATTATTGGTGACAATTCTGGTACTACATCATTTGACTCATTGGCCAGCAAGACTTTTTTCAATGAGCTTCTCCTTTATACACAAGTATGTTAGGACATCTTTACCATACTTACTAAAAATGTCTTGCAGCTTATCTGTCACGACTCGCGATGCTCTCACAGCCACATTGTCACTTTCATCATATTTTGTTTTAAGATTAAAAAGCCCTGAAAAGAAACCAACAATATAATCATATTACATTTGATACTTAAAATTGGATAAACAGTTTAAATCTCAACACCACAATGTGAGGAGATAAAGATGTTACCTGTGACAACAGGATTGTTGTCTTTAAATTCTTTCCACTGTTGATACCATTTTGAATCCTTGTGTAGCACCACTCCAGTTGCATCCCTACAAAGTAGAATAATTATCATAAGCAATAATCACATTTGTTTAAAGACACTGCAGCTGCAAAATATAAAAATGCCAACTTTCACAACAGCATGTTACTTAAAATTTAATCTTGATCATTTTTGCAAATTTTTGTTTGTAAATCAAATGGAAGTTTCATGTGAAAGTCCTATAATATTCATTCATATTGTGTTTTCATCAGCTGCTGTTGAATACAAGGATAAAAAGATTCCTACTCATTTGCTTCAATTCTCCTCTCTTTCTTCACTGCACCTCCTTCTTCTTGTTCAGTGCGCCATCTTAGTTTCTCTTAAAAATCCATGAAAAAACACATGAATATTAATAAAAAAAAAAAATAAAATATACAAGGTATATAATGTACACAGCACAGTCTACCAAACTTCTTCAGCTTGACCAGTGCACTGATTACAATGATAATTGGTCTCTCAAACCTGGGGATCTGTATGGCTTTGATTTTTCAAGTTCTTCATCAAGAATCTCATGCTTTACAGTTTTAAAACCCTGCAAAAAGGTGGAAAAGATTAGACAGAAGCAAAGCCTAAAATAACTGTAAGATATAAATTTTCAAACAAGGTTATCCCTGGAATGATCTTCTGAGGTTTTCAGCCATCTCACTGGAAAGAGTCACATAATATAGAAAAGGGGTACAGTACTGTACACTCTGAGAAGTGAAGCAAGACAATAAAACTGTTACCTAATTATGTAGTTTACTCACAGTGGATACAGCCTTAAATGTTTCTGTTTTTCCAAGGATTTCACTCTGCTCTTGAACCTTTGAAGCAGCTTCCTTAGCAGATTTTGCAAACTAAAAAAACAATCGTACATGTATATAGACTCATGTTCCAATCATGTCTGGATGAGTACTTACTTATTTTAATGGTTAGTGGGTCAGTTAGTTAGTCAGTCTGTTTAACAGTTGCTTGGAAAGTTGCTCAATAGGCAAGCTTCTTATCAAAGAAGAGTATTTCTAGTAGTTTTCAGTTATCATGGCAATTTGGTAATATCAACTAAGTTGAAATTGTAAATTGGCCACCATAAAGAGTTAAAAAGCTGACATTTTGAGCGTTAGCCCTTCATCAGAGCAATTGGAGGAATTGTGGGTTGTGTGTGGGTTTATATGTGGAAAGTGTAGCTATGCTATTGGTGGGAGTATGGCAACAAGAAAAACATGAATAAATTAGTAGAATGAAAAGCGTTCGTTGATACCTGTGGGATTAAGAGTGCCGATTTGAAAGATAAACTTTTGTTCGAGATTTTGCGGCTTACCGAGCTACCTAAATGTAGGGAAAGACTGCAGACTGCTATATGTTGATTAGAATGATTAGGTAGATTAAAGTGTCTAGTGACTGGTTTTGATGCGTCCTTGTCATTCCTGTCTACGTTGCAAAGGTGTTCTCAGAAATGGTCACCAAGTCATCTTCCTGTTTCACCGATGTAGAGTTTTTTGCAATGAGTGCAAGATGACGTTGGCTGAGGTGCATGTGAAGTGATCAGTGATCTTAATGGATCATTTGGGTCCCAATATTTTTTCAGCATGAATGAAAGGACAAGTTTTGCATTGTGCGTGAGCACATTTCAAAGTGCCGGGTTGGTCATTAGTTTGTAATGAACTTCTGACCCAAAAATTGCCTAATATGTTTTTGTCACGTTTGAATGAAATGAGTGGAGGTTGCAAAACGATAGAGCCAGTCTCTGGATCGTTTTAAAGTAATTTTAAGTTTTTAGAATAATGGATTTAACTGAGTGGTTGTGAGGGTGAAATGTGAGGGTAAATGGAATGTGGTTGGAATTTTCCTTCTGTGACATTTGTAGCGCTGACTGTCAATCAATAAGTTGGGCACAGTGGTGACCTGCTTGACAGTAGAAACAGGGTAACCACGTTTTTCAAAAAACTGGCACAGAGACTCTGATTTGTGAAAAAAATCAGAGTCATCACTACATAAATGCTGAAGTCTTAGAAACTGGACATTACATCTATTTATAATGTCATTCATAATGGCGAAGGTCTTCTGGCCTCAAACATTTTTTTGATCAATGCACTGTTAAGGAACCTAAATCTGAAACACTACTTTGCTTAGCTGAACTAGTGCTCACACTCAATTGTTTTTCATTTGGGGATAACTTTTTCAAACAAACCAATGGCATAACCATGGGTACCAAAATGGGACCCAGCTATGCCAATCTTTTTGAAGGTTTTGTTGAACACCAATTTTTCAGCCCATACAACTGCCCCAGACCTGAACTCTATGGTCGCTACATTGACAATTGTATCGGCGCTACTTCTTCTACTAGGGAGGAAGTAACTCAATTCATAACCACAATCAATTCCTTTCACTTAGCTCTCAAATATACCTGGGAAATTTCTGACAATTCTTTATCCTCTTAGACATCAAAGTTTCAATCGAAGGCAAAAGTTTATGTACTTGTGTGTATTACCAACCTACAGATTCACATAGTTACTTGTTGTATTCATCTTTGCATCCATCTCATTCCCTTTTCTCAGTTTCTAAGACTTGGCTGACAAAAACATAGGCAATTTTTTGGTCAAAAGTTCATTACAAACTATTGACCAACCCGGCACTTTTAAATGCGCTCGCGCACAATGCAAAACTTGTCTTTTCATGCATAACACTGAAAAAATATCAGGACCCAAACAATCCATTAAATACTTCAAGCACTGATGAAACAGTAACACATACCTCTTCAGTGACCTCTATTCCTTTTTTAAATGCTTCACTTGATGTTGCCTCTTCATATGCCTGGCAAAACCAATTTTTAAATGTTTATTGTTCAATAAGTGTACACACCAATACATTAATTGAGAACACATCAAACAATAATTATTCTCAAGGAAATAAGTATGAAGTTGAGCCAATTAAGTCCTCTGGTTTTAAACACTTCCAAGTTGCACTACTGACAATAATAATACGATACAATTCATTATTACAAGGATCCAGTGCATTGTGCAATGATATGCTTTCAAAACTTTATACACACTGGTGTACAAACAAACCTTTGAGACTTTTGTTGAAAATGCTCCTGAAAAGCTCTTCACAACAGCTGAAGTTTTCATTGATGCAGATGACACATTATCCTGGGAATGACAAGTTGCACATTCTCATGCTCACATTCAACTTTTTCATAGTTTACTAACTGTACCATAGTAAAAAAGCTTCCACCTTAGAGTAACAGTTACATGCATAACTTTTAAAACAATGACTTCTTAGCAGGTAGAGGGATTGTCACCTTAATCTTATTGAAAACCTTCACTCTCCCCGACAATGTCTCTGTCTGCTCGTATTTTTTTGTTTCTGCTTGAAATTTCCTGATATTTTCCTACACAATCAAAAAAAAAAACAATCTTTCATTTTCAGTCAAAGTCATATTTACTGTATATAAATTTTTACATTTGACACAGTGAAAACAACCTCAACCTTTGAAATGAATATTACTTCATATACATTTATTTGTTATTTCATTGGATACATTCTGAGAACAAACCTGCATTTCTTTGTTTCTTTCAAAGCCTTCCTTTATATTTTCTATAAACCTTCCTATTAACCCAGGTTGTTCATTTGGTCTTCTGAATGCATACCATCTGATCTAGGATGTAAAGGAATTAAACAGCATCATTGTCTCTTTCACTCCAAGAAACACTTGTTTGATATATTCATTTGACAATTTTTAATACACTGTCAAACAGACAGGTTTTGAGAACTAAGGGAGAGTGTGAACTTGGGCTAAATGGCCCATCCAGGTGGACCTCAGCATGAAGGTGTACTACTCCCCCCTGGGTGGGAAGCCAGTCCTTGTGCACTGACCGTAGAGCCACTACGTCTCCCCAAAGTTACATCAAGACAACAAGACATCAGAGGCCTTGAGGAAAAAAAATCTGAACGATTTATACAATTTCTCTGCAACTTTAAGGTCAGTAGTCCAAGGCAGCAAGTAATTAATTTACCTGATGATCATTATTATACAAACGCCTAATTGGCTAGCAATGTTCCACTTCCAAAACGACTGTGGCGCTAATTGAATGTGCTACAAGACACAAAATAGTACAATGAATACAGTACCTGTTGAGAATAGCATTCTCCTTGTCGAAGTCTGCTTGAAAGAATCGAAGAACTCGCAAGATATTGATTTGCACGTGTATCTAGCAGCCTAACACGCGCAAAGTTACGACAACTTTGACAGACGTATCCTCCCAAAAACATTTGCTGTAGCATAATAGAAAGCAAAAGAATAATTTTTTGCACTTCTCTCACTAAGGTGATGAAGGTTGTTAGAGAAAAGAGATATTCTGAAGAAATAAAACGAGAGAATTTCATCACCAACCTGCGCCATCTTTAAATTTCGTGAAAACTCGCGAAAAAACGTCGAAGCATGCGCAAATGTTAAGGTCAAGTGGAACTAAATGCGGGCTCGTGTGTTTTAGGATTGGAGCTCGTGGCCTTGAGGAAATTTCTGCGTCAAACATCCCTTAAAATGAAGATCGCTGTTGAGGGTTGCTGTCATGGAGAATTGGACAAGATTTACGAAACCCTTGCGCACCTAGAAAAGAAGGAGGACGTCAAAGTTGACCTGCTGTTGTGTTGTGGTGATTTTCAAGCTGTTCGTAATGAAGGTGATCTCTCTTGTATGGCAGTCCCTCCAAAATACCGCCACATGGAAACATTTTATAAGTATTATTCTGGAGAGAAGAAGGCCCCTGTACTAACAATCTTCATTGGAGGGAATCACGAGGCTGCCAATCATCTGTGGGAACTACCTTACGGAGGGTGGGTAGCCCCAAATATCTACTATCTGGGGTATGCTGGGGTTGTCAACTTTGGTGGGATGAGAATTGGTGGTCTTTCTGGCATTTACAAAAGTCATGATTACAAAAAGGGACACTTTGAGAGGCCACCATACAATGATTCCACTGTTCGCAGTGCATATCATATTAGGAGTTTCGATGTCTTCATGTTGAAACTTATTTCACAGCCCATTGATATTTTCATGTCTCATGACTGGCCTTTGGGAGTTTATCACCATGGAAACCTTCAGGAGTTATACAGGTTTAAGGGCTTTCTTAGACCCGAGATTGAGAGCAACACATTGGGAAGCCCTCCAGCAGCAGAGTTACTGACTTCACTGAAGCCAACTTACTGGTTTGCTGCACACCTGCACACAAAGTTTCCAGCCCTAGTACCACATGAATCGAAAGAAGGACTCAAGTTCACCAAGTTTCTTGCCCTGGATAAATGTCTTCCAAGACGGGAGTTTCTGCAGGTGATTGATATTGGTCCTTCGCAAGCACCCCTAGAGCTGACTTATGATCCTGAATGGCTCGCAATAACTAAACTTACAAGTTCCCTCAACAATTCAACACCAAGGATAACATTTATACCAACTGCAGAACAAATGTTACAGTACAAACCTGATGGTCAGATGGTTGATGAAGTTGTTAAGATGTTTGGAAGCCCACTTAAGATTCCAGACAATTTTGAGATAACTACCTCTGCATACGACCCTGAAAAACCAAAGAAGATTTACATGGCTCAAGTATTGCCTGTAATGAACCCTCAAACTGAGAAATTTTGTGCAAAACTTGGAATTAACAATCCCTGCTGTTCTGAGAAGTCTGTTACTCCTTGCCCCAATCCTGAAGAAATAGACATAAGGGATGGAGATGAAAATAACTCTACATTTCTTAGTAATCCTGATGAAATTATTGTTGATGATGAGGAAGATGATGATGTTGATGCAACTGAAGCAGAACCTAGCATTGATTCATCAGTTGACAGTGTTATTCCAACTCCTGATGTGAATAAACGAAATCAAAACAGGTCTCTTTTAAAACTTCCAAAGCCTGTGAATACTTTTACTAAAAGTGCTAAACACAATGTAATATGTGAAGATGACTTTTCTCACACAGAGGGTAGAAATTCTGAGCTTGAGGAGGTAACCCATGAAAGCTTAGGTTTAGAACCTCAAAAGAAGGTTTTGAAAATTATGAGGAGAAATCAGACATTCTATGCTTCAAATGACAATGACGAAGACAGTGATGCTTGATTTTGATGCAGAGAAATTATCATTATTGTTATTTCAAAGTGTGATTTTTTAAACTGCAATCATTAAAACTGCCCTTTTCTTTCTCTTGGCTACTTTTGAACTGTAACCTTCATGGACTTATTAAATACAGTAACTACTAAAATGAAATGATGTTCTAGATCATTCTCAGAATATAGGAACTTCTGTCAAAGTATTTTGTGAGTTGTAACTATATTTGAAAATGTCATACAATAATGAAGAAACAGGAGTGTTAATAAATTTAACCACAACGCTGTAAAAGGATCTCTACTTAGTCAGGAGACAGGGGTAAAATCTCTCTTTTATCCACATCCTGCTCTTCAGTTTCCTTTACCTTTACGTCCCATCATTTTTCACCAGACACGGCAGATTCACAAGAAATCAATTTTCACAATTAAGTATTCACTATTTCCCTCCTAATTCACACCCCCTTTTATCTCATCTCTCCCCTTTCCCCCCTACTTTTGTGCCATGTGCCCTCCCGGTTCCACTAGTCACAGAAAAGATACATATGAGAAAAAAAAAACTGTTGGTATTTTTGTCAAACAAGAAAAAACCTTAAATTTAACGGAAATCGTCTTATTCTTAACTGCATGTTTTCTCGTAGGCCCGCGTTACCCCAAACTGATTAGCGTGCTTCATCATCCGTTGAGCATGCGTACGCCAGCCCGAGACCACGCTTCAAAGCAAAATGGCGGACGTTCTTGATGTGGATGTAGAAGACAAAGGGGGTTTTTCGGAAGACGAAGGCGATGGTAAGAGCTTTTATGACATCAGCAAGAAAATTATATAAAGTTAACGCAAGTTTCAAAACAATTTTGTTGTGATTTGTGCTGTTTTGCAGACGGAATTCAGAGATTGAAGTCCACTGTCACGAAGCGTAAAGGAAGAGGATTCAAAGCGAGTATGTATAAAACATTTCTAACAGTAAAGTTAAGTTTTTAGTTGTTTTGAATGTTAAAAAAATCAAATACCATCTCGCGGTATTTGAGAGGTTCGATTCTGGTGCATGCTAAGTTCAGTAAGACTGAGTTAGGGTGTCAGAATGTGCAGTCAAAATATCCAAAGATCGATCGAAGACTCGATCAGCTGAAAGAAAACTTGCCATTGAGAGGGAGAGAGAGAAGCTGCTGTTTGGCTCATTATGGTTTCACTCTTTTATTAACTGAACGCTTGGAAAGCCAAGATGTTTTGTCCCGTACAACTCACTGCTAACACAGTTTTTATGGATTAAGGTCGATGCATTTCTGACGTGACTTATTTTGCGGTCGAATATTCCAGGTGATTCATCCTCACGTGCCCAAGAACAGTATGAATCCATGGAAACTGATGAGGCCAGTGGAACAGGCCCAGCACGATGTATGTTTTCACTTTTCGGCCCATATCAGACTAGTTTAGTGGATTAAAAGATGCAAGTTGACTTAGCAGCTGTCAATCTGCAGCTCCAAGTATTTGTAATAATGTTTAAAACTATTACAACAAATCTATAGATAAACTTATCTAGTTGTAAAGTTGCTTGCAGAATATGGTTTTCGTTCTTTAAAACTGCACTCTTTTCCCTGAATAAGCAATTTGAGTCAGATAGAGGCATTTACAAGTTTGTGACAGTTTTTTTTTTTTAATTCAGCAAACAACAAACATTTTTTGTTCAGTCCTAGCCAGTCCTCAGCATAATTCAGCAAGATACATGTATTTTTACCTAAAATTTCTTCCTTTTGGAACTTTCAACAAAAAGTTGTTGACTGGGTAAACTGTGATAAAGAAATGAATAGATTCAACTAATTTGCTGTTTTTTTCAGCTGTTGAAGGTTGGATTCTTTTTGTTACCAATGTTCATGAAGAAGCTCAAGAAGATGACATTCATGACTTATTCTCTGATTATGGAGAAATAAAAAATCTTCATGCCAATTTGGATAGAAGAACTGGCTTTCTAAAGGTAAATCAAACAGTATTATGGAGTACAAACAGTTATTGCAATCAAAGCATAAGTAGATATTTATACTCCAGATACTACTCAAATCTTTCATGTCAAAAAATTAAGGTGCAAGGGTAGGAAATCCCTTTCCTTTTTCATTCAGTTATTCTTATGACAAGGTGTTGGATCCTCTAAGAATATAATTGTGTGGTAAGTCCATTATGTCACTAACAGATTAACTCTTTCACTGACTGTAGGGTTATGCACTGGTGGAATACGAGACTTTCAAAGAAGCAGAAGCAGCGATGGAAGCCTTGAATGGATCAGAGCTTCTGGAACAAAAAATATCAGTGGATTGGGCATTTGTGAGAGGGCCAAGAAAATCTGCTGGGTAATGTTTTCTTAAGATTTTTTTGTAAATCCTAATTCTGATTGCTATTCACTTATGTGTATATAACTGAGACAAAAGCATGACTAGGACTACTTTTTGAGCATTTCAAAGAATAATAATCACAACTGTCAAAGTGAAAGAGGTTTGGGGCTTACTGATCAACAAGGCAGCCAATATGGGTCAGGAAGGGTACTGACTTGTACCAAAAAACAAAGTTAGATGATACGTATGATGCACGATCCTCGCAGTAGATAGCGCTATTTATGCAATAGCGAAAATCAGATCTGAAAAAAAATCAGGCCTGTACGGGATTCGAACCACTGACCTCTGCAATACTAGTGCAGCGCTCTACCAATTGAGCTAACAAGCCAACTGGGAGCAGGCCGTTAAGTTGATTCGTAATAAACCCGTGAAAGTGATAAATCAGATGCAATGAATATATGAAGTTCATATATTTTGAACTGCGGTATTAGATACGTATGATGCACGATCCTCGCAGTAGATAGCACTATTTATGCAATAGCGAAAATCAGACCTGAAAAAATCAGGCCTGTACGGGATATACAGGCCTGATTTTCATATATTCATTGCATCTGATTTATCACTTTCACGGGTTTATTACGAATCAACTTAACGGCCTGCTCCCAGTTGGCTTGTTAGCTCAATTGGTAGAGCGCTGCACTAGTATCGCAGAGGTCAGTGGTTCGAATCCCGTACAGGCCTGATTTTTTTCAGGTCTGATTTTCGCTATTGCATAAATAGCGCTATCTACTGCGAGTATCGTGCATCATACGTATCTAATACCGCAGTTCAAAATATATGAACTTTATATATTCATTGCATCCAAAGTTAGATGAGTTGAAAAGGAATATATTTCGGGCAAACAGTCCAAAACATTGCAAAATTCTTTCATTCACAGGCTTTGACTACATGTTAGAAAAGCCAGTTGGATTAATTGCAATAAATATATAATTTAGGTTGTGAATTTTAGGGGTTATAATTGGATTCTACGTGATAAATTAAGGTATTTTGTCTAGCTAACTTACACCTTACTTATTGTTTCTGTAGATCTGGGAGAAGAAGAGATACAAGGAGATACTAAACCATTGATGAACTTTCACTTGAAGCACTGATTAGTTTGTTTTTATTCTCATCTGCTTTGTAACAAATTTATCAACTTGTACAAATACAATTCACTACAAGTAGGATGCACTACACTTTATTAAATGGTTAACTGTTATTCTTTTTCATTGGAATGTAAAGAACGTTTTCGTTACATGTCACAGCTAAAGTTGAACTGTTTGTGTCAAGTAGTTCGGTGA